TTTGAACTTTTGTCTCGAGGCCTGGCCCACAGCAGATGTGTGTCTCCCCAACAGTTGCAAGACATCTGGGCTTCTACACTGGCTCCTTTGGGGACCCGGCCCTGTCTCACTGCCTGTAATATTTCTAACTAACTCAGCTGCCTGCAACAGCGTGAGGGACTGGTCCTGCAGGGAGCACGGCAGATGGTCAAGAATGCAGGGCCACTGCTAAGAAGGCAAATGACATTGGTGGTTGGCTTTGTGAAGGGTTAGCTCTTGGGGAGATGCTCCCTTTTGAGCACGTTGGGTCTTTTCTTTTGACTGTCTAGTGTATTTCCAGAATCTTGAGTAACAGCTGCCGGAAGTTGTTTTGGGATGAGATGAACATGCTGAGCACAATGAAGACATCATCCCACCAACCCCGCAGCTCTTTACAGGCAGAATCCGTCAGACATGGGGTGTGCTTGTGGGACCAGGGTGACGAGAACGTCTGCTGGCTGCCCTGTGCTGCACGCATCAGACACTGAGTCCCTCCTGAGCTCAAGGTTGTGCCCGGAGCACCAGCACAGCACAGGGGTGTCTCCTGATGCCACACCCACTTCGTCACAGCTTGGGGTAAAATCCCCACAATACTCAGCAGAATTCCCGGTTCGTTCCGGCTCCATTTCCCCATCTACACAACCAGGAAACTCAGGGTTCATGTAGACGCTCGCGAGGCACAGCCACACTAGTGAAAGAAGGCAGTGTTAATAAAATCTGCAAACCAGTCGGTCCCTTCCATGAGGGATTCCTGGGTTTCCCAATCCTCCCTGGAAACAGCTTTATCCTGCAGAGACCATGTAACATGCCTCGGCAGCCAGGTGGTTTATATGTCCCATGTCTGCCATGAGGCACTGGGCACATTAGGCAGGTGAAACATGAACCCTCTTGGTTGGGATGCCTCAAGATGAGTCTGGGGATCTCTCCTGCCTCATCTCCTCGTTTCTCCCATTTCCAGTGATCTCCATATCTCCATGTTGTCTCTTCCCTCCTTCATGGCAGGCACAGAGTGAAGGGAAGTGACCCCTGCCTGGGCTCAGACTGTGATGTACAGCTCTTCTCCAGTTTCTCCAGAGGCCACGGAAAGGCCTCTCCTCAGCAGGCACAGGAGGAGGCGGGCAGGAGCGGTTTCGGGTACAGCATCAGTGTGGGAGCAGTCTTAGCCCTGGAAGCGGGGGACCCCCGCAGCTGGATCTGAACCCCCAGGAGATGCCAAGCTTGCATTTGCCCATGTGTGTTTGCTCAGCCCTTAGGTGCCTTCTGCTGGCGCTGCTGACCCATCCCAGCTGGGAGGCAGCTGTGGAAGAGAAAACGGAATTTAGAGACAGAAGACCCAGGTCTGAATTGTAGACTGCCCACTTTCTCAAGAAAATGACCCACAGCAGTGTGGAGAGTAGTTTAGAAATTCAATGCAAAAAGAGTAACTCATACAAAGGGCCGAGGGTTTAGCTCACTGGCACAAGCGCCTGCCTGGTAAGCTCGAGGTCGTGAGTTCAATCCTTGATACAAAAAAAAAAGAGTAACTCATACAGGTAAGAGGCTCAGGGAAGACTTCTGAGAGGGACACAGGAGAGGAGTCTGAGATGCGTCTGTCCTTGGCCTGCTGTTCTAAATGGGACCTAGGCAGCCCTTAGCCCGGGTAGTGATGTGAATGAAATCACAGGGTGACTGTGGACAGGGGGCAGGGACTCCCTTCAACAAGGGACCTTGTGGCCACTGCCATCAATCTGCTGAGGAGGCCGCCTCTCAGACATTAGGGGTGAACAATGGAGGGACAGTTCCCCAGGCCTCCCTGTCCCTGCCCTGCTGCTCTGCGGGAATCCAGCTGCCTCTGGCCCAGTGTGCCAGGTGTGTCTCTGCTCTGGGAACCAAGCCCCACCCACACAGCCAGAACGCTGTGACCCTCGGGCTAGGGAGGGAGGATGCTTGTCAGAGGTCAGCAAGCTTGGAAATGCTGAGCTGGCCAGTTTCCCACTAGGGTGATGGATTCTTCCCTCTTAAAGAAAAGGTGTCAGATGCTTTGCTTCGCTGACTTGAAGGGAGGCTCAGAGTCGCATGCCTGCTTCAGAGAGCCTAGTGTAAGGGCCTCACAGGGCAGATGACAGGTCTGTCTTTGGGTCTCAACTCTGTCTCCAGGGTCCTGGCAACCATCATCTCTTTCATCCATGCTAGGACTTCCACTGAGCCCCTCATGTTCACCAGCACTGCCCATTCCAGCACCCACGATGACAGCTATGGTGTGCCAACACCTGAATTGACTGAATGAACACAGGAACCACATACTGAGTGTGCAAGACACGTCAGCTGCCAAGGCTCCCGGCTTGAGTAGCCCTAAGGGCAGGGGAGGGAAGAAGCGGTCAGCGGTCAGCAGCTGCTGGCACAGATGGAGCTTGGAGCAGCGCTGTGGGGCAGGGTCCTGTGGGCCACCAGCTCCACCAGTGAGCCACGACTTTCAAGAGTGGTTGGGGACTGAGCGATCACTGACACGGTCAGAGAAACCCAGCGGAAGGGAGATGTGGAGCTGTGAAAAAGATGAGGCAGAAACTGCAGGGAATACAGAGCCTGGAAGCCCACCCGGAGCGAGGGGCAGCACGCCTGCTGCCAGCAGAGAGGGTGTGTGAGGAGGGGTGGTTAGAGATTGGCGGAGTTGGTTGTGGAAGCTTTCAGAGACCTGTGGGATTATTTTTTCCTTGTGATACTGGAAGTTGAACCCAGGGCCTTGTGCATGTTAGGCAGGCACTCTGCCACTGAGCTACATCCCAAATCACCATCATCATCATTAACTCTAAGATAGGGTTTCTCTAAGTTAGACATACACACCGTTCTAGGCTCTTAAACCATGTTTTGTGTTTTCAAATGCAGTTCAGGCTGCCTTTCAGCTTACTTTGTAACCCAGGGTGGTCTTGAACTTGCAACGATCCTCCTGCCTCAGCCTCTCAAGTGCTGGGAGCAAGCATTATGCCACTGAACCATGTCCCCAGCCTGTCAGCAATGTTTTGAAGAGGGAGGAACATGGCTTGGAGGGGGGAAGGCAGCCTTTGAAACCAGGAGGCAGCAGTTTTGTAGAAGTTGCCCAGCAGCAGAATTTGTAGGAGCATAACCCAGGCACACAGCCCCTCCACATCTCACCACCTCACAGCCTGTGACACAGCCCAGGAACCCCTGGAGGAGGAGTCCCTGGGGAGCCAGGACAGAGGCACCATGCAATTACCCTCTCCCCCCAGCAGTAAGGTCCTGGTCACACAGCATGTGACCCACCATGTTCCCCACCTCAGGAGCACAGCTGGGCACCAGTGCTGCTGTCCACTGTCTCCCCTACCTGGGGCTCTGTACCCTTCTTTTGCAGAAACCTGGTACCAAACCAAAAGGAAGATGCCCCGGCGTGCCGAGGAGTTGAAAGGCAAACTATTTATCATGCTGGTGGGCTGGTGGGAAGATGGGTCCCAAATCACCAGCCTGGGTTAGCTTTGGGTTTTGGTTTTGCAGGATTTGCAAGCAGGAAGCACAGAAGCCAACAGCAAATCAGTTAGAGGCTCCATCATACGTCGTTAGGCAAATGAGGCAGAGGCCATTGCAGGGATTTTTTTTTTTAACGGTACAGGGGATCAAACTCACGACCATGCGATTGCAAGGCAGGTACTTATGCCGCTGAGCTAAATCCCTAGCTCCAAGGGATTGTTTATCATAAGGCGGGAGAGTCCTGGGAGGGAGTTGGGGCTAGGAGGTGGGTGAAATCATCTATTTCCAGGCCAGGGCTATAGCTTAGCAGCACAGCACCTGTCTGGTAAGTGCAAGGTTGTGAGTTCGATTCCTGGTACAAAAAATAAATAAAGGAAACCATAGATGTCTTTGTCCTTGCCTAGGCTGGAAAACACTTGGAACAGCTTGGTAAAACAGGATACATTTTTAGATAGGAAAACAGAAGCCCTGTAGCCTCACTGAGTTGAGTTGGCCTGTATACGGCTATCTATGGAAAGCAACCAGATGTGGTCAGTCAGGGCTGACTGGGCTTGGTGGTCCAGCTATGGGGCAGGCCCAATGAGCACATCTGTCTCAGTATGGTACAAAGCTGCCGGCTGGTTTACACATTTTTAATTTCCTGTTACACTTCCACAAGGGGGTCCCCTGCCTATATCAGCCCCAGTGGAAAGGGCTCCCCACTGTGGCCAATATTCTCCCTGCAGGTTCCCTCTGCTCCCCTCTGGATTAAACTTTCCTTAGTTTGCCCAACTGCCGGGTGGCCTCTCTCTGCTGCTGGGCCCTGGCCTTGCACAGACAGTTTGGCCACGGCATCTCCCATTTCCATCATACAAGTGGGAAACTGAGGCAGAGAGAGGCCAAATAACTTGCCCAAGATCAACTAGTGAGGGTGACACTGGGGTTTAGACGCCAGCTGTCTACTTCGGAGACAGCTGACACACACAAAAAGGCCCAGATCTCAACTGCCGGCAAACATGAGGACCTGGGGCAGGTGAGGAGCCTGAGGTCCAGGCTGGAATGAGCACGGGTGGGAGGCTGGAGACGGTGTACTACCCATGCACAGCGGAAGAGCAGGTCCGAGAGTAGCCACAGTTGTGTCCAAATGGAGCAGCATGTCCCCAAGAAGGCATGGTCCACAAGGCCCTATGGCCCCCAGCTGTCCCATGCAGTCTGCTGAGGGCCCTCACCCCAGGCAGGAGGTGAAAGGAGCTGTGCCAGGGCAGAACTTCTTGGGCAAGAGGTGTGGCTGATGTAGCATTTGGGGTCTCCCAATGCATCTCCATGCTGGAGTCCGTGCTGAGCAGCATGGCCTGGGTGTGGCTGGTGTGACCAAAAGGATTTTACTCCTCTGGGAAAAGATGCCTGGGGTTTGACTCTCTCCATGACGCTGCCTGAAAGGCCAGCATAAAAGCTGGGTCATCCAGGAGAGAGAGGAGAGGAGAGAGGAGAGCAGTCAGGTGGTACGGGAAACAGAGGGCAGGCGACAGGACAGGACCCTGAAGATGTTCTCTCTGCTCGGTGGACTGGCCCTCCTGGCTGGCTCCTTCCTGCTCCTGAAACTTGGCACCTTCTACTGGGAAAGGAGCCGCCTTCCTCCTGGCCCCTTGCCCTTCCCCGTCCTCGGCAACCTGTGGCAACTCAGCTTCCGGCTGCACCCAGAGATGCTGCTCCAGGTAGGGGACCTGTCCTGGAGCTGAGGCCCTGGAGGGGTGGACAGAGGGGCCTCTCCTCCTCTCAGCCCAGGCACAGTGGAGCTGGATGGGCCCAGAGACTGGGGGGCCTGGGGAAATCCTGGCCCCATCACTTGCAGCCCCTGAAGCCTGGAGCCTCCATCTCCACACCTGTCAAGCATAGGCTCAGAGGGATGAGAAAGTGGAATGTCAAAAGAAAAAAAAACCCAGAGTGCAAAACCAAAGTCCACTGGGGAGAAAACTGCATGTGACCAACCAGGATACCAGGAGAGCACTGCTGTGGCCTAAAGGCATTTTCTGTCCTGGCCCGGCCTGCAGTAGAAAGAGCATTGGACCGAGAGCCAGGGTCTGTCTTTTGGTCTCTGGTTTCCAACGGCACGCTGAGGCTGAGGGTGACATGGGAAGCCCGCCCGAGACACGAAGCCTCAAGCACTGTGCCTGCAGTCATTATCATTGTAAAGATAGCAGACCACCGCTGCCCCAGGACAGATGGGTCCAGATTCCTCCAGGGGTCCAAGGGGACTGTAACTGCTATGTGGGCTGGCCTGGGGACAGGGTGAGGATGCTCCAAGGAGGCGTCCCCCAAAGTGCATGTTGACACAAGAAGGTGGGGGGCTCACGTCCAGGATAGGGTTCTGGGGGGCAAGGCCAGCAGCTCTGCCTCAGCTGCCCTCTCTGTGCACAGCTGGCTGAGGCCCATGGCCGTGTGTTCACTGTGTGGGTCGGCTCCACGCCGGTCGTGGTGCTGAGTGGCTTCCGGGCCGTGAAGGAAGCGCTGATCTCCAACTCGGAGCAGTTCTCGGGCAGGCCCCTCACCCCGCTCTTCCGGGACCTATTCGGAGAAAGAGGCAAGTCTCACCTCACCTCAAGTCTCCGGGTCCCCAGGATGGGGAGGGGAAGCAAATACCTCTAGGGGACCCCTTGGACCCTTAGAGCTGGGTACAGGGCCCACCTCAATCAATGCTCCCCAAAGCATCCTTCCTCCCTTCTTTTCTTACTTCTGTCTCCATTTCTTTTCCTCTTTTTTTTTTTTTTTAAGTGAAGCTTTGGTTGTGGTATAATAGCACACAGTGAAAAGCCCTATTTTGTCACTATTTGCTTCCTTCCAAGCCCACAAGTAATTTGTATTTTTTATTGTCTTTTTATGAGACAGGGTCTTACTATTAGTTCAGGCTGGCCTTAAGCTCACTTTGTAGCCCAGGCTGGTCCTGAATTTGCAATGATCCTCCTGCCTCAGCCTCCCCAGTGCTGAGATTACAGGCGTGCACCATCAGCTCCTGGCTAGTAATTTTTATTTTTAATTCATTAATTTTTGCAGTGTTGGGGGCAAACTGGGCCTCCGGCAGGGTAGGCAAGTGCTGTCCCACTGAGCTGCCTCCCTGGTCCTGCTCCCCCACCATTTCTTGCAAGAACTCTTTCCGGGGACATCAGGATGGGGACTGGGATGGGCCATCTGTGCAGGCACCAGGATTGCTAACCACCTCCCCACAGCGCCCCTCACTCTGTGGGCAGGCACCAGCCCAGAACTGGTGGGGAAAGGTTGTAAAGAGCCAGGGACTTGGAGGTTGGAGGGGTCTAGTGACCGTCTGTCCCTCCGCAGGGCTCATCTGCAGCAATGGACACACCTGGCGGCAGCAGAGACGCTTCTGTCTGGTGACGCTGCGTGGGCTGGGCCGAGGCAGGCTGGCACTGGAGGGGCAGCTGCAGGAGGAGGTGGCAGAGCTGGCCGAGGCCTTCCGCCAGAAGCAGGGTGAGGAGTGGGCTGCTCAGCGCCCACCCCCGGGCATGCACGTGCTTACAGAGGAGGATGTACGTCCCTGAGGTCGGGGACATTTCGAGCCAGGTCAATAGACCGGAAGTTTCTCCAAAGTGGGTGGACACAGGCCTGGAATGCCCAGGTCAGTGGAGGGCGGAAGCCCTCCTTCTCCGTCAGCCTTTCACACCTCCAAGTTTCTGCACTGCCTGCTGGCCCTTCCTTCTCCGTGAGGAAACAGTGCTCCCCCTTCCAGGAAAAGCCCTCCCTGAGTCCCAGGCACTGCTGGTTACCTGCCCCTTATGTCCCCAGCAGTAACTCGCCCGCTGACCTCTCTCAGAAAACCCAGCCCCTGAAGGTGCTTAGTAAGCACTGGGCAGTGGGTAAATGAGGAAGGAGGGGAAACCACACTAAGGTGCAGGCGAGAGTTGGGCCAGGGGTCCTGCTGCCCGCTGTCCCTCAGCCCTGCCCCTCTGTGTCCTCAGGGAGACCCTTCGACCCTCAGGTCCTCATCGTCAGGTCCGCGGCCAGGGTCATCGGGGCCCTCGTGTTTGGCCACCGCTTCCTCTCGGAGGAGCCCATCTTTCAGCAACTGACTCAAGCCGTCAACTTTGGCCTGGCCTTTGTGGGCACTGTGTGGCGCCGGGTAACTGGCATTTGAGGGAATAAGCTGGGGCCCAGGTGCCAGGGATAGGGCCTCAGCCAGGGCCTGGCAAGGAGCTTGCAAAGCATGAAAAAAATAGAGGTCGTGAGGCCCCATTCTGGGTATTTTTTGGCTTTTGTTGTTTGAGACAGTCTCACTATATAGTCTAGGCTGGCCTTGAACGCATGGAGATCCTCCTGCCTCAGCCTCCAGAGTGCTGGGATTATAGGCATGTGCCACCACACCCAGATCATTCTGAGTTTTGTAGCTGTGTTCCAGCACCAAACCCCCTTTACTGTGCTCATTTAGCATGGGTCAGGGGGTAAAGGCAGGTGGTGACCTCATAGTCACACATTTCTCAGCCTGCAACATCTTAGCTAAGCCCCAGAATCATGATCGCTGTTACCACCACTCTCCTTTTCATCTGGATTACGTTGGGGTCTCAGGTGAGAGGTGGCCTGGGTTGCCGCCGTCAGATCCTCCAGCTTAATGTGGCACCCTAAGCACAGCTCCCAGCTGCCCTGACTCAGGGGATGGCGCCTGAGTGGGCCCTGGGGGACCCCTCTCCCCACAGCTGTACGATTTGTTTCCCTGGGCCCTCCGTCACCTGCCAGGACCCCACCAGGAGCTGTTCAGGTACCGAGAGGCTGTGCGAGGCTTCATCAGCCAGGAGATCTCCCGGCGCAAGCTCAGGGCACCGGAGGCCTCTGAGGACTTCATCAGCTGCTACTTGGCGCAGATCACCAAGGTGGGCCTGGCTTGGTGGAGGAGAGACCAAGCGAGCCTCGGTCCCTGCTGCACCTGCATCTAGGCTGTCGTCTCAGTTCTTTGATTCCATTAGCAGACCCTTGATGCCCAGAAGCCTGGGTGAAGAAAAGGGTTCCTCCCTGTGTTTCCCCAGGCGGGGGCTGATTTCTGCCAATGGGGCCAAGTGGGAGGAGATGACCTGGCTACTATTGGGGTCAGCATGCCAGGACAACCCCCAGCAAAGGCCAACGCAGTCCTGAGTCTCAGGTCCTCTCAAGCCTTGGGTTCAGTTGGGCTCCATTAGGCGAGAAATTTTAGGCCCATACCTGCTCCCTCTGCCAGACCGTGGATGACCCGGTCTCCACATTCAACGAGGAGAACCTGACCCAAGTGGTGATTGACCTGTTCCTGGGCGGCACCGACACAACGGCCACCACCCTGCGCTGGGCGCTCATCTACATGGTCCAGCATGGAGCCATACAGGGTGAGGGGCTTTGGTCACACCCTAACTGGTTCTCCTGCAGTTCATACCTCCTGGGGCTTTCTGACGGCTGGCGTGTCTCCTGCTCCACACACTGGTCACTGTGCTCCATGGCCCCAGGGCTGGGTCATGATCTCAGCCTGAGAGACAGGCAGTGTGGGCAGCTTTGAGTCACACAGAAAGAGCTTTTGTGCTTGGTCTGCTGTTTGCTGACCTTAGACCACCATTCCACGGTATCAGGCGGTAGGTAGGGAGATCCGGTCCCTTTCCCTTCCCGCAAAGGTCCCCGGCAAGAACAAACCCCCAAAGTCCTGCTCACGCCTGACTCTGAGCCGAGGTGGCTGGGTGGGGGGCACTGTGAGCCAGGGTCGGGAGCTCGGGTGGCCACCTGGGTCAGGATGGGGAGGCCTTCCGGGACCCACACCGAGCCACCGGCAGAGAGGGTGCAGCAGGAGCTGGATGAGGTGCTGGGCACAGCCCCGATCGTCTGCTATGAGGACCGCGAGCGACTGCCCTTCACCCGAGCTGTCCTCCACGAGGCACAGCGCCTCAGCAGTGTCGTGGCCGTGGGTGCTGTGCGCCAGTGTGTGACGTCCACACGCCTGCATGGTTACTCCGTGCCCAAGGTAGGTGGCCCCGCGGAGCCCCGCCCTCCACTTGGTACCTGCAACAAATATCTTCCAGCTGCTGCAGCTTCTGCCAGCCTGCCAGCTGTCTATTAGTCAATTGTCTATCATCTATGTATCATCTCTATCCATCTGTATCTATCTATCTATCTATCTATCTATCTATCTATCTATCTATCATCTCTATCATCAATCTACCTACCTATTATTTCTGTCTATCTATCTATTCATGGAATTAGGAATGGGACACTCACTGGTGGATATTTTAAAATTTTCCTGCTGTCCACAGAAAACCCTCACAGACATTTCCATGGACCCTTTCCCAGCCTTTGTGGTTTGCATATATTTAGGTGATTGTGGTTCTGCTGCATTGATCATTCTGAATGCTCATTTCACTTAACACAGCACCCAGCTTTCTGCAGAATGGTGCCCAAACCTCTAGCTCCGCAGAGGCTCTCTCTGGGGCTCCCCACCCAGCATCGGGATTTCCCACAGCTCCTGCTTGGTTCCTGTAGTCCAGGGACTGCACTATGCAAACCACTGCTCGCATCACTTAATGTCTGTACCATGTTCTGCCAAATGGGTGTTTTTCTGGGTTCTGGTCCTTACTGATGAATATATAGGCCATTTGCAATTTATTTATTTGTTCTTATTTCATTTTAACTTTTTTGGTTGTTTGTAGCTCAGGCTGACCTTGAACTCATTATGTAGCTCAGGCTGGCCTTGAATTCATAGTGATCCTCCTGCCTCAGCCTCCCAAGGGCTGGGATTACAGGCATGTGCCATTGCGCCCAGCTCTTATTTCTTTTTATAATAAGAGTTTTTTTTAAAAAGGTACCAAATAAGAAGAGAGAAGAAGAGATTGTATAAAAATATTTAGGTTAAACACAGCCTCCTAAACCGAATGTAGTTGCCTATACCTATAGTCTCAGTACTTGGAAGGCTGAAGCAGGAGGATTGCTGCCAAGTTCAAGGTCCGCCCAAACTATACTGTGAGTCCCTGTCACAATCAAACAAATGAACGAACAAACAAAATATTTAGGTCAAAAGCGACTATTATATATGTTTCTTTTCTTTTTTTTTTTGTACCAGGAATTGAATTTACAACCTCATACTTGCCAAGCAAGCACTGTACCACTGAGCTACATCCCCAGGCCCTTAAAGAAGCTACTATATATGTACATAAAACTTGTGTTGAACTTCCTTAGAGACAGGTACAGAAGGAAATTCCAGTGGGTTGTATCCCTCCTTACATAACAAAAGAAGGCGCCTATGCTCCAAGAGAGCTTTGGCTTATCACATTCTGAAATGCTAGTATGAGGACGTCTTTCATAAAAGCCTTTCAAGACTTGAAGTGGGAAGAGGTTTCATTTTTTATTTTTTTAGTTTTCTGGTACCAGGGATCAAACTCATGACCTCACACTTGCCAGGCAGGCACTTGTGCCACTGAGCTAAATCCCCAGCCCAGGAAGCTTTAAAAGATGCAGAAATGTTCTTAAAAATGGCATCGGCTTCTTATCTCCAACCCTTCATTATTCGAAATATCTTTATTGACTGAAACATCGATTATCTTGGGGTGCAGACCACATTGCATATTCTTTTTTTTAATTGTAAGTTTAAATGGAAGTATTTTAGTCTTTAATGATAAAGCAAACTATACAAAATTTGATCTTTAGGGTCAGGGACATAGCTCAGTGGCACAAGCAACTGCTTGGCAAGCTCAAGGTCCTGAGTTTGATTCCTATTACCAAAAAAACCTTGATCTTCTCAGGGACTGCGCCATGCAAACCACTGCTCACATCACTTAATATCTGTATTTGTATAAGTAGATACGATTATTATAGAGCAAGCAAGCAAGCAAGACAGGGCACTGATCGGCCTGGGACAGATAAATGTCAACTGTCAGCAACAAAGGAGATATTTTGCCTTTAAAAATGTTTTATATCATGCCATTTCATGTCCATCAACACAGTGAAGTCCAGTGCTAACAGCACAAGACAGGAGGATAATACTCTCCTTGTACATCTGGAGCTGACTCTCAAAAGATTTTGGTTTCCATCTAAATGCATGCACAGATTCTTAAAAATTAGAGACCTAACTAACATGATACACATGGAGCCTTTCTATTTACGGTCTCACTTCTAAAGAGCTTCTCTTAAATTTAAGCTGTAGTCGTACTTTTATTGAGAAGTCTTTTTCCTGTTAGCATAATTCCAAGGTCAGATTTCTTACCCATGAAAATATCCTTACACACAGAAATAGTTAACTTGAAAGACAAAACACAAATGTTTAAGAAGTGACTTCTCAGCTGATGTGTCTCGTTGGTGTTAAATGCTGGTTATAAAGGCCTGCAGTTCTTTTTCTGTTTTAAGGCTCAGTAGTTCGTACTGATACCTGCTTTCTGCCTTCTGCATAGATGAGATGTCTTCTATGACCCAATGAACACTGAAGTTGATGTTTATTTTCTTGCATGAAAGTTTAACATGATGTTGAGTGCATTTCTATGTGATGCCAAAATAATATCTCTGTGGCTTACAGGTCTTGGGCAAGCCACCTCCAGTTAAGTTTCCACACAGGGCTTGGACACAGCTGGGCAACAGCACACTAATCCCTGCCCTTAGCCAAAGCTGTCTGTGTGTGGGAGCTCTGTGACAGGCATACTTTTCAAGAGGTACATGGTGTCCGGTACCATTGGCTGAGCGAGGACAAGCCTGCATTAGCTACCGCCCCAGAGCAGTGGGAACAGCAGCACTAAGGGCTTCACAGCTTCTGAGGCTCAGGATCTGGGTGCAGCGTAGCTGGACCAGGGGGCAGCCAGTGGGGCAGGACTGCAGGCCCCACCAGGAGACTCTGCTTCCAGCTCCCTCACACAGATTCCCCAGGACTCGCTTGCTCGTGGGCTGCTGGCTGGAGGCCATGCTCAGTTTCTAGCTCAAAACACGGCAGCTGACCTCCGACAGGGAGAGCAAGCAGCGAGCACCCGAGTAGAGGCTTTTGGCTTTTGTAAGATAATCTCAGACCTGGTGATACCCCATTGCCTTCACCAGGCTCCATTTGCCAGAAGGGAGTAATAGATCCTGCTCTGCCTCAGAGCAGGGTATTCCATAAGGGTGGGGATACAATAGCAGGACTCAAGGATGTCGGGGAGCATTTAATAGCTCACCTAGCAGGGGTGCAGAGGGTATAAGAGTGCTTGGGGTCCGAGGCAGATTCAACTCCAGCCTTCCCAGGACGGCATCATTAATTTACTATTAATCGATCAAACTCTTGATTCCTGCCTCCCCTTATTTTATTTCTGCTTCATGGTAACCTTAGCCTTTAGGTCCATTGTGATGGCTTTTATGAGAGCACGAAGACATCACCCTACAGAGCTCCCGTACCTGCCCCAAACACAGCTAGGAGCTGGCTTTGCTCAGTTTCAAATTCACGGCTCTGTGACTGCAAAGGTTTTATTCCTCCCACAGAGATGGCTCCATAAATGCCACCCTAGAAAAGCCAGCAAGCCAGTGGGTTAGGTGGGCATTTTGCATGGCTCCTTGGTTAGCCAGAGTGGAGGACACAGAGCTGTCCTTGACACTGATGGGCCACCAGTTCATAGGTATGTGATTTGTATCCCAGGAAGGTAGAACGGGACCAGGGTGGCATCAGCTTGTCTCACTGCTGGCACGACAGGTTGTCTAAACCCAGTGCCAGATTATGTCAAGTGAAAAAGGTGGGGACCAGACTCGGCCTGTTTTATGCTGTTTGGGATTAGAAATACCCTGATTAAGAGTCCAATACCCTGATTAAGAGCCAATTGGGTTTGAGGAGTTGCTCTGTGAAACAGACTCCTGGGGGTCATTAACAACTTGGAATCAATACCCAGCTTTTACAACTTTGGAGACAGACATCTGCTGAAAGCGGAATCAAAGCTTGACAGTAGATCATTAAATGTGACAGATATCACTAAACACTCCCCAGCCATTTCATCAGCGACGACAGCCTTGGTCCCTGTTACAGCAGGCACACAAGCCCACCTCTGCTCAGTCTATTTGATTGTCCAAAGTGCCATTGACCGGGGAGAAGCTGGCACATGTGCCCAGGAGGTGCCAGAGGCAGATGGCTTTGTCTCCTGGAGACAGGGAGAGCTGCCCTTTGTGTGCAGCTAAAATCAGTTCTGAACCCTTCCCCAGAGCTGAGATTAATCAGTCAGTGTGCAAGGAGGCAAAAGGTCACTCAGAAGAGGGTGGAAATAATTCTGGAGGGAGCATAGCAAACTTGGCAAGGGCCCCATGGTCTGAAGGTGACTGGCACTGATCGCTGAGCCAGCTGAGGATGGAACTCAGTGGTAGAGCACATGACCTATGTGCGGCCTTGGCTTTGAGCTCTGGCACCGCCACAAAAAGAAAACAGCAGGGGCATGGTTAAAAAGGATTGTTACCATGCAGAGGGTGCTTAATGCCATGTAAAGAAAACCAGGGTGGACTATAATGGGACAATGTGAAGGAACACAATGCCTCCTCCGTGCCTCTGCTTACAACCAGAGTGCTGGGCCTGGCTGGCGTATCAGTCCAAAGGCCATGGCCAGGCCCCCTGACCAGGCAGCACGGCAGCAGCAGCACAAAGCAGCTTCTGGCTTCTTTATTGGTTTCTGCTTGGGATTCAGGCTTCAAATTCAAATCTCAGGCAGCTGAGATTTTGTTGGCTTTTTGCTTTTGTTTTAAATTTAAACTGTGTTTGTCAAAACCTATAGTGGGTACCCTGGTTCAATCCTATGGCCCTTGGGAAGTAGGAGGCCTTCCCAGAATCTCAGTGCCAGGTCCTGGGACCATAATCAGGTCCCTTTTTGCTACAACAGTAGCCTCCTTGTGTTGTTTCTGGTCAGCCCAGGGCCACAGGGGAAGGAGCAGAGGTTACCCTGGCTGCAGCCACTGGCTCCTTCTTCAGAGACAGGCTTTCACCATGTAGTTCTGTTTGTCCATCTGTTTCTCACACGTGGGTACCACTAGCCCAAGAGGTGTGATGCTCAGCCCTTTACTGTGGTGACCTAGATGGAGGTCCTCTGCGGCCACCTACTGGACAGCCCTAGCCTCGGCCCCTGTCGCCACTGCTGCCAGCACAGGTTCCCTTTGGTCAGAGTCAGGGCCTCTGAGCTCCCTGAGCCCATCGATTTCTGTTTGCAGGGCACCATCATCCTGCCCAACCTGGCCTCTGTGCTGCATGACCCTGAGCACTGGGAGACCCCGTGCCAGTTCAACCCTAGCCATTTCCTGGACAAGGATGGCAATTTCATGGTGAACGAGGCCTTCCTGCCATTCTCTGCAGGTACTTGGCACAGTGCTGGGTGCTGGGTACTAGGTAGTAGGTGGGAGGGTGATGGCGACTGACATAGACAGCCACTACCCCTGACCTCCTGCTTCCAGGACATCGGATGTGCCCGGGGGACCAGCTGGCCCGAATGGAGCTCTTCCTGATGTTTGCCACTCTCCTCCGGACCTTCCGGTTCCAGCTGCCAGAGGGGACCCCGGGGCTCAGGCTGGAGTACGTCTTCGGGGGCACCCTGCAGCCCCAGCCCCAGGAGATCTGTGCAGTGCCCCGCCTGAGCAGCTGCAGCCCCAGCTCAGCCCCGAGCAGGGAAGGCCTGTAGCCAGCTGGCCTCCTTCCCAGTCTCCCCTGGTCCCTGCAAAGGCAGAGAAGAGGGTGGACAGGGGTTCACCCAGCTGTCCTGTTCACAGGTTCCCTAACACAAGCTCCACAGGTGACAACAGTATGGCGACTTCTCAAGAATTCTACGCAGGTAGCTTAGTTCTCAGGTTAGATAGGCAGGGAAGGATATACAGCGTTCAGTAGAGTTGACATTAAATCAATTTGCATGGTACATTCGGTGAATCAGGCCTCGAAAGGCAGCAGCTAAGCAGATTCAGCGGGACAAGGCTTTCAGGCAAAACTGTACATACAATAATGTGTGCCAGCATTTGGGATATGGAGGACTGAGGAGCTTAATAAAAGAGAGGGGAGACAGGCATGCTGGTGCAGACTTGTCATTTCCACACTCTGGGAGGCTGCACCATGAGGATTCCCAAGTTCAAGTTAGATTCTGTTTCAAAAATGAAAAAGACTGGGGATGCAGTTAATTCAGTGAGAAGGCCTGTACCACCCTCCCCCCAAAAAGAAAGCAGCCTATTTTTGCCCTCTTCTGGTAAGATGGGAGAAGTGCAGACACAGCACAGGGAAAGACACACACACACACACACACACACACACCTGTTCCCAGCAACTCTTCCCCCAAGGACCTTCTACTTCCCAGAAGGGTCCCCAAGCTTTGTGTTTCCAGACAAGCCTTACTTCTTAAAAGGGAGCAGCCTGGTGAAGGAATGAAAACCAGATACTACTACATAGCGTTACGGTTGCCAGACACAAAACCCTGAGGGTCCTGAGAGCCAGAAAAGATGTGGAGAAACTGGAACGCACATCCACTGCTGCTGGGAAGGCAGAATGGCACAGCCATTTACCAGCTTTCTGGTAAAAGGAAGCAGGACACCGGGCAACACAGCCACCCCGGCCTGGGTAGTGTTACCTAAAGAAATGAAAACACACATTTGCGCATATGCATGTTAATAGGCATCTGTTTCTATGACATTGTTGAAAAATCAAAACTGTAAGAATCAGTGTTGCCAAGGTCTGGAAGTAGGGTTGACTAGAAAGGGATATAAGGTGACTATATATATATATATTTCTTTTAGCTTTTTGAGACAGGGTCTCACTATGCAGTACAGGCTGGCCTTGAGCTCACTGTGTAGCCCAGGCTGGTCTCAAACTCACAACAATCTTCCTGCCTCAGCCTCCCGAGTGCTGAATTTACAAGTGTGCACCACCCCCACCCCCCACCCCCGCTAATGCTCTAGATTTTGACTGTGATGATGATTCCATGAGTGTACGTGTTTATTAAAACACAGCTGCACACTTACAGCCTATTGTGTGTGTGTAGTATGTACATACTTCACACCTCAATAAACTTGACTTTTTTTTTTAATAAACCTGACTTTTAACAACAAATGCTTTATGTTTCCTGGAACGTGGTCAGCACACTCCTAGTGACCCTTGCACACATGGTCTCAACCTACTGATCCCTGGGTGTTCCCCAAACACCCCCCTTTTTCCACAGCCTCCTTCTTGGTCAGTTTGGGTTCTGGCAGGGAATAGAATGCTCATTCTCTACTACTGAGCCTAGAGGAGAGTTTTGGAACAGAGCACACAAGCCAAGAGCATGTGAGCCCAGGAGCAAAGGCACAGGAGATGAGCTCTCACTTTTCCTTCCTCCTCCCTCCCAGCTCCTGTCCTGCCTGTCACTGAACCCAGCTGGAAGCCACAGTGAAAGCGTCCATTCACCAGGCTCAGAAAAATGAGCATCAGAAGGCCTGGGGCAGTGTGAGAGAGTGACCGGAAAGGGTGAGGCCTAGAACATTTGGGTGCATCCCAGTGCCAGCTCCCCCAGGTTCTGGGTGGGCCACACCCACCTGTGCCTTAATGATCTTTCCAGATTTCTCACCCACCGATTATCTTGGGTGCATAATTTTTCCTCCACCAAGATTCTGCCCTTTATCTTCAGCACCAAAGACACTTATTGCAGCCTCTCCCTCACTAGAGTCTTAGGGCTCCATCCCTAGTCCAGCCATCATCCTAGAGACCCCATCTTCTTTGGACAATGCTGTCTATGTCCTGAACTCAGCCTCTGGGCTTCCTCGTCTTCAGGAAGTTCTATTTTCCTTTGTCTTCTCCCATCAGCCCTAGGGCCACCCCTAGGTTTTCTGTTGGCACCTAGAGACCCGTCCACCATCCCTAACCCCAATACTGAGACAGGTTTGATATTTTTCCCTACCTGAAAGCTAACAAGACAGCAGCTCCGCTGGTAGAAAACACAAGACCTGGGGTTCAGAGATGCAGGGTAATGCATTGCAGCAAGGGCACACGCCTGTAATCCCAGCATTGGGGAAGCTGAGGCAGGAGGATGGCTATGAGTTCGAGACTGCCCTGGGTTACAAAGTGAGCCTGAACTGCATGATGAGGCCCTATCTCAAAAGACCAAAAAAAAGAGAAAAAAAGTCACTTTCCCCACACTTCTTCTACTTTAGAGCCTCATATTCCTCATCTGCAAGTGGGGAGAAAGCCTGGCTCCCCTCGCTAGAGGGGTTCAGGTCGGGGCTCCAGGACGTCTGTACAGCTATAGCTGTAGAACCGCCGCCCGCGAGTCACGCATGCGCCCTTTCGCCTGGTCGGGCCTCCACTGGGTCGCACGGGGGCGCTCTAGGCGGCTCCTCTGCGCTCTATGGTGCCTCCTTCGCCCCGGAAGTGGTTCCGCGGCATTGGTGATAGGGTCGGGCCATGGTGGGGCAGAGGTTGGGAAGATGGCGTGGCGAGGCTGGGCACACAGAGGTTGGGGCTGCGGCCAGGCGTGGGCCCTACAGGTGGGCGGCCACATCTGCGAAGAGGTCACCACGGTCCCGGCCCCGCCGCGACTCTTCGGACGCCGGTAATGGTCGTCGTCCTCGGCTTGTCGCCTCTCGGCCCCGGCGCTTCGGCCGCGCATTTTCGGGGCGCTCGGGCTGCGGCTCTTCGCGTCCTTTCCTCACTCGTCGCCAGCCCCTTCCGCTTTTCCTTAGCCTTCGTTCAGTTCTTCCTTCTCAAGGCGCCCCCCTGCGCTGGGCTGGCCGGACTGTGATCGCCCCAGCCGGCCTTGGAGAGCCCGCGCTTTCCTGTCGGGAGGGACCTGACCGGAAAGGGGGACCGGCCTCTTGGGGCGACTTGCGGGCCACCCTCATCATCCTGAGCGGATAGTATTAAACTGTTCTTAAGGGAAACAGTTGCCCCGCTGGTAGAATGGCAGAGTCTAGTAGCCTAATTATAAAGACTGTATTTCGCTGCACCACTCCCTTCGTTAGGGTGCCGAGTACATCATTCTGCCTTTCTTGCAAAGCTTGTGTGTGTGTGTGTGTGTGTGTGTGTGTGTGTGTGTGTGTGTGTGTGTGAGAGAGAGAGAGAGAGAGAGAGAGACGGTCTCAGTATGCAGTTCAGCCTGGCCTTGAGCTCACTTCGTAGCCCATGCTGGTCTCAAACTCGCAAGGATCCTTTTGCCTCCGCCTCCCAGAGTGCTGGGATTACAGGCGTGCGCCTTCACGCCCGGCTTCTTGCAAAGTTTTAAGAAGAGTTTTTCTGTTGAAGAGTTGAGAAAGTGAAACTTGGTTTCTCCATGCTTTGGAGAAACCCTTGCTTGATGTATGAGAAGCTGTATGAAGATCGTGGTGTCTCAGTGTTCGCTGATTTTTCTGTAAGGGTTTTTCTGTAAGGGTTCGGTTCTATATTGAGAGAAATCCTTCAGCGTTCTAAGAATCGGATGTGTGCTGACTTTTAAATTTCACCCAGATCTAAATTTCATTCAGCTTTCCCAGTTCTAACTGGACCTCTTTCTTACTAGGCAGGCACTTGTGCCACTGAGCTAACCCCTTGGTCCTCACTATCCATTTTTTGATGTTGCCTCATTTCTGTTTTCCTAACTTACTTTAGGTGAGTAATTCATCTTTTTATCTTAGATACTCTTCTGAATGGTAGAGCTAAATAACCTAAACCTGTGAAAAGATCACAGGCATTTGCAGTTTGAAACATTATTGTTCTTGAGGTTTATTTTTGCCTCTTAGGAAATTTATGTGCTCCCAGCACTCAAGAGGCAGAGGCAGGAAGGTCCCCTCCAGTTCGAAGCCAGCCTGGGCTACATAATTAGTTCAGAGCAGCCTGCACTAGATCCTGTCTTAAAAAAAAATTAAAAATATGAAAAGCTATCTAAGAAGACTACCTGCCATGTAACAGGTCATGATATAATTATCCTTACACCTGAGAGTGTCCTCCTGTTAGCTTTGATCCCGTGCGTCTAGCAGCTAGAGTCCAGGCTCTTATGTACAAACTGAAGAGCCTTCATCCTGTAGTAAATGAGAAACAGCTGCATTGACTGAAGGTGCCCTGGAGACATGCTCAGGGTCGTGGGAATCAGCCCCTGGGTAACTTCTGTTGGAATTGTTTCTCACCTAATCCTGTAGGATTGAAATGTAGGTAAGACTGTTCTGATTAAAATCTCAGCATCACTAGAAGAGCTGGAAGAGTGGGGAATCACTCAGGAACTAACAGTGTAGGCGTTGTGTGGGACAGGGGTTTGGCCAACTGCTTTCATAAAAGGCCAGACATGAAAGTTGGACCGCGTGTATCTTCTCTAACACCCCCCAAAATGTAAAGACCATTCCTCGACAGAGGATCACATTCACCTTTCAGCCCTTGGTTTGTCAACTCCTGATTTAGGAGCTTTTTAGACATAAAAGCTTAACCTACCCCAGGGACTACGAAGTTACAGTGATGTTAATGTGATTCCCCAGGTGATCTGTATGTAGACTAAGGTTTTCCCCAAAGCTGTGATAAGGCTTGGCCCTGCTTGGACCGGAGAGTCCTTTGAGGAGCCCTTAGATGCTGAAGCCCTGGACTGCTCCTGGAATCTTAATTAATTTGACATGGAGCCAGGGTGTGGTCATTTTAAGAGCACACCAGGCTCTATTCCAGGACCAAGAATCACTGCTGTAAGCTGAGCTTTTAGAATTTCACCTGCCTCTACCACAGCTGGTCCATCGATTAAAAATCATGGCACGGTGTTGTCACTCCTGCGGCATCGAAGTGCATTTCTCTATTTGAAGCTGGCTGGCCCAGTCATGTGTGGCAGAAGAAGCATTGAGGAAGGTCCAAAGTCATTCCAGTGTTGAGAGACCTTGCGGTTTTTGTCCCCTGGAGCTCCGTCCCTTGTGTGTGGTAGCCCCTGCTAGACTGCTACATGCTGGGAGGCCACATGCAGAGATGCAGCGGGCACCCAGGCTCCAGACAGGGGACGCTGCCCTCTTTAGCTCTCTAGTTCCTGTTCTCTAGTCCAGTAGGTGACTGGCTGCACCAGTGCCCCAGGTGAGAGCAGCAGGACTGCCTAGCTGAGGGCAGCTGCCCTACGCAATCACCAGAAGCAGTGAGGTATGGCTTTAAGCCAGTGTGTTTGAGAATCGTTTGAAAACACGGCATTGAGCAGCTGAGGAAGTCTCTACCAAACCAAACCCAGGTCTGCGAAGCTCAGACTAGTGCTGCTTCTACTTCCCCTTGCTAGCGAACCTGGCCCCTCGGACCTTACTGATCGCAGTTTTGAAGTCAAGTATCGTGCTGTGTGTCCGATTGGCACCTGATTACATCTGGAACCTTAACCACAAAGAGGCTTAGGAAATAATTTTTGGCTTTGCAATCCCCGTGCTGTGTGAATACCAGATTCTGTCCATCAAATTCCATATGCACAACTGTAATTTTATATGTGTGCACCAGGACACACTTAAATGCATGTATACTGCATCCATTATGTTCTAACATAACCCTGAGTTCAGCTTGTTTAGCATGCTTGATATCCTCAGGTCTCTGCTTATTGCTAAGGAAACTGTCGAGGTAAAGAATCAAAGCTAATGGCCTCACTTAGCTTGAAGTCCGGATTCTCAACTGAGTATGTTTGTGTTTCTTTTCAAACATTGTGCTTCAGATTGTTAAGTGAATCGATGAGATGCCAAGGTTGGAGTTTTTAATTAGAATTGGAGTCTTTAGAGGTTGGGCGTGGTGGCACATGCCTGTGACCCTAGCACTGGGGAGGCTGAGGCAGGAGGACTGGTATGAGTTTGAGGCCAACCTGAACTATAAAATAGGAGGACCTTGCCTCAAAAAAAGGGGAAGGGCCTGGGGATTTAGCTCAATGGCATAAGCACCTGTCTTGCAAGCGCGTAGTTGTAAGTTCGATCCTCGATAGCGGGGTGGGGGGCAGTGTGTGTGGGGGCTTTGCACATATTTGGTAGTAAAGGTATAGAAGAAAACTTTCAGTTGAAATTGGAGCTGAATACAGTTTGTAGTTTCCCGGAAGCTGGGAATGGGAGAGGTGATCAGTAGTGTCAGGAGTGCTGAGGCTACGCTTTGCACTCAGCAAAACATCTCACTAGTGTATTTGTTGGCTGTTCCCCAAACTGAATTGGCATGAGGTAAGAGGAACTCATCAATTTACAATGGTCATTCTTGTTTGAATTTGGAATAACTGAAAGGATAATATATTGAAATGCCTGTTCTGGAACTTGATCAGACTTCAAAGTGAAGCCATTCTATACTGATTAAAACCGACAGCTGAAGAGTTCTCTTGCTGTTTACAAGATGGCAGAGTCTTTCTGTAGAATAGATACAAATTGTTCTGTTGATTGGTACATGAATAGCCCCAACTAGCACCCTCTTGGGGGCTGTAGTCCTGGCTCATCTTTTCTAGAAAGGTTAAATGCCGGGAGTGAATCCTGCCTGGGTTAGGAGTCCTGGCGCTCGCTGGACTACAGAGAATGAACAGTGAGGAAACCTGCCGGCTGGAGGCTCGCGGAGGCCAATGTTTGCAAGATGCCACCGTGTTTCTGACCCAGTATTTTCCCTCACAGGTTTAACTTCTTTATTCAGCAAAAATGCGGATTCAGAAAAGCACCCAGGAAGATTGAATCTCGAAGATCAGACACAGGGTTGAGTGGTGGAGCCCACAAGAGAAGTGCTTTGATTCCTCCCGTGGAAGAGACGGTCTTAGAACCTTCTCCCTATCCCATAAGGACTCTGCTGAAACCTTTTGTTTTCACTGTTGGGGTAAGAGTTCGTGGTGCCAGAAGTTACCCAGCTCACTGCCAGTGCAGTGGTGAGGTTCTGTGTCCCGCTTGGGCCCCATCAGAGCAGGAGTGGGTGAGGGTGAGGAGCAGAAGGCTCCACACAGCTGGGCTCGTGGATTCTATTTTCAGAATGAACTTAATAATCGCTTTTAGATGCTGGCCTGCTTACCTGAGCAATAGAGAAGAAATTATGGGCTTTCAATTTGCCACAGTGTTTGAAGTGATACTGATTAAGTATTTTGAATTTTGTCTGGGGATTTGTTGCTGGAAGCAGGCCTCAGGGTGCTCTAAAGTTAATAAAATGGAAAACAGTAAAATGTTCTTGGCACCTAGTAGGTTTTACTGTGTCAGGTGTATCTTCTGTTGGTTGTGAAAAGTAATAAAAATGAAATAATGTCCTTGGAAATACATGTAGATCTACTTCCCTATGAGGGCTGTTGTGTAATATTTTTAATTTCATATAGTTTACAGGCTGTGCATTTGGATCAGCTGCCATTTGGCAATACGAATCGCTGAAATCCAGGGTCCAGAGTTACTTTGATGGGGTAAAGGCTGATTGGTTGGATAGCATAAGACCACAAAAGAAAGGAGACCTCAGAAAGGAGGTAAGGATCAACATCTTTTCTTTGTTCTAACTAGTTGCAATTTTTTTTTTTTTAATACTGGGGCTCGAACTCAAGACCTTGTGCTTGCCAGGCAGGTGCTTACCCCACTGAGCTAAATCCCTGCCCCTGGAATCATAGTGTTTGAAGTCTGGTTGTAAAGTATTTTAGTTAACGGCAATGTTCCATCCACCGATGTGAAGTCAGTGCCCTTAACACTGTCAGTCTCACTATGGTGAGTGTTTACTAATGTGCTGGCCGTCTGGAAGTGTCATGCTTGGCAGTGTCCCCAGAATTTGGTTGTGACCCCCAGGCATCATAGTGGCCACAGATTATTGCCAAAAATGAAAGCTTTGGGCCCCACTGCAGTTTAAAGGCTGTCTTCTCTGGAACTCTCCTCCTGGAGTAGAGTATGTACCACAATCCCTGCAGGCATTTTTAAAAACACAGCCTTAGGGGCTGGGGATTTAGCTCAGCGGCATAAGTGCCTGCCTTGCAAGCAGGCAGTCGTGAGTTCGATCCCCGGTACCGATAAAAAGGAAACAGACAAAAAAAAACAAAAACAAAAACAAAAAAACGCAGCCTTGCAGTTTGCGGGATTTTTCAAGCTGCTCAGCAGCGCAGTGTCCCAGATGCAAGGTAGATCTCTGTGATCGAGCGTGTCTGGCGGTGCCCGCAAGGGGTGCGGGTGCAGGGCAGGAGCACAAACATAGAGCGCACAGGTCTTGCACCTTCAATATAGCCATGGCCCTTTTTCCTTTTATCTAAAAAGTTTTTAAAAGTTTCCTTCTAGATAAAGCATATAAATACTTATTTTACGTCCCAATATTTATTGAGTGCTCAGGCCATTTGTCAGTATGTTTCCAGCACCATTTGGTTTTCAGACACCTTTTTTTGTTTTGGTTTGGTTTGGGTTTTGTTTTTTTTTTTTGAGATGGGGCCTCACTGTGTAGTCCAGGCTGGCCTGGAAGTTACAGCGAGCTTCTGCCTCAGCCTCCTGAGTGCTAGGATTGCAGGCCTGTGCCACCTTGCATAACCCTCACACACCTTTTCTTAGATGACACACTGCCCAGCAAGTTTGGAGAGAGGTCGATGTTCTTATTCTTCCCTTCTTAAGAACAGTTCAGTCCTGGTCAGCAAGGCCCTGAGAAGGAAGCCGGGCTTCTGTTTTTACTAGTGACAGTTTGAGTTCCTACATGGAGGAGCTCGGGGAGCAAGTACCTTGTGCAGGAGAGGCTGATGGCAGGAGAACAGTGGGTAATGTTTACCTGTGAAGCAGTACCTAGCAGATTTCTAGTTGCTACTGTGTATCAGATGATAGTAAAGCCAGCCACTTCCCTAATCCTGGATCCCTTTGAAAGTTATGAGTTTCTACACATCTCTGTACTGAGAACTTTTAACGCCCAAAGGTACCCAAGTGGTTCTTTAGGATAAGAAAAACAGAGACATAAGCAGTGTATATAATCTTTTTTCCTCCCAGTTCTGGAGTTTGAACCCAGGGAGTACTTCATTTATTTGTTTGTTTGTTTATTGAGGCAGGGTCTTGCTTTGTCATCCAGGCTGGCCTTGAACTCAAAGGGATCCTCCGGCCTCAGCCTCCAAAATGCTGGGATTATAGCATGTGCCACCATAATCAGTTTATTTTATTCTTATTTTGAGACAGATTCTTGTTAAATTGCCCAGGCTGGTCTAGGACTTGTGCTCCTCCTCCCTTCGCTGCCTGAGTAGCTGATGTTACGTGTGCTTTATAGTACCCAGCTTCAAAGACAAACTTTTTAAAAAATAATGCACAAACAGTAGGTTATAATAGTCTCTGCACTTTAAAGACAATTGAAACAGTATGTAAATATAATGTGGGAAATGAAAATCCTACCCAGATGTGGTGGTGTGTACTTGTATGCTCAGCTGTTTAGGAGGCTGAGGCAGGAGAACAGCTTGAGTGTGAGGCCAGCCTCAGCAGCAAAGTGAGATTCTGTCTTGACAAAAAAGAAAAAAGAAAAAGAAAGAAAGAAAGAGAAAATGAAAGCCCTGGGAATCCCATTCATACCACTATGTGGACACTGAGGAAGGTCTGGGAGCTCACACACAAAAGTGTAGATACGGAATTGCATACACACTGTTCTGTACATTTTTTAACCTTGAATTTTAACAAAGCCTGGTTCAATATCTCAATTTTATATATATATATGTATATATATTCTTTTTGAGGGGCCAGTACTGGAGGGGCACTTTACACTGAGCTATGTCTCTGGCTTGTTTTATTTTTTGTGTTTAGACAGGGTCTCGCTGAGTCCTGGGTGGCCTTGGACATGTCCTCTTCTAGCCTCCTGAGTGCTAGCAGTGCAGGCTTCTTTTACCATGCCTGATTCAGAATTCTTTTTTTTTTTTTTTTTTAAATTTAAATCTTTAATCATGGAAGATTTCAAACAGATGTAGACTTAGCGAGAATCGTATAGATGAGCTGCTGTCGTCCAGCTACAGGGTGGCGGTTGGGAATAACTGAAGTGATGGCCAGCAGGAGCCCCCTCCTCCTCACAGCATTACCGTTACGCAGGCCCTGGGCTTTTTTCAGAAAAATTTCAGTTTAAATCTCCGAACACTTAGAGTTCTCAGTGTCTTTGTGAAGCCCAGTACCATTATATCTAAAAATAGATGAGTATACAATATTCTGTGAATTTTGTTCTGCTTCAGTTTTGAGACAGGGCCTCTCCATGTGGCCCAGGCCAGTTCTGAGCTCCTGTAGCACACATACCTTTTCCAAGCGCCCACACACTTGCTGTGTTTATTGGTCTCCAGCGGTTTTGTTTGAGGTTGAGGAATTGCACTTTTATACACGGCGTTTTCCTTCTGGGTTTTCGTTTTCACGCCCTGAAGTGTTTCGCATGTGGTGACACCAGCTTTCCTTCTATTATAGATTAACAAGTGGTGGAATAACCTAAGTGATGGCCAGCGGACTGTGACAGGTTTGTGTTAGCTTACACGTTTAGCCATTCAAAGGAAGAGAAATCAAACCAAAAGGTACAGTATGTCACAGGCAACGGCTTCCCTGCGCTCCTCAGTGGTAGAAGATGGAGACAGTGTCTGTACCGATGGGCTAATGTTTCAGCAGGAAAAGTGAAGCCTGAAGGTGTCAGGATTTTAGGGATATTTCTCCTCCGGTTTCATCCAGTGTAATACTGACCAGATGGTCAGTTTGTTGTAGAATCTTGCCAATTAGCTCCTGAGTAATTTTATTTGTTTGTTTTTGCTTTTTTGAAACAGGGTCTCACTGTGTAGTCCAGGCTAGCCTTAATCTCACTATGTATCCCAGGCTGGCCTCAAATTTACTGCAGTCCTCCTGCCTCGGCCTCCAGGTGTTGGGATTACAGGCATGTGCACACAATGCCTGGCTAACTCTAGTAATTTTTACTTTATTATTAAAGTTGCTAAAGGAAACTCTGACTCTGCACAGGTTACTTTATATACATTGTTCCCCAGGGTTGCTTAAAGGGTAGTTGTCTCCCTTTGCATAGATAAACTTTCAGAGAAAGAATTTTTTTTCTTTTTGTCTTTTTGAGACAGTTTCACTATTCAATTCAGGTTGGCATTGAACTCACTTTGTAGCCAAAGCTGGCCTCCAACGTCTAGCAATCCTCTTGCCTCAGCCTCCCAAGTGCTGGGATTGCAAGCATGAGCCACCATGCCCAGGGAAAGCAAGAAATTTTTGAAAATCAGACTGCTAGTAAGTAGTAGGGTTCAGATTTAAAACTGAGGCCTCTCTCAAAAGCCAGTTTTCTGGCTCTTCTACCATACTATTTATAAGATCCTCTTTAAGCAGTCCATGGCATCATGATTGTTTTTATTCTTTGTAAATTTTTATGGAAAGAGTTTGGGCTCTTTAACATTTGTACAGTGTCTTGATGGGGTTATTTGAGAAGGGTGGGAAAGTGTATTTGTAAATCCTTTAAATTTTGTAGGGAAAGATATTTCTAGAAAATGGGTATTTCTCACACAAGATTAGATTGATGTGCTTTTAAGTGCCTGTACCTAAGTGGAGAAAGAATGTTCTTTTTTCTTTATTCGCACTGTGCCCTCTGTCTGCAAGGCGTAATTTTTCTCATCTTTTTAGAATCCGATGGGCTTTCAAGCTTATAGTTAGTGTTGCTTCCCTCTGATTTTCTGATCAGTGCCTCACACACCTGCTGTCCCAAGGACAGTGCTGAGACTCGGTTTTCTTTCGTGTCTGGTACGGAGCTTGCACGGAGAAGGAGCCTCAGTTAGAATCTGCTGAGTGATTGTTTGGTGAGATCTCGGACCAATAAGTCAAATTTTTTCTAATCGTGTTGCCTCAGCCGCAACAGTAGGACTGATATCTCTGTCAGGCACATCTGTTTCCACCAAGGCCATGTGTTTTGTTTGTGCTGAAAGCAACCAACACTGATAGCATTTCCTTAGGGTAACACAGCTGTAAGTGTTTTCTGCCATTTAACGTGAAGGCCAGGCTCAGAATTTAAAGGCTTTTCTCCTGCCAGTAAATACTTCATTCAAAAAAGTCATTTGGAATATAATTTTACTCCTTAGACTATTTTACTCCTTTGCTCAGAATTTTACTCCTTAGAATTTTTAAAAACTCAAAACAGTAGAGAATGAATTGTGGTCTAACTAGCACCTTGAAGGGGACAGTGTTTGGGATGCCATCATGTGATCATGTGATGTCACGACATTGCCTGAGGGACTTCACAACTGGGGAGGTACTTCTAGGCAGTTCAGTGTCACCTAGGCCTCTGGTAGTGGCTATTCTAACTCCGCAGTGTTGGTTAGTGACCGAAGCTCTGAGAATCGCAGGGAAGAGCGGGGCTCCTTGCACAGGTCCCGTGGAGCCCTGCTTGCCTGGCTTAGCTTTCCCTGTTGCCGTTCTTAGACTGACACTGTTTCAGGGTGGCCCTGGAGAGGTTCAAAGCCCTGTGAGACTGGAGCTGTGCTCTGTGCTTTCCTTGGTAGCATTTGCACCTGGACAGCGGGGATGAGAAAGCTCTAAGAGATTAAAAACCTCTGCTGAAAACCAAGCCCTTCAAGGTACTGGGGTCTTGAATTTTGAACAGCAGGAGTCTAGGTAGTGCTAAGTTCAGGTAGTGGAGCCTTTTACTCAAGTGTCTGGTTCCTGAGTCTCAGAGACCCATGTGTCCAACTTCAATCATACTTTTTTTGACACTTTTTATTAATGCATACTGGTTATACAAATGAATGCGGTTCACCCTGGTGGATTTGTACACCACATAATATACTTAATTATTTTTATCCTGTTCTCTCTCCAGCTTAACGTGGTTTTTTTGGAGGGGGCCTTGGCTGTGTATAATATGTTTTGATCGAATTCATTCCTCCTCTTACCTGCTCACCCATCTCTCCCTAGTTCCGGATAAGAACTGCGGGACACCTGCAGTTTATTTAGTCATGGTGAGGTCTCTTGAGGTGGAAAACCTCCCTTCTTTACAGCTGATGGCAATGTTCAATTGTTGGATTTCAGTCTGTCCTTGAGAATTAAAATTTTATAGGTGTAGTAAAAAACTAGTTTTAATTCTTTTTTGTTGTCATGGTTATTTAATTTTGGCATTTTTTGTTGGTTTTGTTACACAGAAATATGTCCCTCAATTTCCAATAGCTCAGAGGAGTGGTAAGCTTCCATGGTGCTCAGGATAAAGAGGGCATAACGTAGAGTTCTCCAGGGTTAGACTCGTGTTTATGCTCTGGTGTTTCAGCTGGTTTCCTGTCCTGCAGTGACCAAAGGCTTTGAAACCTGCCCCCGATGTCCAGGCGGCCCTCGAGGGGGAGGGTTTTCTCTCGAATTCTAGCTGTGCAGGGTGGCTCTGAGGGTCTGGCCGGGCTTCCTGGTAGCTCAGCAGAATGCACACTTGAGCCCATTGATTAAAGCCGAGAGGAAAGAACCAGCAAAAGCACTGTTTCTGGTGTGGAGAATGCAGGGTAATCTCAGACACACTACCCAGTTCTTCTGCTGCCATCTGCCCGTCTCTAATGTCTGTTTATTTTCTTTGCTATTCTGTTTCCAGGCTTTTTATTCCCCCTTGTTTTTCAGTTTTCTCTTCCCTTTGCTTGTCCAAGGTTTTGAGCTCCCAGTCTAAAAATCTCCTTTTCTCTGGGGTTCTTGGTAAGGGAATATTTCCCTTGACCTGCTAGTTCATGGTCACCTCTTTCATTTTTTGGGAGGACAGGGCCTTTCTCTGTAGACCAGGCTGGCCTTGAACCCGCAGTGAGCCTCCTGCCTCAGCCTCCCAAATGCTAGGTTGACAGGTGTGCACCAGCAGCCTGGTTCATGTTCACTTTTTGTTTTATTTTATTTTACTTTATTTACAGAGAAAAGTAAAACAAAATTTCAAAACAATAACAATAGTTAATACATTCATTGCATATTATTATCTTCAAAATAGTCACTTAGAGTAGAGGAAATGGACATAAAATAGATGTGGAAGGCTTCACAGATTTGTGTGTCGTCCTTGCACAGGGACCGTGCTAATCTCTGGATTGTTCCAGCTTTAGTATATGCACTGCCAGAGCGAGCACTAATGTTCACCCTTTAATCAGGCACTTTTCTGTAACTCCTGTGGGGAAAGAAGAGCAAAAGTAGTGCCTGAGTGCAACTGAGGTTGCTAGTACTAAGCTAGGTGTGTTGCACACTTGTGTACAGTGACATTGTTCCTGATCAGGGTACACACAGTAGTGCCGTTATTGTTCAGCAGGGAGTAGCCCAGGTTAAGTAACAGGCTGAGATCACATGGCTAGAAAGGTGTGGAGACGAGAATCAAGTGTACTTTGTAGTCCCGGTCACACTCTGCTACGGCAGACCTCTACCAGTTACCGTACCGCCCCTCCGGTCCCAAGTGTCCCTGCTGATTCATAGCCCAGACTGTCCAACCCCCAGGTTGGCACCCAGGGGAGAGAGGGAGCCCTTTATGACTTCCTAAGTTAGACTTCGTCATTGTAAAATGAAGAATGTGCATAGTAACCAATGAAAACAGTAGTAAAGGACACAGTGATGCAGATCTTCCTCCAATGTCCAGTTCCACAGTTCACTGCTGCTTCGCATGTGTATTCTCCCGAAGCACCTTTTAATAGGCGTTTATATCTGCCCATCTGCAATTTAAAACCAAGGGCTCATGTAGTATATTTTCTGTACTTCAATTTTCCTGGTTTACGTAATATTTTAACAAACATTTCATTTCAGTACTTACTTGTCTGTTGCATTTTTTAATACTTTATTGAAGTGTTGCATAGAGGGAATGCACAAATCAGATGTACAACTCAGCTGATCTGTACAAACTGAGCACATCCATGAAACCAGCAGCCAAATGAAGAAGTGGAAATTATATCCTAGCCTTTCTCTTTTTAATGGCACTGTAGTTTTCCTCATGAATGAATATTCAAAAAACATTCTCTTTGTGAATTTAGGTTATTTCAGTCTTTTGCTTCCATAAATAATACTGCAGCGAATATCCCTATGTATTGACCTTTGCATAGTTGTGCAAATATATTTTTAGGCTAAGTTACTGAAAAATAGTATTACTGAATCATGGTGTTCAGTATATACATTTGTTTTGTATATTAAAAGAAGTATACCAATTTAAACATCTTCCAATAAGTATAGAGTTTAATTTCCAAGATCTTCTCAGAGGGGAGGTTAGAGACCCTCATCTTCCAACAATGTGTAGGTTGTGTATAGCTTAACTTGAAAAGTTGTTTCTTGCTAAGGTCCTTGCCTCTCTTAATTTAATTTTTCGCACATTAGTTTCTGTTTTCCCCTATTAGTTAGGAACTTTGTCTCTGTCCCAGTGGGCAGACGGAGGGGGAACAGTCTGGGTTTCCTCCGATTCTGTGGTTGTGGCCTACGTCGTAACTAGTTCCCTGGGTGCTACCTAGGAGGAGAGGTAGCTGCAGAGATTGCCCACAGGTGACCCCTGCACCTGCCTGTGTCCCACCCACCAAGGCGGGGACGGTGGGTTCAGCTTGGCTGGCGTGGCGCCTGTTCTTGTCCCTTCCTGTCTTTATTCTGCTGTTTAAGTATACAGTTTAGTGGGTTTTGCTCTATTCACAAGGTTGTGCATCTGTCTAACCCCAAAATACTGTCATCAGCCCAAAAGAAACCTGTGCCCATTAGCAGCCACTCCCTGCCCCCCCCCCCCAGCCCTCGGCAGCCACTCATCTTTCTTTTTCTGTGGATTTATGTATTCTGGGTAAGTGGAATCACGCAGGAGGCATCCTTTTGTGTCTGCTTCTTCCACTTAGCCTAATGATTTTAAGGTTCATCCGTGCTATATCTTGTTTCAGTTCAGTCATCTCTTGAATTCCACTGGGCATTGGTTCTGGGTTCAAGGAAAGTAGTCCAATTCAAAGTCACAAAGATTTATATCTAAATCTTTTTCTTTAGAGTTATACCCAAATCTAAATTTTTGCACTGGGAATCGAACTCAGGACCTCGTATTTGCCAGGCAGGCACTATGCTACTGAGCTATGTCACAGGCCTTAAATCTTTTCCTTAAAAAGAGTTTAAAATTTTCACTCTTATATTCAGGCCTTTGATTCATTTTGAACCATATAAATACATACACTGGACTTCTGTCCCATACATTTGGTATGGTAGAGGTCCAGACTCATTCTTTTGCTGTGAATATCCACTTGACTTGCACCATCTTTTGAAAAGTGTTAATTCCCCACTGAATTGTCTTTCACCCGAACACTAGTCCAAAATCAGTGGAGGCAGGCATGGTAGAACATACATGTAATAAATACTAACTGCTTGGGAAGTTCAGACATGAAGATCACAAGCTTAAGAGCTGCCTGGGCTACTGAATAAGACCTTGTATCAAAAAAAAAAGCAGGGGGGCTGGGGATTTAGCTCAGCGGCATAAGTACCTGCCTTGCAAGCAGGCGGTCGTGAGTTCGATCCCCAGTACCGATAAAAAGGAAAAAGACAAAAAAAAAAAAGGCTTGGAGATGAAACTCAGTGATAGAGAACTTGCCTTGCATGCGTGAGACCCTGGATCTTTCTTTTCTTTTCATTTTTTGATACCAGGAATTGAACACACAACCTTGCATTTGCCAGGCGGGCGCTGTGCTGCTGAGCTGTATCCAGTCCAAGGCCCTGGGTTTTATCCCTAGTACCACACATACACACAAGACACAGTTGACCCTAATTGTGTGTATTTCTGGATCCAGCTCTGTTTCATTGATCTGTGTGCCCTTGTACCTGAGCACACTGTCTTGATTACTGTAGGTTTGTGGTGTAAGTTTTGAAGCAGAATTATGAGTCTCTTTAATTTCATTAGTATGTATTGTGACATTGATTGACGTTCATATGTGAACCAAGCTTGTGTTCTTGTAGTGAGTTCCATCTGGTCATGATTTATAATCCTTTATAAGCTGCTGGGCCTGTTTTACTAACATTTTCTCTAGAATTTTGGTACCTTTGGCATTCATAAAGCAGTGTTAGTTCTCTTGTGATTTCTTCAGCTGATGTTGATACTACAGTAAGGCTGCTTAGACTGAATTGGGACATGTTCCTCCCTCTTTCTGTTTTAGGAGAGTTTAAGAATGATTGGTGTTGATTCATCTTTATTTTTGGTATTCACCAGCTATAAGGTGAATAGTATTCTCTCCAAAACTCCTGTCCACTGGAGCCACAGAACATTCCCTTATTTGAAATAGGGTCTTTCCAGATACAGTGATCACAATATGATCATTCTACACTGTGGGAGGACTTGGGCCAGTCACTTGTCCTCCTAGGACGAGGAAAGGACAAAGAAAGACACAGAAAAGGCCTCAGGCACAGATGGCCGCGGAGGCATGAAACAGTTGGCATGAGGCAGCTACAGGGCAGGCAACACCAGGAGTCATCAGGAGCCCCCAGAATCCAGGAGGAGAGAAGCATTTGTCCCCAGTGCTTGGGGAGGAGGCCAGCCTTGGCAGCACCTCGCTCCAGGCCTCCAACCTTGGGGAGTGGTAAGGGAACCAGCAAGTTCGAGGGAGTTCATCATGGCAGGCCTAGGAAAGAGCCCTGGGGAAGCCATGCAGTTCTCAACTGTGCTTTGCAGAAAGTTTCTTGGTCATGATTCAGTCTCTTTGCTCTTGAGCTATTTCAATTTTCTGTTTCTGTCTTTCTTTTTGAGACAGGGTCTTACTATGCAGTTCAGGCTGGCCTTGAGCTCATTTTGTAGCTGAGGCTGGTCTCAAACTTGCAGAGTTCTCCTGTCTCAGCCTCCCAAATGCTGGGGTTACAGGAGTGTGTCACCACGCCTGGCTTAGATTTTCTGTTGCTCTTTGAGTAGGTGTCAGTAGTTTGTGTCTTCTTAGGAGTTTTTTTAGTTTCACCTAGTTTTTGTTGTTGTTGTTGTTTATTGGTGTACAATTACAGTGTCATGGTTTATGTTGTGTCCCCCAGGCCTCATGAGTTTGCATTGTTCATTTGTGATGGTTCATTGTATAGTGCTTAGACTGATGGTGTCAGTGCTCCACCCACATAGGGGTGGAGCCAGGATGTGATGTAATGGCAGGAAGAAGGTGTGTCTGTCTCTTTGCTAGTTCCTGTTTGCAGCAGCCATGAACTGCAGCCCAGCCATGCCCGCCTGTCTTGGAGACAACTGAGTGTGGACTGAAACCTCCAAAAGCTGTAAGAAATAAACCTTTCCTTTCCCAACTTGGGCATCAGGTATTTTGTCTCAGCGACGAGTGAAAAGTAACTAAGACATACAGTATTCCGTGAAAATCTTCCTGCCCTCTGCTGTTGGTAAGCTCAGGGCTCCACACATTCTGCCACTGAGCTGCTCCTCCTAGCCCCTGTGATCCTCATCTCTCTGCTCTCATTCCTGATTTTAGTCATTGGGATTTTAGTTACTTAAGTCTCTGTTCGAACTGAAAAGTTTGTCAGTTTTTGAGTGTTATCTTGGAGAATCAAGTTGGGTTCACTGATTTTCTATTCTCCTCATCTTGTTTTGCCTCTGGTCACAGTTTTTGTCTTAAAGTCTGTTTTATTATATGGCATTCTGGATCCTAGGAGTATACTGGAGGTTTTCCAAGCTGATACAGAAATCTTACTCTTCTGCTCTTCCTTTTAAGATTTTTGAGTTGTTAGTCTCTTATTTGCCACAAACGTTACTCAGCAACTCAGGCAAACTTGAACTTAAAACCTTACCCGTAATTGTTTCTGACCAATGTCTTTTGGGAAAAGGAGTTTTATATGTGCAGAATTCAGTCAGGCGTCTCTTTTTGGTAGCAGGAATAGAGCTCAGGACTTCGCGCTGCCAGGTAGGCGCTGTCTCGTCCCCAGCCCAGGCAGGTAAATACAGACCTGGCCTGGTGAGCCGCTCTGCCAGGCCCCAGTACACGACCTTCCCGCTTCCTCGGGCCATCAGGCTGCACTGGGGACCCCTCCGGCCGCGGAGGGGGTGGAACGGGCATAGGTAAGCGCCGGGTGGCTGTGACCCGGGTCGCCCTGTTCCCCCTCCCCCCAAGCCTCTGCATAGTGCCCAGGATATGGGAACGCTGCTTCTGACGGTTTCTGTCTCAGTTTGTGTGGACGTCGTCCTGTGCTCACGCATGGCAGAGTGGGCACCAGGCCTGTCGGAGGAGGAGGGGTCACCGGGTCCACAGGGAGCATCCCGAGCTCAAGGGGCGGGGCCAGGCCGCTCAGCTGCTGCCCAGTGGCTCCTCTTGTGCCCGCATCCTGACCAGAGCGTGTGCGCATGTGCACTGCCGGGTTAGTTCCGGCTCGGCCCTTGGCACGCGCGGGGGCATCTCGCTCACCTTACAGCCGAGGAGCTGACCTGGAGCACGGAGAGCCACCGTCCCAGAGCTCCCGAGAGGCCTGCTGAGGGTCGAGGCTTTTCGGAGCTGTGCTCTGCCTGTCCCCCTCGCTCCTTCCCCCGCCCCATCCTCACATGGCTGCTGCAGGAAGCCGTGTTTTCCGACTCCTGGCCGCAGCCATTCCCGGGAGCTTTTCCTGAAGAGGAAACAGACTGCGAGGCCAGGCCGCTCGCAGGGCTTCGGGCTTTCTGTCCTCGGAAGTTCGTTTGTGCATCAGTGAAGTAATCCACCAACGAAGCCAAGCGGGCCGGAAGAGTCCAGTCCAGCTGCTCCCGCATTCCTGCCTCCCGCTGCCAGGCAGGGGCCCCCTTTCCTCTGCTGTCCCCTCTGCCGCGCCGTTTCCGTCGTGGAGCCTACCAGCTGTGGCCTGAGACCTTTAACAGCCGCTTGACCCCGATCCCATCCGGAACAGGCAGTGTAACAGTTCCCAAAAAGGCCTTGTGCATTTGGCTGGAGCGGTGGCAGGGTCAGCCCTTCTAGCCCCCGCCCGCAGTGTGCTCTGCAGTGCTGTGGTCCCGAGGTGCACGTGCTGTCCCTGGTTTAAGGAAGTAGCCTTCGGGTCGCTGAGCGGCCAGGGTTGGGCTGCCGTCGGAAGTGCTGCCTGCCTGTTGCCCAGAGAGGGAGGAGGACCGAGTCAGCGACTGTACCGGGCACTGTTTAAGGTCCTGTGATTCGGCAAGTAGAAGTGGGCCTGCTGTATGCAGGGAGTGTGGCCACTCGAACGTTAGTGGTTTTTTTTTTTTTTTTTTTAAAGTTTACAGTTTTTAAGAATAACAAGTATTTTTTTTCCTAAAGGGTGACTAGTTCTGAAATTAAATCTACTCAATTTTCTGATAGTTCTTGCAGCATGAACTCTTACAGACAAATGATAGCCAGCCACTCAACTCCCACATGTGAACATTTTAAAGATACTCCGGATTTAAATCTGTCAAATGAGTATTTTTCTCAGACACACTGACCTTCACTTACACAAAAGAGCCATCATTTCCATGAGCCATTTGGAAATTATAGAAGCTTACCGTCCCTGCAGAAAGACGTAATGTTAGCTTTTCTACTCATGGCCAAAGAACCTGATTCCTTGCCCCTGTCTCTAGGTTGGCTGTTGTTGAACAGTAGCTTTGGATCTAGTTATTGAGAAGGGTAAACTGTTGTGAAGACATAAAATAAGTCAATCTGGGTGCAGGAAGTGAGCCGCTAGGGCATTAGCAGTTCCCGGAATCCTGACTTCATCAGCCTGTGACAGTTTTGATACTGAAAGGCACGGAATTCACTGATTTCCTTAGCTCTCTGCACCCCCTTTCCCAGAAGTAGTAGTACTCTCGCGGAATTGTAGTAGAAATTTGTATTCAGATGGTGGTTGCTGCACAGCAGATTTTCTTATTTTTAAACCTTTATTTCACAGGTATCATAACTGCAAATGTTCTTGTATTCTGTTTATGGAGAGTTCCTTCTCTGCAGCGGACAATGATCAGATATTTTACATCCAATCCAGCCTCAAGTAAGTCACTTCTTTTTTTTTTTTTTTTAAGTCACTTCTGATTTAAATCGCTGTGTGTGGTTGTGAGGTAGAGATAATGTGAAAGAAATACACTTTGCTAATTGAATTACAAAAAAAGGTGTTACTTGTCAGTACTACAAGTGAAATCTGGAGGGTAGACTGCAAGTTCCTTATGGGCAGGGACTTTGACTGTTGTGTTACCTTGCATAGGTGTCTAAATAATTTTTAATGAATTAAGATTTGCATTTGCTTACAAAGGTGTTGTTTTTGTTTTGCAGATAGTATTATACAGCTTTTGTTTTGTTTTTGTCTCTGAGACAGGGTCTTACTATGCAGTTAAGGCTGGCCTTGAGCTCACTTTGTAGCCTAGGCTGGTCTTGAACTTGCCACGATCTTCCTGCTTCAGCCTCCCGAGTGTGGAGATTACAGATGTGCACCACCATGCCCAGCTGATACACAGTTTTATAATTGAAACAATTTACTCTCTGTCTCACTTTTGCCATAAATAAGGACAAGTTGCTTTCAATGAGTTGAGAATTTTCATTGGCTTCTAAGTAGCAGTGAAGATTTAAGAAAGCTTTTTATCACTTTGAAAAATGCTCTCTTGGGGCCGGGGATTTAGCTCAGTGGCAGAAGTGCCTGTCTGGCAAGTGTGAGGTCATGAGTTCGATCCCTGGTACCAAAAAAAAAAGAAAGAAAAATGCTCTCTTAGGCCAGGGATTTAGCTCAGTGGTATAAGCGCCTGCCTGGGGAATACACAGTTGAGAGTTGGATCCTAGCATCAGAAAAAGGGAAAGGAGACCACTCTGGGAAGCCTTCTCATTGCCTGCTGTTGTTGCTCCCTGTGCTGGTTCAGTTGTGTGGGGCGGCTGAGCCGGCTGTGTTCTCCCCAACCCCCCAGAGGTCCTCTGCGTGCCGATGTTGCTGTCGTCCTTCAGTCACTTCTCCCTGCTCCACATGGCGGCAAACATGTACGTTCTGTGGAGCTTTTCCTCCAGCATCGTGAACATCCTGGGTCAAGAGCAGTTCATGGCAGTGTACCTGTCTGCAGGTAAGAGCCTCTCCCTCAGGCCCTGGGACTGCAGATACCCCTAGCTCTCCAAAGAAAGCACAAGGGGGCGGGGCGTGGTGTGGTGCTGTACGCCTATAATCGCAGCACTCAGGAGGCTGAGGCAGAAGGGTCACTGTAAGTTCAAGGCCAGCCTTGGTTACACAGTGAGTTCAAGGCCAGTTTGGGCTACACAGTGAGACCCTGTCTCAATAAAACAGGCCAAAGGGAATGATTAGAGTGGAAGTGCCGAGGACACACTTGCCTCTCATGCTGTCTGCAGAGAAGGCTTCCTCAGACTGGTGGCACTGTTCACCTCCTTGTTCCTTGCTCCTTGCTGTGCAGGTTTTTTTCAATGAGTTGCTTGGGTGTGCTCAGTTTTAAATTAGTCAGGATTGGGGCTGGGGATTTAGCTCAGCGGCATAAGCACCTGCCTTGCAAGCAGGCAGTCGTGAGTTCGATCCCTGGTACCGATAAAAACGAAAAAGACAAAAAAAAAAAAAAAAAAAAAAAAAAAAAAATAAATTAGTCAGGATTGAGCCGGGTGTGGTGGCTCATGCCTGTAATCCCAGCTCTGGGGAGGCTGAGGTGGGAGGATCGTTAAGAGTTCGAGACCAGCCTGGGCTACAAAGTGAGCTCAAGGCCAGCTTGAACTGCATAGCGAGACCCCATCTCAAAAAAAAAAAAAAATTAGAATAAGCAGGAAATGAGCTCAGCATGCCGTCACTGGCTCCCTGCACCTCTGTTTCTCTAGCTCAGGCCTCTATTTTATACTTAATGGCTCCCAGACCTCCAACTACCGCAGTCATCCAGTTCTCTGTGAAATCCCCTGGAGCGAGCTCCCTTCCCCGTCCTTGGCTTGCAGAAAGCTTTAAATCAGTGGCATCCAGTGTGAGTGTCGGGATAGTAAAGTGTGTTCTGCCCTGTTTTGCATGGTCAAGTGTTGGCTTGGGGCCGCTCCCTGGTTCTGGTCCTGTGTGTTTCACCTAGGACATGGTATAGTAGTGTATGATTCCAGGTCAAATGAACCATTGCTCAGGTTTAATTTCCCTCACTTACTTGTAAAATTTATTTGAAAACAAATGCAAACATTCATTTCTAAAGTCCTATATTGCTTAAAAACTGCGTCTGGCCGTTGTGCCGTAGGGCAGAAAGCACTGAGCTCATAGAGACTGCAAACTGGGCTCGGAGCCCATTCCTGCTGGCAGCTGTGTGGGGTGGTCGGAATCACCACACCTTTGGGGGCGGGATGCTACTTTCCATGGCCAAGCGCGTGAGAAAAAAGAGTGTCAGCTGCAAAGCTGGAGTGGATGCTGCTTTAGGTTAATTGATGACTGATGCGGGTATAGCAAGTCCTTCAAAGCTAGATGCCAAGCAGTCTTTTTAGGATACAGTTCTTCCCCCAGCGCTGGTTACATGGTCGTAGGAGAAGCCACTCATCCCTGTGGCACAGGAAGTCGCTTCACAGTGAGCCACACTTAGCTGCACTGAAGTGCGGGGCCTGACAGGTCCTTTAGTGGAAGGCCTTACCCCAGAGACCGAGCCAGCCCAGAATGGGCATTTGCCATAGCTGCTGGGCTTGGGCGCCAGCCTTCTTGTCCTGTTACCCAGTGAAGATGATGACTGGGGTAAAGCGAATGACCCTGTGACAGTCAGCAAAAAGCGTGGTGGGCAAGGCTTTTCTCTCTCTCTAAATCAGTGACAGTGATGGGAGCATCATGGAATCTGACCCTTTACCTGCATGGAAATCAGGAGTAGGAACCATTTTTTAATTTTGTCTTTTGTTTGTTTTGAGACAGGATCTTGCTGTATGGTTCAGGCTGGCCTCAAACTCAGCAATCCACCTGCCTCAGCCTCTTGAGTGCTGGGATTACAGACTGATGTCATCATGCCCAGCTAGGAATAGGAATCATTTTTATACCTTACTTCTTACAGCTGTTGAAATATAACTTATTTCTTAGGTGTTATTTCCAATTTTGTCAGTTACGTGTGTAAAGTTGCCACGGGAAGATATGGACCATCACTTGGTGCAGTAAGTATTTGTGATTTTAAATTCGTTTTGCAATAATCATATACTTACAGAAAAGTTAAGAAAGTTTCCATATGTTTTTCACCCCAGTTTTAACATCTTACAGAGCCACAGTGTAACTGCCACAATCAGGAGATTGACAATAAAAAGCTATTTCATGGTCTGCATCTCAGTTGTGCACTTACTCATTTATGATGCTAGTTTTCAGGCTGTAGGGTTTAAGCACTGAACATCTATGAGTGCTGCCTGGGGTGCAGTTCAGACCAAGAGGGGTCCTGCCAAATAGCGAGTGTCTGATCCTGGAAAGCATCGGGCCTCATCCAGCTTTGGAAGCACTAATTGCAGATTGGAATCTGGTACTGCCTTGTGTGCACAGTCAGTATTTGAGCATCTGGGCTGACGAGACCACCAGCACTGTGACCAGGCTCTATGGGGGTACCTTTTTGGGGCAGGGGTACTGGGACTCAAACTTGCTACCTTTCACTTGTCAGGCAGGCGCTGTGACACTGAGCTGTAACCTCTGGCCCTAGCTTTTTTTTTTTTTTTAAGTGCGTCTTGAGTTTAGTGGCAGTCTCTAGATGTGGAAGGCTTTAATATTTCTTTAATGAGTGTGCATTCAGTCTGCGTACATATAGATACTAGTGCATTTGAATATATTTGAGTAGGAGGTTTCATATTTAAAGGAGCTCTAGAAAAGTTCAATTCTGGAAAAGAATGTAAGATAGTCATCTCATAATTGGTGTATTCTTCAGACCTGTGTATACTCAATCTTCCTAATGAGGCTGCATCTCACCTCCTGACCTACCTGCTTTCCCAGTCACCCCCTTGATCTGAAATGTTTGTTTTCTCTCTAAGGTTTGACTCTGGTATAATTTCTCTATTCGTCTCTTTCTCTACCTTGTCTCCCTGAGCACCTGGCTGCATGAAGCCGGTGAAGGCCTGTCAGGCCACCTGGAAGCAAACTTGGCTTCCAGTTCAGTTAGCTGAGAAGACACACATCCACCCATGGAGGCTCCGAAGCCCTAGCTGTGCAGCTGGGAGGGTATTGGCCATGCCCATGGGCAGCTGGTACTCTCAGGGTGACAAAAACAGAAGTGCAGGCCTAAGGATGCAGCTTTGGGGTGTCTGGAGGTGGGGTGGGATGGAGACCACGACCCAGTGACTTCTGGGACATGGAGCAGCTGTTGGTGTGCCCCTTTCTCCGCATGAGATGTTCAGAGTGGTACTAGAGAGCTGGTCACTGAGGGATTTCACACAGTGCTTGTGTTCTTTCAGATCAGCTCTGAGAATTCCATTTGCTTCATTTTGGAGGAAATTTTAATTGTGTTGGGGTTTTTTTCTCTGAGAAAGTAAGGTTTCAATTTGATTTCTTCTGGGATTTGAGTTGTACTTTCCAGCATTTATTTAAAAGGAAACCCAGGCTGCTAAGGTTGTGCATAGGCCCTGGGGCTGCTGCTCAGCTGTCAGTGGCACTGCCATCTATGCCAGATCCAGCACTGTCCGGCTGATAGATTTGGGGCAGGTGTGGAATGTGGAAGCGCCAGCCGGAACTGATCTCCCAGAGTAGGTGCAGACATGGTGACCTGGCAGGTTTTATAAGAATTAAGCAAAGCACCCGTGCGTCGGTCCTCACAGCCTTGGAGGTTGCCGTGCCCCAAGTGGGAGGTGGAGTAGAGCTCTGGGAATGGAGATGTGGCTCCATGTTGCGAGCAGAGGCTATGCTTCAGGGAGTAAGGATCAGAGAATCCCTGCCGTACCACACAGGACCAGGTTGGGGAACAGACGGTAGCCAGTGACCCTAGACCTAGACACAGTGCAGGAATCCCACTGCTGCCGTGCTCCATGTCCTAGGAGTGTAACTGAGGTCACTCTTGGCTTGTGATTCTCCCTGTTCAACCTGGGTACTGTGTTCTCTTCATCCATTTAGCTAAAATCAGGCCTGGAACTCTGTTCTCCAGAGGGCTTTCTGCTTGCTTCTGTCCTCCAGTTACCCCATCCCGCCCTCTGCACACTGCTGGAGCTGGTTTCTGTGTTTGGCCAGCAGCCAGCTGTGTATTTACAGGCTCTGGACATCCGAGCTCTCCAGGATTCGTAATATGTCTTAAGGTTCTAGTAACCCCTGTAACACAAGGTCATCCTGTATTCGGAAGCAGACTTCACATAGAAGACACTGAGAAAATAGCTGTGCACAGCGGTACACAGCTGTAATCCCAGTACTCTGGTAGGCTGAGGCAGGAGGATTGCAAGTTCCAACTCAGCCTGGTGACTTAGCAAGAACACCCAGCCTCAGAATTGCAAAGAGCTGGAGGTGTAGCTCAGTGAGAAGGCCCTGGGCTCAGTTCCTAACATCCAGCGGGGGAGGGCGTTGATGATTGAAAGATGTAAATGGTGTTTTATAGAAATAATATTTTTAGGGGCTGGGGATTTAGCTCAGCGGCATAAGCACCTGCCTTGCAAGCAGGCGGTCGTGAGTTCGATCCCTGGTACCAATAAAAAGGAAAAAGACCAAAAAAAAAAAAAGAAGAAATAATATTTTTAATATAAGCGTTCTTTTTATTGTTACTGTTGAGAGATTGGGGTTTAACCCAGGACCTTTTACTTTGAGTTGCATCCCCAGCCTGTTTTTGGTTTGTTTGTTTGTTTTGAGACAGGGTTTTACCAAATTGCCCAGGCTGTGCTTGAATTCATAGTCTTCCTGCTTCAGCCTTCCAGAGGGCCAGGATTAGAGGTACCACAGTGCCTAGGGGCTCCTTTTAAAAGTTGTTTCTGTCTTTTATTTTAACATACAATTTATAAATAATTTAGAATTTATAGCACCAGATGTGGTGGCGCACTCCTATAATCCCAGCTTTTGCGAGGCCTCGGAGGCAGGAGGATAGCTTGAGTTTGAGGCCAGCCTGCACTACATAGTGAGACCCTATCTACAGCACCCCCTTTCCCCCCAAAAGTCAAATCTTACAGAAAAGTGGCAGAAACTGGGCATGGTGACGTACTCCTGTAATCCCAGCACCTGGGAGGCTGAGGCAGGAGGATTGTTGTGAGTTTGAGGCCAGCCTGGGCTACACAGTGAGTTCAAGACCAGCCTAAATTACATTGCAGAAACCTAGTCTCAAAAAACAAACTTGTAGGAAATACTTTGAAGAAGTAACTCAGGGCTTTGAGTACCAAAAGGGCACATATTTAGAATCCATAATTTGTTAAGTTTTGACAGTAGATACCCATAAACCCACAGCACCCTCAATCAGAAGCATGTTCCCTATTCCCAGAAGTTTCCTGGTTTCCCTTTGCTGCCCCTGCCCTCCCCCTCCAGCCAGCTTTCTGACCTCCTGTGAGGATGGGAGGTGTGCAGACAGTCGCAGTGCGGCTTTCACGCACTGTTGTGGCTCCGCTTGGCACTGCCCGCCCGAGGCTGTCCTGTGGTGCCTCTGCGCGGCGTGCCAGTCACGCCCGGGAGAGGTGCTGCCGTGCCTGCACTGCCAGCTCTGGGGGCTGAAGTGAGAGGATTGCCAGTTTGAGGCCAGCTGGGGGACTTAGTGAGATTCCATCTCAAACATGATAATGCTTTTCCTGCACATTGGTGAATAGCCTCCATTCCACAGGGAGACGGGTTCAATGGCCGAGCGCTTGGGTGGTTTCTCGTGTTTTGGCCATTATTAAAAAACTGCGTGAGCGTCTGTGGACAGCTCTTCATAGATACACGCTTTCATTTCTCTTGGTTTAACGCCTACGAGGGCAGTAGTCAGGGCATAGAGTAGCTATGTTGAGCGTCTGAGGATCTGCAAGCCCTTTTCCCGAGTTGTGTGCTTCCCCGGCACCGAGGCGGCTCCTGGCTTTCCCTGAGGAGCTCAGTGCCGGTGAGAGCAAGGTGCGGCTGGAATCTTTGCTTTCCTAACAACTGATGACGTGTGTCATCTGCGTGCCTCTTTGCTATCTGTGTATCATCTTTGAAGCATCCCTCAAATCTACCCATTTAAAAAAGAAGTTTTTAACAGTATCTTAACAGTATCTTTCAAAGAGTGTTAAAATTTTTCATTTGCAAGGCCAGGGATTTAGCTCAGGGGCATAAGCACCTGCTTGGCAAGCCTGAGGTTGAGTTCAATCCCCGGTACCAACAACAACAACAACAACAACAAAAAGATTTTCATTGTGTGTAGTCTTTATTATGGGTCCTGCATGTAGTGTCACAGGAAATTTTTGTCTACACCACGGTTACAATGAATTTTCTCCTCTTTTTATTTTAGGTGCCTTTTACTTAAAAAATAAATAAACCACACAAACTCCTGGGCTGGGGAGGTAGCTCAGTGGCACAGTGCCTGCCTCGAAAGTGTGAGACCAAGAGTTCGATTCATGGCACCAACCCCCCCCCCCAAAATCTTTCAAAATACTCATTAATTTTAAACATTTTGCCACATTTCACTTAACATTTTCTGTCCGTGTTTATTTTTCTGCACCACTGGGAGCTACTGCTTACTCCTCTGTACTTGAGCGTGGATCTGCTAAGAATACAAAGACCTCCCATGCTGCACAGAGCCGTTACTGAGTGATAAACTCGGTAAATGCTGACAGACGTACCCCAGCGTTTACCAGGCAGTGCACCTTGTGGTTTGTCTGTCTCCCAGTGGTGCCCTTTGGGGTTCCGTGTCCCCTGAGGTCTGTGCTGTCCTTAGTTCTGGGAGCTGGGCCATGGCCGCAGCCTCTGCTCCTCTCCCGGGCTAGGGCTCGCCTGCTGCCCCGTGGCCGGATCCAGGCTCAGTGTTTGGGGTGGGAGTGGCCCAGAAGTACGGTGTCCTCAGAAGTCACCCAAGAGGGGCATGGTGTCTGCCCGCCTTCTGCGGGGTAATTTCTGGGAATGATTAAGGTCAGCCCAGCTTCTTGGCTGTGCAGAGACTCAGTAACTGGGAAGAAGGCACTTCGGGGTTACATGAGCATCATGTCCCCCCTACCCCCCCCCCCAGGGGGGTGGCTGCAAGCCTTTGAAGCGCTGCAGCCGGTCACTGAGGCCCAGCATTGTCCTCTGGCTCTCCAGTTCTTTTGTGATGTCCTTTGATGTTCTGATGTGCTATCCGCATTTAATCCTCACCTTCTCAGTCTCCCATTGGTGACAGTTTCTTGTCTTTCCTGACCTTGGATACTTTTTTTTTAAAATTTTTTTTTTGGTCTTTTTCTTTTTTATCCGTACCGGGGATCGAACTCCTGACTGCCTGCTTACAAGGCAGGCGCTTATGCTGCTGAGCTAAATCCCCAGCCCCAACCTTGGATACTTTTGAAAAATGGCAGGAGCATTATTTGTGGAATGTCCGAGGGTATTTGATTATTTTCCATCAGACGCCTGAGGTCCATCTTCTACTCGTTCTCCAGCACTCCCTTGGGCTCAGGTTTCTCTGCCAGGCCAGGTGATTACCTGGCCAGTCTGGTCACCCTTGTGCGCACAGCTTGATGGCGTTCGTTACTCTGGTCTCACATAGCTCTCTCTCCCTGAGCACGCTGCTTCTCATTGGGACTGTCACCGTTATTCTTACCTGTTCGGTGTCCTTCCGGGCACACTGGGAGCTCCAGGAAGGTGGGACTTCTCCCTTACTGCTGTCTGCCGTAGAGTGGGGCTCGATGATTCCCCTGAAACTTAATGTGAGCTCGGGATTATGACCCCTCCTCAAGTGTGCAACCACCCAGAGGAATTGGTAGCATGGGTTTTTTCCTTGTTGGTTTTTTTTTTGTTTGTTTGTTTATTTTTTTTGAGATAGTGGCCTAGGCTGGCCTTGAATTTACTGTGTAGCCCAGGCTGGCCTCGAATTTTGATGACCCTCCTGTCTCAGCCTCCCAAGTGGTGAGATTAAGGATTATAGTAGTGTGCCATCATGCCCGGCTCCATATCTGACGCTGAGAGAGACTGAATTAATATAAAAAGATGCCACGTGGACACTAACAATTTAAATGGCAACAATTATGTATGTGACCGGGAAAAAGTGTAAGAAAAAACACACAGTGAAGCGGCCAAGCCGCAGGTCCCAGGATGCGGCTCTGCAGGTGGTTGGGGCAGGCGCCCTTCCACAGGTGGACCAGCCCTGGGGTGCTGAGAAAGGACCCCACCAACCGAGGGATGAGGAGGGCACCCATTCCCTCACCCTGGCATTCATCCCAAGCTTTAAGGAAAACTTTCTGTCTCTGTGAAGTCACATTTCTAGTGACACTGAGAGTCTGGTGTTACACTTGGAAGAGATGCCGCTCGGGTGGCCGTTGTGGGTGGTGATTGTGCACTGTGCTGAACGATGCTGGTGCCGAGGACCCCATGTCCTGCTTGGTGGGTGGGGCTGGGAGCCTCTGTCCTGGTCCCCACCGGCTCTGTACCTTGCAGTCGGGCGCCATCATGACCGTGCTGGCTGCTGTGTGCACCAAGGTGCCAGACGGGAGGCTCGCCATCATCTTCCTGCCCATGCTCACCTTCACGGCCGGCAGCGTGAGTACAGGGTGCCCTGGCGTGGGGGCTGTGCACTACCCCAGTAGAACCGAGGGGTGTGCCACTCCTGCTCTCTGTCCCCCACCCACAGGCCCTGAAAGCCATCATTGCCTTGGACACTGCAGGAATGATCCTGGGCTGGAAGTTCTTTGATCATGCAGCACATCTTGGGGGCGCCCTCTTTGGAATGTAAGTTGGGGGACCGCCAAGGCTAAGCAGCTTCCTGGGGTGGGAGGCCAGACCCAGGCCCCGAAGCAGGAGCAGCGGGGCTGGGAGGGAGGAAGACACAGCGGCAAGGTCACCAAGGACCCGCCTCTGCTCAGCCATTGGCATTGACCTTCCCCCCACCATTACTGTAGTCACCCCAGCTGCTGAGAGGACAGAGCCTGCCTGCGCACCAGCTTCGTCCCCTCAGGCCCTGTCACTCTGCCAGCCGAGTCACACAGCTGTGCAGATGCTGAGCTTGTGGCATCGAGGGCAGTGCTGAGCACACCCAGCCTCTGGGCTCTGCCTGGACCTCATCCTTGGGCCCTGGAGCCCCCACAGCACGGTTGTCATCTGCTGGCTCTGGTCTGAAAGGCCTGTCTTTCCTTGCATAAATGCTGTCACCTGCCCTTTGTTTTGCCTTTGTTTCGTGACAGTGGGAAACTTATTTTTTAATTTTAGAAAACAGAAAAATCTATTCTAAGTGACGCTGATTTCTCCCACCAGTGGGTGGGGGAATTAAATGTCATTATTCCATTTATAATTTCAGTGGTGATTACAGAAGCACATGTGTGTGCTGCAGCGTAAGGGCAGCGTGGTATAAATAGTGCACGTTGACCTGCTATTGCAGCAAGAAACAAAGATGTTCAAGAGGGGTTTGCTTCCCAAGCTCTAAATTTATCTGGGAATTCATGAAGGGTCTTCTCCCCGGAAAGGGTTTATTCTCCTGAACTATAAATAGATGGCTTTTTCCATCCTGCAGAAAACTGGATCAAATGCATTGCAAAATTCAGGACCTAAAAGGCAGGAATCCTTTTGTTTGCTGCTTTTAATTTCAACTCCTTTTCATCGGTTAAACTTGTTACAGTCAGAATTTTTTTTTTTTTTGTCTTTCTGAGACAGGGTCGTACTATGCAGGCCTTGAGCGCACTTTGTAGCCCATTCTGGTCTCAAACTTGCAACAATACGCCTGCCTCAGCCTCCCAAGTGCCGGGATTACAGGTGTGTCACCATGCCCGGCTACTCAGAATTCATTTTTTTCTTTTTTCTTTTTTTTTTTTTTTTTTGGTACTGGGACTCAAACTCAGGGCCATGCACTTTGCCAGGCAGGTGCTGTGCAGAATTAATCTTTCCTTGAAAGTGAATTTAGAAATGTTAACAGGCTAGTCTCTTTAATTTGTTTGAGGTACTGGATTGAACCCAGAGCCTTTGCATTGAGCTATAGCCCTCCCCCGCTTTCAGTTTGAGACAAGGTCATGCTAAATTGCCCAAGCTGGGCTTGAATTTGGGATCCTCCTGCCTCAGCCTGTCAAATGCTGGGACTATAAGCCTATGCCACCATGCCCGGCAGGTGATTCAGTTCTTACAAGGATTTTTACCATTGCATTTGAATGTCAGGGTGGTCTTTTTTCTGTTGTTATAAATTCATTAAAGAACATTACTTTAGGCCCAAAGAATTTTGTTGCCTTGCCTAATAAGCCACTTTTTCTCCCCCAGTACTGGGGATTGAATCCAGGGCTTTTGCACTGACTTGTATCTCCATCTCTTTTTTCATTTTTATTTTTGGTAAAATTTTGTTAAATGGCTCATGCTGGGCCAGATTTTTTCATTCCTGCCTCAGCCTCCTAAAGTGCTTCGATCACAGAATGAGCTACCATATGTGGCTTGATTTCCGTATTATTCAGTGTTTTCTTGAAAATTTATGTGTTTTTTGAGAAAACTTTAATTCAATGTACGTTCAATCCCATTTTAACTGTAGTTAATATTAAGATTCAAATACAAATCCAATGCCTTATTTAAAAATGTTCTCAACATTTAAAAAATGTTCACACTGCTGTTTTGACACCAGTTGGTGACACCAGTTGCAGGCAGATGGAGCCACATTTTCAGGCAGGTGTCTGGCTGTGGGTAAGACCACGCAGTGCAGCCTCTGCTTGGGGGAAACCGAACCACAAAGAAAGGTTTCAAGAAAGCAGGCTTGGGGCTGGGGATTTAGCTCAGCGCCATAAGCACCTGCCTTGCAAGCAGGCAGTTGTGAGTTCGATCCCCGGTACCGATAAAAATGAAAAAGACAAAAAAAAAAAAAAAGAAAGCAGACTTTCCTTAACTGCCGCTCCAGATCAGGTAGTGCAGACTCCCCAGCCTTCCCCACCCCTGCACCTCGGCTTGAGAGTCCCTGAGAGGCGGTCAGCTGGCTGCCTGCTCGGAGCACAGGTTTCTCCCTGTGAGGTGGATCCAGCTCCTACCCGTCCCGGGGCTTCAGGAGCTGGGGCTCACAGCCTCGGCTGCTTCCTAGCAGGAAGATGGGAGCCAGGTGGGCCACACACGCCTGTGATCCCAGCAGTGTGGGAGGCTAAGGCTAGAGGACCCCAAGTTCAAGCCCAGCCTGAGCAACTTCATGAGGTCCCCCCCCCCACCTCTCAAAATTTAAGAAACAGGAAAGGCTGGAGCCACAGCTCACTGTGAAGGCCCTGGGCTAAGTCCCTGGTGTCAGAAATGGACAGGAATGGGTTTCAGTCAGAAAGAGTGGGTGAGGTTTGGGTGAGCTGGGTGGGGCTGGGGAATGACAGGCGTGGAAGTCACTGGAGCCATCGCCGGCCCCTGCTGCTGGGGACCCTCCTGACACTTGTCCTGGTGAAGAGAGCTAGGCTTACGTGAGCTGCTTTGGGTCTGATCTTGACTGACCTGAGTGTCCTTCCTGCATTGGATGGTGATGCCCACAGCAGCGCTCACCGTCCCTGCCCTGTGGGACAGTGTGATCTTGTTTTTGTGTTAAGACAAAGCCCCTGCTATGTAGCCTGGGCTGGTCTTGAACTCGCAGCAGTCCTCTTGCCTCCTGAGCACTGGGATGACAGGTGTGTGCCACCGCGCTGGGTTTGCAGACTCATTTATTAACGTTAGATAAGCAGTTGCTTCAGTGGGGTCTGTGGGGAATGGCAGGGGCCACCCGGCCAGTCCCCGCCCTGTGCTGTGCTGTGCTGCCTGAGCTGAGCCGGGTCTGTCTCCCCAGATGGTACGTCACCTATGGCCACGAGCTCATCTGGAAGAACAGGGAGCCGCTGGTGAAGCTGTGGCACGAGATGAGGACTCAGGGCCCCCGGAAAGGAGGCGGCTCCGAGTGAAGCCCACGTGGATGTTCTGGTGCATGACTTCACCGCGGGCGGGCTCCCGGGCCTGGAGGGCCGCCTCCTGTCCTGTCCTGCCTGGAGGGCACCCGGCACTGCCACCGCTGCCTCTGCTGCTTCGGCCTCTGGACCGTGTCCCTCTTGGCTCTGGATGCAGGTGGCAGAGCTGTGGAATAAAGGTTTCTGGCCCTTTTGCAACCGGTGTGCTCTGTGTTCCCTGGCCCCTCCTGGCCCACCCAGTGCTATCTGTGCCTGGCCCTGTCCTGGGCCGCAGCAGGGGACCCATTTCCCTGAGTCTTCACCTCCGTCAGGAAGCAGCTCACACAGAAAGCCAGTTTAAATTTTGCTTTTCTGGGTTGAAAGTGTAGCCACCTGGAGGAAGTGACTGGGATAATCCCGACCTCCCGGACTGTAAGGATGTGTGCCTTGTCCTCCGGGATAGCACTACAGAGGGACATGGCCTGCGAACCCTCGTCCCTCGTCATCTGTGGCCGCCTTTGGGAGATGCTGTGGCAGTGGTGCGGCCTCCTAGGAGCTGTGTACATGGCTGCCCGGAGCCGCCTTCCTGCTGCTCACAGCCCCCTCCCTGGTGCTCCTGAGTACCAGGGGCCCTGTGGCCAGCTGGGCAGGACGTGTTCAAGAGGTGCAGCAGGGACCGAGCCACACAAGTTCCTGTTTTGCTGTGTCCTAGGTGGAGGGAGAGGCAGTGGAGACGTCTCTGCCATCCCGGCTTGTTGATGGGGCAGGAGGGCGTACCTGTCCCTGGGCCGAGTCTCTGTCTGTCTGTCCGTCCCCTCCCTCAGGTCTCTGACAGGCCTGGAGTAAAGAGCCTCCCCCAGCCGCCTCAGCATGACTTCTTCGCTGGCCTTGGTCCCTGACCACTGTGGCCACTCGGGGTCCCAAAATGTGTCCTGGGTGCTGTCTCCTGCCGACTGACCTGGTGGGGCCTCTGTGGCTCACGGCCCTCCAGGTGGCTTTAGTCCTGTCCGGTCTGGTAGCTGTCATCTGTGTTGCCCCTCTGTGGTCAGCTCTTCAGGGCCAGCCTCGGCCAAGCAGGAGCACGCAGGGCTTTTGAACTTGTTTGGTGAGTGGAAATAGAGCAGAGGCCGCGGGCGGGCACTCGCCTGGCAGGTGCAAGGCCCTGGTGTGCAATAGTCCACTATGGACCGTGGCTTAGATTCAGTATTTTAGTCCTGAGCTTCATCTGCTGGGTTAAGTTAACCCAGGGCCTGGTGTGTGGGGTGACAGAGCATGGAAGGGAGCTGTGGGCTGGGGAGCCAGGGCGGGGTCCCTTGGGTGCAATTCTGGCCACCAACTCCTGAGCAGGGACCCTGCGGCTTGTTGGTGCCAGAGACTTCCTGAGCTCAGTGGCCCACTATTCCTGTACCCCGGCTCTCACACTGCGAAGGGCTCCTCCTCTGCCTGCTGGGTATGTGGGAGATGATAGACCGGCCGAGCACCCAGGCCTGCCGAGGTGCAGGCTGGATCCTTGCTGAGCACACTGCAGTGGTTACTGCTGCGAGCAGGGCCACCTGTGGCCCTGTCACACTTGGAGTTGTTTCTGGTGCCCTGGCCATGATCACCAAACTCCAGCCTGGAGAGGGACGCAGAGTCGGCACTGTACGACAGCCCCGTCTGCAAGGTGGGGCAGGGTCTTTGAGCTCTGCGTCCCAGTCCCCCTCTCCTCACAAAGCCCTGGACTTTGCAGCCTATTGGGTCCTGGCCTAGATCCCTGATCACCCAAACAAGTGTACGGCAGAGACTTGCTTAAATTGAGACAAGTTATATGATTTTAGGGCTCCAGGAGGGTCAAAACTCTAGCTGAGCTCAAGACTCGGAGGGCTAAGACGAAGACTTCTCTGGATCAGGCTACTTTTATTAGGACCAAGGACAAAAGGGGAGGAAACTGGGGAAAGTGCAGGAAATGAGCGGGACCTTGGGAGTCATTTCAAAGACTTCTCCAAGTAGTAAATTATGCCAATTTAGAACTGTCTTATCTCCTGATAACATTTATGGTAGGGATGACTGCAGGAGTGAGATTCCTTCAGCTGCAGGCTCTATTAGTGTTGGAGCCAAGGCATCAGGCCCCTGTGGCCTTACCTGGCCCTTTGAGGGACCTCTGGCCACTGCAGGCCTCAGCAGGACCAGTGATTCATAGAGATTCACCTGCTGAGTGTGCTCAGAGACCAAGGGGCCGGGGCCTAGGACGGAGTTGCACATAAACTTAGAAAGCCAATTAGTTAATTTTAAATCCTGCTCAGAGCCGCTTCATAGTGGTCTCCAACAGCAGCCATGCTTATTTTGTATTTTTTTCCCCAAATCCATTTTATTCAAAGATAAAAACAAATTTTAAAGCATGCCAGTCGTCGTGCAACCAGACATTCACCCAGGGCGCTTCTGTGTTCCGCGGTCAGCACACTCAGCGGCGACCGGCTGAACTTTTCACACGTGTCACTTTTCTCACTGCTTAGTGTGCTCACGGCGCATCTGTTTCCTTGTGGAAGTGACCAGTGCATCCTCTGCAGCCCAAACCCGAGCTGCCAGCGCTGGGAAGGAGGCGGGCAGTGCCAGTCTCCCTGATCAGGGCAAAGCGAGGGTCCCCCGCCGGCGGCCTCAGCCTCTGCAGCCCAGGACCCGCTGCCGCGGTTTGGGCTGTGCAGCCTTCCTGCAGCGGGACGCGGCCCCGGGGCGCTGCCGAGCCCCAACTCCCGAGCCCCAGCCGCGCTGGGTCCCCACCCTCAGGCCAACAGCGCTGCGGCGCGGGCGGGCGCGGGGCGGGGCCGGGCGGGGAGCCCAGGGAGCCGAGGGAGCGGAGCCGCCGCGGTGCCGCAATGGCCTGGCCCTGCATTTCCCGCCTGTGCTGCCTGGCGCGGCGATGGAACCAGCTGGACCGCTCAGACGTGGCGGTGCCGCTGACCCTGCACGGCTACTCGGAGCTTGAGAGCCAGGAGCGGGGCCTGAGCAGCGCCGCCCCGCGCAGCAGCGTGCACCCCGCGGGCGGCCAGGATGAGGACCGGGCCGCGCCGCTCACTCAGTATCAGTGCGACTTCGGGGTGTGCACGGGGCCCCGAGACTTGGGGCCGGGTGGCCGCAGGGCCAGGCCTTCTGCGACCCCTCCACGGGGCGTCTACGTGCTGCCCATTGGCGACGCGGCTACAGCGGCCACCACCTCGTACAGGTACCAGACTGGAGCCGGGCAGCGGGAGGTTAGGGGTGCATGAGGTCCAGCAGGAGGCGCCTGGAGCGCGGATCTCAGAGCGTGGATCTGCGCGGGGGGTCATCCTGGGACCCCAGCCGGCCCTGCAGCGCCCCTTCTGTGCTCCCTGCCCGAGTGCCCACTGCTCATTTGCCCCGCTCTCCAGAGGCCTGGGCAAGGCCGCTTTGCCCAAGTTACAATCCGCTCCCCTCAGACTTTCATCGGGCGGGCCAGGCTGGGGGCGCCGCTGGCCAGGGCCCGCCCCCAGGACGGGCTCACGTGGACAGCTCCCCCTCACCCCATCCCCGGCTGCCTAGGCTCCTTGCCACCTTTGGTAATCACAAGTGACTTATCTGTACTCACTGTAGAGAACTGGGGTGACAGCAATGTCCTGAGCTGCACCCACACTAATTTTTAATGTGCCTCATGGTTTGATTCTCACTGTACACATCTTTCCCCCACTGTGGGCCGGATGTGCCTCTGCCGCATTGATCATAATAAGCGTGTACTGTTATCCTGTAGGTGCAGACATCTGCGTGTCCATGTGTCCTAGCACTGGCCATGCTAAGTATTCAGGATGATTTGGGGCAGGCATTTCTGTGCCTCTAGCAATTTCCCTGGAGATTCCTGGAAGGTGGGGTAGAGCTTGTGGCTCAGGTGCCTGGAAACAGGTTGCCTTGAGAGCGTAGGCTGTGCCACAGAGAAGGACACCAAAGCCCAGTTCGAGGTAGTGAAGCCTTAGAGGCGAGGGGTAGTTTCCAGTGCGGTGTGCACCTGAGAGCACGTCTTGCCGTGCTGACCTCAGGCTGAGCTGCTGGAACCTGAGTGGCGTTCACAGTGCCTAGGCAGACACGGTCGGCACTGACTCTTGCTGGGGGTGAGGATGAGCTGCAGACCATGGTGGGCCCGAGCTTCAGGGTGCAGCACTGAGGTCCTAGGCACTGGCACAGAGGCAGAAGTCCTGGCCCAGCAGAAAGCCCCATTCTGGGAACCGGTGCCATAGGTGTGCTGCAGCCACCCCAGGCAGCTTGCCAGCCACACTGGGAGGCGCACGCTGGTAGAGCACAGGGCAGCCTGCATGCCACTGGCAAAGGTAGCACACTCTCTTTTCCCTTGGCACAGGCCTGCTGGGCTTTGCACTGCCTGTGGGGGAGTCCCTGAGGCTGCTGTTACTGTCAACCCCTTTCTACAGGTGAGGAACCTAGCCTGGTGCAGGGAGTGGGACTGGAGTCTGTCTTGTATAGGTTCACAGCCCTGCCATCTGCTTCAGAATCAGTTCTGGGTCCTGAACTCATGATCTGAGCTACATCCCTAAGCTTTTTAACATTTAGCAGGAGGGATGCACTAAGTGCATCAGTTGCCCAGGCTTGCCATCCTCCTGCCTCAGCCTCCCAGACTGCTGGGATTCCAGATGTGAAAGATGTTTATTGAACTGAGTCCTGAAATCAGCCGTGGACAAGGACTGACAGATGGGAGTGGGTACGCACTAGAACGCCCACTTTCTGCTGTGCAAACTGACCTCGGACCCTGGCCCCGAGAATGGGAGATGCTGAGGTCCACTGCCCGGGCTCTCTCTGGGCTGCTCTGCACCTCTGGCTCAGGGTCCAGCTGAGGTCTACAGGAGGCAGCAGGGCTGGGGATAGAGAGGGCTGGCACACGGTGGCACGGTCAGGCTTGGAGTTCTCACTCTCCTTGGCTGGACCATCAGTTGCCTTTCTCCTCTCCTGGGCAGTTGCCAGGTCCGCTGATTCCACCTCTCATATTGCTTCCCTGTCCCTTGCTGCAGCGCACTCTGTCCAGGCTTCTCCAGCACAGCCCAGGGATGGCTCCAGCTCTGCTGCCTTAAGGGGCAGTCTGGGGACAGAAGGGTACACCTGGGGGGAGGGGGACCTGCTTCTCTGGGAGAAACATAGTGGCAGATGGCCTGGCCGAGCAGTAGCTCTCTGCAGAACCCTGCAGCTTGGAAGCGGAGCTTAGTTGCCAGGGCCCCACCCAGCTCTCCTCCTGGCACTGTGGCTTCCCCGAGTGCTGACCATGGCCAGACACCACCCTCCCTGCCCAATCGAGGCCCCAGCTGTGCACTGCCAAGGACAGGAGGCGCTTTTGTTGACCTCAGGGCTTAAAGCTGGGCCAGGGCTGGAGGGGAAAAGGGAGCCTAAGGCACCTGCAGGCTCTGCCCCGCAGGCCCACCCTTCTCCCTGGCCAGGTGTCCCTATGGTCACAGGGTCCCTCTGCTTTCTAAGCTCACCATCCAGCAGGGACGCTGATAACTGAGAGGAACTTTAGGGGACTAAAATCTGACTGAAAGACACTCCAGGACCAGGAGCCAGGCTGTGCCAGCCTTGTGGCTTCCCTGTGTCAACATTGCTCGTGCAGATCACCAGGGAAGTTCACGGATCCACGCTGCACTGTGCCCAGGCCATGCTGCCTCAAGGTTTCTCGGGAGGGCCACCAGGACCCATGCCTGTGTGACGCCACATCAGTGAAAACCACACCGAGCCTGCCCTCCTCTCCTGCCTGAGGGGGGTAGAGCCTTTGGCTGGCACTCTGCAGACCCACAGGGCCACCACGACCATGATGGAGGTGGCTGTCACTGGCTGTGGGGTGCCCGAGAAGCAAGTGCAGACCCTGAGTAGGCGCAAGGCCCAGCACACAGCAAGCACTGGCATTCCTTCCTGGATGAAGCCTGGGTACCAAGCGAGTTCCGCCCTGAGCTGGCTGCTGCCCTTAGCAGCAGTGCCCCTGCCTACCCTCGGGGCCAGGCCAGCCAAGGTTTCCTCGGAGGTGAAGACCGGGGCGGCTACCAGCTCCCTGCCCTCGTGAGGGGACACAGGACCATCTGGAACTGCTGCCAGGCTCACTGTGTTCTCTGTTCCAGGCAGGAGTTCCAGGCGTGGACTGGAGTGAAGCCCTCAAGAGCCACCAAGGCAAAGCCAGCCAGGGTCATCACCACACACAGCTCCGAATGGAATGGCAGCCCGGAGCCTGGCTTCCAGGTCAGCTGAAAGTGGTGCTACAGGGTCCTTGGCCAGGGTAGGGGTTAGGAGCCACATTTCAGTGGTGTGACACTGTAGCCAAGGACAGCAGGGCCAACTCACTTGTGCCTGACAGCAGCAGACCCAGGTGCTTGTCCCTAGAAGGTGGGTGCCCTCTGGGCTGGCTTCCCTGGTGAGCCACACCAAACAGCAGGCACTGAGGGAGGAAGACACAGGTTCCCTGGTGGAGGTGGCTTCTTGGGCAGGACGCCACTCAGGGCAACTGGCAGTCCTTCATTCCTGCTGGGTGCGAGTTCTGTCCCCTGGCGCTGCAGCTGGAACTGAGCATCCCCACTCATGTCGCCTCAATTTTGTTTTTTAGGTCCCCAAGGTGAAGAGAAAGTTCACGCCTAACACCTCAGCCATCTTTCAGCCTTCCGCTCCCCAGGTTCTCAACGTGTGACCCCGAGCAGTGACTGAGCTGCTGTTAGGAGCGTGACTGCATCGGGCTGCAGGCCTGCTGCGTGGCAGAGCTAAAGGGGACAGCGCCCTGGCTCTGCCAGCCTCCAGCAGTCTCTCCTGAAGCTTCCCGTTCTTGGGGTATCAGCCGTGCCTGTCTCCAAACCGCACAGCATGGGGATCTGTTGAGGAACCCGTACCTCTCCGGCAGCTTCCCCAGGACGCTCGGTCCTTTATTCATCTTGTACCCCACAGCAACCGCCGTCTGCCTCGTCCGTTTCCGTTGTAAACTCAGGTCACCACCTGCATGTCACTCACGGTGATGCCCAAGAACCTCAAGCTCAGGGGCTCCGCCTTGCGAGGTGTTTCTCTCCAGCCAGGATGACCCTCAGGTTTCAGCACAGCGCTGAGGCAAACGTGGTACCTAGGGCATGAATGGCCATTACCCTGCAGGACTTTCTACTTTGACCGGAACACAGGGTAACTCCGAGTGACCTGGCATGGCCGTTAGGGGGCGCGCTTCGGGGATGGTGGCCTTCGCCTCACTCCTTAAAGGCCTGTAGACGGCGCCTGCGCCAGCTTTCAGCCCTGCTGAAGCTTGCAGGACAGGTCTCGGGCTCCGGGAGCTCCCCCGGAGCCGCCCCGCAAGGAAGGATGCGTGCCCTGCAGAAGCCCTGGCCCTCTGCCCAGCAGCTTCCTGCCACCTCAGGGGCTCTGTCCCTTCTTGCAGAGTAGAGGTATAAAGCTCAAGGTGGTTTGGGGGAAGGAAACCAAAGGATTCCTGTGATTCTTTCTCCCAGGCCCTAGGGGTGGCATTCGGCTGCAGAATCCCGTCCCCTCCCCTCAGAGGTGCTAGCTCTGCAGGCCCAGCCCCTCCTGCGGGCCCTGAGGCTCACGTTGTGGGGGGAGGGGGACGGCGGGGCGTGGGCTTGCGGTTTGCAGCTCTAAGCGATGGTTTGCATATTGAAGGCCGGGAGGAAGGGCCCCCTGCTGGGAGCGCCGCAGATTAACACAGATTAACATACAATCTGACCTTACTAAAACGCAGACACGCCGTTCGTTTCTTCTTTAAATTATAAACGGGGTTTAAATTATAGACCTGAAAGTCTCCTTGGTCAATGCCTCGGGGCTACTGCCAGTCTCCATGGAGGCTTGGCAACCCTGGCCCCTTCCGCAAACAGGCTGAGAGTGACAGGGCCGCTGCAGGCATGTCCTCCTCACCCATGGAGAAACCCAGAGGGAACAGATGGATGGCAGCACCAGCCAGGCTCACACCCTGCCTCTGGCCAGGATGGGTGCTTCTGCTGCCTATGCAGGTCCCCTTCGGAGCCGCCCATTCTCACCCCAGCCACAGCTGTGCCAGGAGCCTCCTGGTTCTGTGCAGAGGACACACAGGCTTTGCTGCTGCCACCCTTGGGGACAAAGGCCTGCTTATCCCTGGCGGCCGGCCGGTGCTGGTGCCACAGGAGGTTCCCACCCTAAGGGGCCAGACCTCCGACAGGGCAGCTGCTCACCAGACCTTTCAGGAGTCTGCCACCTCCCCAGGAGGTGTCACCACCAGATGACCCCTGGTCACTCCATGTCTCACGAAGGCTGGGCTTCTGCTCAACCTGCCCCAGCCTGCGGGCCTCACAAGTGCCCTACAAGCTGCTGACAGGAGGTGGCGGCCTGTGACGGCTTGTGGAAGCGCTGGAGAAGGGGCTGGATGGCTTCCCACCTTTATTATGCTCGCCAACATTTCTATAGAATCAGCATTTTTGTATTAATTCTCGGAAGGAAAAGCTTTTAGAAAGGGAAAGCAATTCAGCCTGGTGGGTAACTGTATCAGAGCAAAGCGTGGCACATGAGGGAGCCTCACTGCACATGCAGTGAAGCCCCCAGTCCTGCACCAGTGAGTGCCCACAGGATGCCAGGATTCCTGAAGAGCTGCTTCAAGACGACCCCCCCCACCTCGTCTCCCCGCCTCCCTGCAGCCTCCAGGGCTTCTCAGCTCTGCCCTGTGGCTGTCTGCACTGCGCGTGGGTGGCAGGAAGCATCCTCTCCCTCTTCTTGCCCAGGCTTCCCAGCTGTGCTGACACCTGTGCGTCTGAACAGCCTCTCGGCATGAGGCTCCTGGGCATTGAGGCCTCTTTCAGCCCACTGCACCCCACTGCCGGACAAAGTGACCTCTCTCGGCAGGACCTCAGGAGCTGCCTCCCTCTGCTCTTTTTGGAGGAAACACTGGGCTCATTTAAGGGCGAAGCTGTCAGAAAGAATGTCCCTGCTGCTCAACAGGTGTCCCCCAAAGTTTAGACCTTCATGTAACTGCAGTCCATTGTTTTATAGGGCTGCAAGTTCTTTTTGGAAAGCAGAGGAATTCAACTCTCAGCCTGTAGCGCATCACAGCCCACCGCCAATGCTAAGGCTTACTGCAGATGTGCTGATCCATTAGCACAAGCGGCTTAAAATCATTTACTATTTCTTTCTCAAAAAGAAAACGTAAGGGCTGGGGATTTAGCTCAGTGGCATAAGCGCCTGCCTTGCAAGCAGGCAGTCGTGAGTTCGATCCCTGGTACCGATAAAAACAAAACAAAACAAAAGAAAATATCCAGGGCCAAGGGTTTAGCTCAGTGGCACAAGGCCTGCTTGGCAAACTCCAAATCGTGAGTTCAATCCCCGGCACCCAAAAAAAAAAAAAAAAAAAAACCCACACAAAAAAACATCCTTAGGCTCTCACACCTATATCCAGGCGTCTGTCTCCCGATCTTGCAGCCTGTGCCCTTTTGCTGAGGAGGACCCACTGAGCTGCTCCGCTGGCCCAGCAGTGACCCTGAGGCCTGCGCCCCGCTGTAAAGGATTCTCCGTATTCACATCCTGCATGCGGCAGATCCCACTCCGCCACCTGGCTTCATTTCCAGCAGACACCTAGGGTCCCGTGGAATTGGGATCTTGCTGCTTGCGTTCGTTTCTCTGGCTCTGCTTACAGGCTGCAAATATTATTCACTGGGCAGGACAGGAGCAGCGCAGCCCTGGCATAGGCAGGTCAGGGGCCCGAGCAGCGTCTCCCGTTGTCTTCCCTGTTGCAGCTCCTGCTGACCCCACTCTCTGCTTAGGCCCGCACTGGGTGAGCAGCTCCTCCAGACTTAAAGGCACTCGCAGGTGTTTCCTCCTGGGGAAACTGGCAGGAGGACAGCACAGACAGCCTGGAGGGCTGGTGAGCTGCTTGGAGCCCATGGGAGTCTGCAGGCCAGGCCAGAGGCTGCTGCCGGCTCCTGAGGCTCAGGCTCCCGGCTCGGCCAGTCCTTCCCGGCTGCTGCTCAGTGCTCATCCCGATCCTGGTTCCTCATGGCTGCACTGTGCTCCCTGATGCGAAATTCTGCAGGGTCCTTGCTGAATGTGGAGCCCCGCCTGCCTCTTGGCGACCCCATGCCTGACTTGTTTCTGTCCCGAGGAGTCAGGCCTGCAGCTTGGCTGCTCCAAACCTGCCGCAAGGAGGACGTCAGACTTCTGTCCTAACTGGTATCACTTGGAGTGGACACTGCAGTACAGTCAGGCAGGCAAAAGCAGTGTCTGGTGGCCACTCTCCAAACAGCAGTCACAACAGTCCGCCTGCCCAGCGCGATGGTGCTTATGGGTCCACACTCAGTACCCCCATGTGTTTGTTGGTGAGGAAGTCCAGGAAGGGAATGTTGCAGATGGCCTGGTGGATGTTACTCACTGTGATTTCTTTGGGAATCCTGATCCAAAAAAAAAAAAAAAAAAACAAAAAAAAACAAAGGCCTTACCAGGTGTAATTCTCCCAAGTATATCCAACAATTAAACCATCAAATTTGTACTGAGTGTCCCCGTGGGCTGGGGACACAGCAGCATAAACGTCTGCCTGGCAGGTGCAAGGTCCCAAGTTCAATTCCCAGTACCAAAAATGAAACACCGCCTGGGCACCCTCTGCCTCAGAGGTGCCTGCAGGCTGCACCCTAGGCGCATGCAGTACCTGTTGTGCGACACTGTCTGGTACCCAACGGCCAGTGCCTGTCGCAGGATGTCGCTCACCAGCTGCTCTGTGGCCTGCAGTGAAGACATCATCATTGTCATGCGACCCCTCCTGAAGGCAAACATGCCTGACCCCATCCCACGCCTACACTTTCGAAATAACTGCAACTAAAAATCAAAACGCCCTCCAGGAAAACCAAAGATCTCAGTCCCAGACTCAAATGACTGAGGCCGTGGCTCAAGACACTTATGTTCAGAGATTGCTTTGGTGAAGCAGATCCCATTCTGAAGGGAGGGCTATGGCTGCCACTGAGGCACCCTAACTGTTGAAGAGGCTGTGTAAGGAGCAGCTGCCAAGCTGGTGCCAAGCTGGGTGCAGAAGCCCTGGTGCTACCCAGGGAGGGGATGCAGGGGCTGGGTCTCTGTCACAACACGCACAGCACAGCCACCTCACACCCAGACCACCTCACACCCAGATGCTTCCTGAGAAGCACCGAGGCCAGGCACCAAAGCACCTGCATCTAAAACTGCAGCCGCTTGGAGGGCCGAGGTAGGAGGATTGCAAGTCTGAGTCCACCTGGAACCCTGTGCGACCTTGTCTCAAAGTGAACAAGGCGGCTGCAGGCAGAACTCATGCAGAGCACCTGGCTTAGTCTGGGTTCAGCCCCAACATGGCAAACTGCCACTTTAGCTGTATCAGTGGAAACTCCTGAAGATACCTCCACATACAGAAAACGAGTTGGTGCCCTTAAAATCAGAAGAGACAGAAGAGAAAACAACAGAGATATCCCAAGGAAGAGAACCATAGAAACCTGCCGTCTGTGTTCCTTTTCCGTCCTTGTCCTCCCCGAGAGCAGCTGGGGTAGCTCAGTGGCCGAGTGCTTGCCTGGCACAACTAGGACCTGGGTCTCACCTGCAGCTCCACCAAGAAAGCCACTTCCGCCCCAACCCTCAGGTCTCCGAGCCCGCCCCACCTGCTGGCACCCACCTTGAGGATCATGTCCTCCACCACTGAGGCATACACGTGCCGGTGCAGTGCCACGGGCTGCAGCGTGATCCCAATCTGGAAGGGAGGAGATGTTCTGTTCCTTTTCCGTGTTTCATAGCACCTCCTTCCTGCGGGCAGAGCCTGACACCTCGGAAGGGCTCCTGGGTGGCACCAACAGTCTTCCCTTTGGTGGGGAACTGGCTGCCACCTGCCTAGAGTTCTGGCAGCAGGGCCAATAACCTGCAACCCCCCCAACCCCCAGCAAGCAGGAAAGGAGCACGGAGCCTGCCCCCGCTTTCCTCTCATCCCAAGCTGCAGGCAGGCGGGCAGGTGGGCGGGCGGCAGGTGTCAGCGAGCTGCTAGCTTTGGGGGAGGACAAGCTGCTCCCTCTCATGTCACTGGGGCAGGGTGCCTGCACAGGCAGGCCCACAGGAGCCATCAACTGTCAGGAAAGGTCACCGGCTACAGCCTGACTTGGAAATATTATGATGCACTGCATGGAGGGAAGGGCTTCTCCTGGGACAGCAGAGAAGGGGCGAAGGTAACAAGCTGCCCTGTCCACCAGGCAGTGCTGCCCCGGGACCCTTCTCTCTGAGGCTCTGCTGAGAGGGCACCCAGCTGCAGGTGGGAGGAAGGCACATTGCTGCCACCAGCATCATCTGTTGCCCCCGGCCAGCTGCCTACCTTCTGTGTGATGTCGCCAATGAACTCAGAGCCCGGGGTGGGCGGCAGGTAAAACTTCATTTCTTCCTGCTTCTCTTCCTGCTCTTTTTTGATGTTTATCTTCAGCGGCTCCGAGAGGCTGAGGATGTCCACTTCCTCCTCGTTTTCCGGTTCTCGTTTCTGGAACTGCTGCAGGTCCTCCAGCTTCCGGCAGAGGTTATCAGCAGAGGAGAAGGATGACGGGCACTCTGAATGAGGAATCAGTGCTGTCACAGCTCTGAATCAGGGAATCACTGCTGTCACAGTTCTGTGCGACCCAGGGTCGAGAAAGGCAGCCACATCCCAAGGGAGCCGACCTCCTCTCCACTCTTTGAGCTCCGCAGATCCAGCTTGCAAAGCACCAGCCCTTCCCAGGGAGAGACACACTCACAGCCGCCCCCCACAACTGCCACTGGAGCCACACACACAGCACTGATTCTGACTTTCGCCACCAAAAACCAGGCTGATCTCCTACCCAGAGTATTAATGGCTGAGCTGTTGTACCTTTTAAACATGGAAAACTAAGTAGGCACAGTACAGAACACAGAAAGCATCCACACCGACACGGTTGGGGTATAGCAGGCCTTACTAAACACTCCTCAGGGTGAGGCTCATGAGGCTGCACCTCCTTCCCCTCCACCAAGGCCGCCAGTCCCACAGCAGCCCATGACGGGCTTCCTGCACCCAGTACCAGGGCCTCCGCTCTGGCCTTTTCTGTTCTACTGACCAGACTCTGACTCATCCGTTGGTGCCTTAACAAGACCTGCATAAGCAGAGTACCGTGCAACACGGCCATCAGTATGGTCTCTACCTGCCTGGGAGCACAGAGTGAGGAGCCAGTGACGCCTCTGAGGAACTGCAGGCAGCAGGGATGACAGGAGGGGACAAGGCACCTGCACAGGGCTCCTGCAGGTGGCATGCAGCAAGGGATCCTGCATGAGGTCCTGGAAGGACACTGCTCCGGGCTTCAGTCCCGGAGACTGGGAGGCAGATTCATCTTCTTGTAAACAGGGCAGAACCTTTCCTTTCCTCTCCTCCTGTCTTGTGGGGATGCTAGGAATGGAACCCAGGCCTCTGTGTGCAAGGCCGGCACTGCCCCCAGCTTTTCAGAAACAGGATCTCTACGCTGCTCAGGCTGGCCTTGAACTTGCAATGCTCTTGCCTTAGTCTCCCTAGTGGCCATGCAGCACACCCTTTATAATCTTGGGAGGAAAAACTCAAAATGCTGCTTCTCCTCCAACACCTCTTTGTTGTTTTGCCTAAGACACCAGGGAGCGTAGCCCCAGCTATGTGTGGAGGTACAGTGACAGATAGGAACAGGGCCCGTCTCCATGCAAGGAGGACAGGCGAGTCCATCAGGAGTCCTAAGGTCACGAAAGGAGGGAGGTCACCTCATTTTGGAGGAGAGGGGGCACAGGAGGGATCTTCAAAGAAGAAAGGAAGTCCAAGGGGCACCCGGAACACACATGCCTGCTGCACAGCTCCATGGAGTACCCCGGCTTGGGCTCCACTTGAGACTTGGGTCAACAGTGCTGCGGGCTGTGCACGGGCACAGTGGGGTTGGCGGGGGTGTCAGGTCCTGTGCCGCACCCACTCACCCGGCTCACTATCGATCTGGGTCAGCACGTCCTCGATGGAGTCGCCCTCGCTCCGCAGGCTCTCTGGGTCCGGGGGTGTGTAGCCGTGGCAGCGGCACCAGTGTGCAATGTGCTTGGTCTTCAGGGGTGTCAGGTGGTGAAACCGTGGATTCTTCTCCAGGATTTCTTGTAAAACTTTTCGCATGGTCATTGCTCTCTGCCACTTAAAAAAATTTTATTGAACCATCATTAAATCATTCAGCTTAATAGGTGAGTGCTGAAACGAATCCTGTACCTGAAAAATCACCATGATAACTTAACTTGCTGCAGTCACCGTAGTCTAAGGGAAAAAAATCAGACTGCTATGCTCCAGAGTGAAAAATAAAAGAAAGGGGCCTACTGGCTCCCTAAGGCCTAGGAAATGGCAGAGATGCCCGGTTGGCGTCTGTGCCTCCCCCCAGGGGCCAGCCACACTGCTTTCCAGACGCCTCTCCACATAGGCTCTACCTTTTCTTCTTTACCCATTTTGTGGGGCTAGGGACCAAACCCAGGGCCTCAGCGGCTAAGCAAGCCCAACACCGCTGCACTACGATTCCCAGCCCTTACGCCTCTTTTCATACTGCTACTGTATCACACTTTAATTCCTGTCATGTTTTAAAAACTTTTAGAATGTAGGAAAGATGCTCCTGTGAAGGGAGGAGCTTCCTAGCGCAGGCTGGAGGGTTGGAGGGACCCACTCTGCTTACTGCCCTCAACACTGACCCAGTTGCAGGTGTCCCTGTAGCCCTGGGGCGGGGCGGGGCGGCAGGAGAAGCCTTACCTCGGCCGCTCTCCTCTTCCCGATGTTCCAGCTGTAATACTGCTCCACGGACTTGGCGGAGAAGCAGCTGGTGTCTTCACCTAGAATGCACAGGCCCCGCACACTCTGAGTTAGCTGTGGCCACTCAGACCGAATTGCACCCTGTACAGCACGGCTGGAGTCTCCCAGCTCCTTTCTGGATCTGCACTCGCACCTGGGCAAGTCTGAGAACAGCATAGTTCCTGCTATTCTAAGCATAACCATCCCTGGAGAATCAACTTCTTGGGCAATTTCCTGCCTCCTACCTCCCAGTACTGGGGACTGAACAAGGTGTCTACTATGATCCACCTCCCAGTCCTGTTTCTGGTATTTCGTGAGGCAGTGTTTCACTATGCAGTTTAGGCTGGCTTTGAACTCACAGCCATCCTCCGGCCTCAGCCTCCTGAGTGCTGGGGTTACAGGTGTGCGCCACTGAGCCAGGCTCATCCCAGTCCCATTTATAGTTTACTTTGAGACGAGAGTCTTGCCAAATTGGCCATGCTGGCCTTGAATTTCTAATTCTCCTTCCTTAGCCTCCCAAGTAGCTAAAATTATAGCATGTGGTACCATGCTTGGCTCACAAGGGTATTAAATGGGTGCACATGGCATTCTGGTTGGGTGTGTGGCCTTATCACTAATTCACTGAGCAGCCTTGGGCCCTAAGGCATTTTTCTGGACCTCAGTCTTTCAGGGTGGCGAGGTCTCACTACATTGCTCGGGCTGGTCTGGAACTTACACTCCTCTATCTGGCTTGCCAGCCCCCTAAACAGCTAGGACTGTAAGCGTGTGCCACTGTGCCCTGGTGGTTTTGATTTGGAGTGTCCTTGGGAGACTGACCCAGGGCTTCATGCAGACCAGGTGGGCATCTCACCATGGTCCACACATTCCCATCCCCTCCAGCTCTAACACTTTGTATCTAAATTATGAGAAAAATCCAGAGTTTTGAATAATTTCTGTTGGGCTAGGAAACTGTCACTGAAATTTTATTTTGAGCACCCTCAGAAACAATTCCTCAAAAACAAAAAAGAACCCTCAAACTTAGAATAAAAACAAAAAGATCATTTTTTTGCTGTTCCTGTTGGAACTTGGACCTGAACCATGGTTTCATTTCCCATGACAGCTCAGAGCGGAAGACCATGTGCTCTGAGCCTCCTCTGAGTGAGCCTGCCCCGGCCCCGGGAGGCTAACCAGTTCCATCACACAGGGCTGGACAGGACCACTTGGCACAGGCAGGGACATGGCAGGCCTCACTTTTCAGTCTTGGGAACTGCGCCTCCCCATATGGTGCGGGGCCTCCCCATATGGTACGGGAACTGAGCTCCAGAGGAAAGCTCAGTGGCCCTTCACAGCCACTCAGGACGCTCTCTACTTTGCCTCCCCACCAAGGCTGGGCGCCTGGCTTCTCAGCCCTCCCACTGGTCTCTTCTGCGAAGGGGAGGTGACCTGTTACGTGAGGGCCTGCAAGTAACTGGGCATTACGCAGAAGGCCCTGCACCAGGAGGCAAATGCTGCTTACTTTCCTCATTAAAAAACAGCAGCGGCTAATGGAGAACTTAACTACATATGTAACTGTTGTGGCTTAGCATAACTGATGCCCTCGTGAGCCTTGCATTTAACTAGTGCCCTGTATTTGACTCAGAAAAATGGAAAATTACTCAGGGTACAAGTCCCATGAGAAAAGCAGAATGAGCTGTACCTATAGGAGAAAAATTAGCCTGCTCAACAAAATAAGCAAGATACAGGTGTCAACTGAAAATTAATGAAAGATTCGATCTAAACTGTTTCCAACAGGATGTCTTTTGTGATTCTCTCTTTTAAAAACTCTGTAACTTGGGGCTGGGGATTTAGCTCAGCGGCATAAGCGCCTGCCTTGCAAGCACATGGTCGTGAGTTCAATCCCTGGTACCAATCAAAAAAAAAAAAAAAAAAAAAAAAACTCTAACTTTTCAGTTCTGGGCCACTTGTTTGGACCCTGAACCAGGGGAGTCTATATACAAGTGGTCCTGAGCTCAGTTAATAAATTCCAAATTTATCAATTTGGCTATTTGGATTCCTATACTGTTGTTCATGAACCCCTATCAGTAACAATTCATAATTTACATACAGAAGTAAATGCAAAAAAATTCCTTTGGCATCAAGCAGTGAAAATAAACTGAATGACCAAAATATTGTGAATTATAAAACCCCTGAAAATGAGCTATCTCTAGCTAAGACTCCTAAGATCATAATTTTACAATTCCAAGTGATTTGAGCTCACTCCTCAATACTCTAAGCAGGTCATAAGCATATATTCAGTATAACTGTCTTACTTTTTGCAGTGATTAATGGAATCTTCTTTACCACTGCCGTTAAGAGTTGCTGAATCGTCTCCAAGTGCTCTATCCTGAGAAGGGGACAGGGAAGGGAGGCAGTAAATACCCAGGGGAGTTTGTAACCCACACATGCAGCTACACAAGTAACACACAGCTACACATCCAATGCCACTCCCTGAGGATAATAAAACCGTGATGTCTTCCTTCTAGGACAGCCTTTATAAAGGAACGGCCCTGCTCGCTCTCATAGAAAATGTCAAGAGTAAACAAACAGGGCGGGGAGGGGAGGGAAAAGATTAAGTGCGACACACACGCCAACTCCCCACAAGAATGTAAATCACTATATATCACAAGCACGCACCAGTAAAACTTTAAAGGAAAAACAAGTGAACAGATCCTGGCAAATGTCAGAAGCATCACCGTGTTCAATCTGCATTTTACAAGAGCAACAAAGTCTTTTTAGATGTCTTTACAAGGCAACTGCTGCTGGATCAGAGAAGCCGCAGCACGTAATAGCTCCAGGCTACTTGGGGTGCCGCCTGCACCCAAAGCCGAACCTCGGTGCGTACTGCCCTGTGAACAGCTTGGGAGGAGGCAGCTGTGTAAGAGTGGCCAGGTGTGTGGATAGAAAGTGATCAGGGCTGAGGGACTGAGAGAAACCTGGATTTCATCTCCCATCCTGATCCCACGGTGGGAAGCTGTAACCCGCAGGAAGCATCAGGGGCTGATATCAGGGGCTGATATCTGGGGCTGCCCCTAAACCACGATGCCACCTACACAGACTTTCAATGCCTGGGGCAGGCTGTGCCCTCCCCAGGGCTCATAGGTCTAATTTCGCAGAATCACCCAAGGCAGAGCACCTTTGGAAAGGACCACAATAATTACTTAATGACATAGCTGCCCAGCTCCGAACTTTCTTCTGTTTTCACCGCTGTCTGGACCTCCTGCGACAGGCAGCTGGGTGCAGGGGCTTCCGGTTCAGTTTTCACTGCAAGGGAGAAAGGGAGAGGGAAGAGAGAGGAGCGGTTAGGGCTGGTGATTGGGGGGCCTGCCGGCGGCCAGAGACCCCTGCAATCACTCCAGCTGCTGTGGGGACACAGCTGGGGACCAGTGGGCTCTGGTCACCATGAGGTCAGCACAAAGGGAAGAACAGAAGAAGTACCCGAAGGCACATGACAGCCAGGACAATCAAAAGGCTTTTCGGATGGGGACCTGCCCCTGTGGACAGCGCCACACTATTTTGCGTGCAGCTGCCCTGGTGGGACGGCCTCTCCCTGCAGGCTTACGACTGTTAGCAACGTGCCAGTGCTCTAGGGCACAGTCAGAGATCAAAAATCAGATCTGCTGTGCCTGGAAATGTACAAGTGAATCACGGTTTAACATTAAGGATGGAAACTGGGGGTGGTGGCACACATCTATAATCTCAGTACTTTGGAGGCTGAGGCAGGAGGATCATTCCAAGGTCAGACCAGCCTGGGCTACAAAGTGAGCTCAAGGCCAGCCTGAACTGCATAGTGAGACCCTGTCTCAAAAAAACAAATATAAAAACAAAACAAAAATAGTATTATGGGTGGACCATACTTCATCTGAATATCTGCAATTCTCCAAAATAAAACTTTCTGGGCACCAATATGATACAATAAGTGAAAAACTCCACAACGTGAAACTCTTATTTCATGTAAAAAATTAAAAATACTGCATAAAATTATCTGCAGGCAATGTTCACGTGAGACATAAATACATTTCACGTTTAGAATTGAGTCCAAATGCCAAGATATTTCTCTGTATACAAACACTGTGTTTCAAAGCCTGAACTATGTCTAAAACCTGAAACTTAGAGCCAAGCATTTGCAGTAACAGGAACCCGCCTGGACTGCATCTAGTGATGAGCAGACAGCCGAGTGTCGGGTAGAGGCCGCCGTCCTCTCCCAGACAGCACTCTCTGATCAAACACCAGGGCTCCACACCTCCCTGACACGTGCCCTGAACCAGGTAACCTGAGACTGTGTGGGGGTCGCGGTGATATCCCTGTATTTCCTTCTCCACTTTCCTTATCAGCCTTTCCCTTTGGGGCTACGATCCAACTCAAGTTATTTATGTCCACATTTATGTAAAGACAAGGCTCCCTGCTTTCTCAAACAGATAGCACTGTTTACTGAGAAGACCTCCTTTCCGTACTGAACTCATCATAAACCAGGTTAACGATTATGTGCAGCTTGAATTCTGGACTCTCTGCTGTTTTATTATGTGTTCTCGAGCCAGTTTTACACTATTTCAAGTGCTGTATTGTACTTGTATGTGTTTGGTAAAATTTTCCTGCTTTTTTGTTTTTCAAGACTGCCTTGGCTATTTTAGGTCTTTGTGTTTGGGGGTTTTTTTGGAGGGGAGAGGGGTAGGTATTGAGTCTGGGTCCCTAGGTAGTGCAGGCTGGCCTTGAGTGGACTACCAAGCCCAGGTAGCCTTCATCTCATGGTGATCCTCTTGCCTCAGCCTCATACTGCTGAGATTACAAATGTATGCCACCATGGCTGGCAATCTTTGTATTCCTGTACACATTTTAGACTACTGGATTTCTATACACAAATGTACTCCGTGACACACTCCCACTCTACCATCATGCTAGCACTACAGGGAGTATGGTTAAAACCATGTCAAATCCATACCTTTCTGGAGGGAGAACTGGTAATATATCAAATCTTCCAATAAAGCATGCTATAGCCACATTATTTAAATCTTTTAAATTTCTATCATGAATGTGTAGCAGGTCGTTTTTAGTAGATTGTCCTAGCTTTTTAAATTTTTATTAAATGATTTTTGGTATCTTTGGTGCTACTGTAAATGTTTTCTTTAAACTGTGTTACCTAACTGTTGTAGCTAGTAGACAGAAATTCAAGTCATTTTCCTATTTATGCTGACTTAAGTGACCTTGATAACTGCCCTGCGAGAAGTACTATTTCCTAAACTCCTAGTAATTCTAGAAACAGGGAAATCTTGACAAAGCTCAGATTCTCCCGTTCCAAAGCCTCCTCACTTCCAGGTGGCATCTGACAATCACAGAAGTACATAGTCACAGCAACTTCAGGTTGGGGAGCTCCTCTACTAAGTCAGTGAAACTACGCTCTCAAAAATGTGCATGTGCCAGGCATGGCGCTGCACACCTATAATCCCAGCTCTCGGGAGGCTGAGGCAAGAGGACTCTTGAGTGTTCAAGGCCAACCTGAACTACATGGCAAGACTCTATGCATAACAGCCCTAAACTGGAAACAAATCTCATGTCTGCGGACAGGAGAAAAGATGGATTTCTTCAGTGTGTTTCCCAGAGAACTATGTAGCAGAACGATGTAGCACTGAGCAGCTAGAATGCTCACAGACACCAGTCACATGGCCACTAGACAATCTACAGTAACAGAAATGACGAGCGGAGGCTGGGGATGGAAGGGGACGGGACAGTACGGGCCACGCAAAACTCTGTGCCTTGGCTGGGGTGCTGCTCACCCAGGTTTGTCCACTTACCAGCTCACCAGACGGTACAGAGTATTTTCATATTTCACTATTTTCATATTTTACAGTTTACTCCAGCTAAAATCAAAACAGAGCTCCTCTGGCCTAATCCAAAAGTCAATCAGGATCTGTGTGAGGTGGGTCAGGCCAGGCCCCTCCCTCCGAGAAGCACTGGTCCAGCCTGCACCAACACTGTCACGAGCTCCTTCTAATATGGGACACTTCTCTACATGGGACGACTCAGTCAACAGCTTAGAGGTGCGGGCCATGTTCCCTCGGCAGGAACTAAACTCTGTGGCCAGAGGACAGCATGTAGATGAGGGAACATGGTCAGTGCCAAACCAGGCAAACCCTGATCACCAAACCCTGCTTTGTCATTTAGTAAACAACAGATCTACCTTTGCCCAAGGGAACCCAGACATACCTTCAAGGCAGTCCAGCTCAGTAAGGAAGATGCGATTTCCAATTCCAACTTCACTACTTTCTAACTTTCTAGACCTGGGAAGTACATCTTTAGAATCCTCATCTGCACAATGGACATAATAGCCCTGCATAGGCCCTGGAATAAGCACTGTGATGCAAGCATCCAAAGCAGCTAGCAGGGCCTGATCCACGGTGGGCCTGAAACCCAAGCCCACAATAGTTCTCATTCTGGATGTTACAGAAGGCAAACGTGCTGCTCTGATCCACTGAATTACTTTATTCTGGACTATTCTTTTTTTTTTTTTTTTTTTTTTTTTTTTTGTCTTTTTTGTTTTTATCGGTACCAGGGATTGAACTCACGACTGCCTGCTTACAAGGCAGGTGCTTATGCCGCTGAGCTAAATCCCTAGCCCCAATTCTGGACTATTCTTATGGTCAGGAAGGTCCCGCTGCAGGCTGCCAACCTGGTCCTTGCTCAGAGCTCCTCTGTCAATTTGTGCTTCCCTAGTGAGACCCTAATTGATCAACCTCTCCACAGGCGCCCTCTGAGTCTTTGCTTCTACTGTTCCCTCAACCCGCCACACTGCTTGACCTCTCCACAGGAAGAAGCTTCCCTGAGTTCAAATCTGGGGTAAAATCCACGCCCACACAAAATCCCGCTCCCTCTATACCCTGACAATCTTAACCAGATACCATGGACGGCTGTCTTTCAGCACTTTCCAGACCACCTATCAATCATGGCTTGTTATTTACTGCAATTCTCTTCAACCCAATTATTAATTTCTGGAGGGAAAAATCATCCTGCATTTCTCTCAATCTCATGTCTACTAGATAAGCAGTTAGTACTTATCTGTTGATGGTGAAAATGCAAAGGGCTTGGATCACAGTAATACCCTGGATAAAGCTCCGGGACTAGCATGCTGAGACGTGGCCTACCTTTGGTAACAGCTGTTGGAGCAGAGCTGGGCACAGCTGGAGCTGGGGAAGCCACAGGCAGAATGGTGGGAGATTTGCTGGCAGAAAATGACTGAACCACTAAAAAAGGGCAAAAAAGGAAGAGGATAAAAGACAGACAGAAATTGTTTTTAAATGAAATGTCCTAATTCCTACCGGCAGGCCCGTATCTTCACAAACAGATCAATCTCAAGCCACCGGGAATGGTTATCACAGTTTTCAAATACCATGATCTGAGAAGCTGGCTCTTTATTATTAGCACTGGGCTAACTGAGCTATACATACCCTCAACTGTGGAAGTGGAGGCTTTTCAGTAGATGAAGAAAATCAAAAGGCATTAAATTAAACTCTCTGACTCAACTTTAGAAATGATCCACTATTTAGGTTGTGCTTTAGCCCTGGAATTCAAGGTTCCAGGGCTGCGGCCCAGAAGCAAAAGGACAAGCCACGCCAGGCAAGGGCCACCAACAACTGCAAGAGCACGAGCTTCTCCCAGAGCGCCTGGTGACAGGCTCATGGTGGGGACACACCTTTGTTCACAGGCATTAGGATGGTCTGCACCCCGCCGGAGGTGTTCACGCTGAGAGGCTTGAGCTGGCTGGGAATCGTCAAGACTGCTTGCTGTGGGCTGGACTGACTGGAGTGAATTTTCAGCAAACCTATGGGAAACGGGAAGACAGGGCGGAATGAGGACAGGTGGCACTCTGCCACTTGTATTTCCACCCCGGACAGACATACGGTCAGTGAATAAAGAACAGGAAGCCAGGAGCCACAGACACTGCAGATGTCACAATGAAAGACCAAATGAGAGTGATTTATCTTTAAACTGTCCCTGTCCTACCCACATCATTAATACAAGAAATTTCATGAACAGGTCAAACAGAAAGGACAGAACAGCCACCCAAAGTCCAGCACAGAGATGATCAAATTAACACGCTCACTGAACCCTCCATGTATATTTTCTACAGCAGCCTGTTGTGTCTATAGCTGTGATGTATACATACTGGATTTAAACCCACATATTCTGATGTAGAAACTCTACTACTTAAAAAAAAAACCTATCCTGGCTCCCAATTCCCTGACGAATACTTTCAAAATTAGCTTCAAATTCTTCACAGTCCATTTTAATCTGGTCCCTACACATCTAACGTACTCCAACCTGTCCTCATGCATTAACTTACATTTCCCATCTCTGGGCAGCCCTGAGTTTTTCAAAAGTCAGATGTTCTCTATCTTTCTAGAGGATCACCCTCTCTCACTTCTCAGGAAAGGTAGTTTTCACTGTCTCATCTGTGTAAGGCCAGGGGTGGGGAAACTCCAGAGGACCTTTGCCATGAAAGAGCACAGCAGACAGGAACACTTCAACAGCGGTAACCCTAGTAACAGCAGCAGTGGCTGTGAGCAACTGAGAGCGAGCAGTGAGTGTAAGCCGGGGAAAGACGCGTTTTTGTTAAGTACTTTCTTCTTTCACTAGGACACTCTTTGGAGCCGAGGAACGCTCCCTGTCAAGGAGGTCAGCACTTCCTGAGCCACACTGTTGGAGAGGTTTTGTTTTAAAAATTCCTACCAAAATGCTGTACACTGAGCAGCTGAAAGGACAGAAAGGGATTATAACTAAGCTCCTGGTTCCAGCTTTTAAGCCTGAACTCGCTCAGCAGCAGCCGCTTTAACACTTTGGGTTCTCTCCGAGTCTCGCTGGCCTTCTGGTCAGCTGTGCCTGTTTCCCACTGACCTGCTGCCGGGGGCCAGGCCTCCCTCCAGGCTCCTCTCCCTCTTCCCTATACCTGCCAGTGAAGCTCCTTGCTGTTACTGAGAGGCCGACCATGGCACACTGATTGTTTTATTTCCTGAAATTAATAATCTCCTCCCATTTTACTTGAAAATTTAGTTTTCTTCCAAAACCTTCCCAAGTTTTCCCACCTCCTTCAAGAGCTCCAGAAGTTGTGTGTACAACTCTCCCCATGCCTCATCTACAGCCCTGTCTGTCAGAAGAGATGTTGTGGGGGCACCTGCAGCCATTGCAGCCGAGCCTCCCTGGCTGCCACAGAGCCCTCGGCCTCAGAATTTCCCTCACTCGGCTCTCTGCCGCCTCCTGGGCTGATTTCGTCTGCTTTCTTCTTAGTTCACCATTGTCCAGTCTCCATTCTGGTAAGCTTTCTGCCTTGCTAATGTTTCCTGATACATTGTATTGCAAAGACATCCGGATCTTTATCAATCAATCTTTCACTCTATCTTGTTGACTATAAACTTATTTAGGGGAAAATAATTTTCCCCTAAAAGTTTGAAAAGCGCTATTTCTGTTTCCAGCAATGAGAAGTGCAGTGATACTGTAACACAATCTCTAAAATTCCCCATTGTCTTTTTCTCTTTCAAAGTCTTCTCTTTATTCTTGGGATTCTGATTTCCTGAACAAATCGTGCCTGGGTGTGGGCATCTTCCCTTCACTGTGCCACACAGTGCACCTTCTGAATTCACAGGTTCGTATCCTTCAATCCTGGGGGAAATGCCTGTTTCCCTCAGGGATCATTTCCTTCTCACTATTTTCTTTTTGGAAAACTCCAGTGAGTCTGGCTGGAGCTCCCTGATACAGAGATCGGGGAAAGTTCCCACTCACTGTCCACTCCTTGGTCTCTTCTCGGCTTTCACTCTCTGTGCTGCCCTAAGAGTCCTTTGAGAAGGGCAGCTGAGCACTGCCCCTTGTCCCACTGCCCTCCTGGCCCTGAGTCTGACTGTGACTCCTACTATTCACTCTTCCAGTTCTAGTGGTGATCTTGTTTAGAGCAGTTAACACACACATCGCTGTCTACAGGAAGTTTTGTCCTTCTTGAAAATATTACACAGCAAGTTTACTAGCAATGTCTTAGCAAAGTAGAACTTGAAGCAGTGACTCTTAATTTACTGCATGCTAACACTTGATCAGGAAAGGAGAGGGAGGAGGACATTCAGTACCTGCATTTCTACCTGCACTCTACTGCCTAGCACTCCAATGAACAGTACACAACACACACACTATACTGAAACATGGCAAATTTTAACTAGGAAGTAGGAATTATGGAAAAACTTAATTCTTTTCTCTATCCCAAAAAATGAGTAAGACACAGGGGCTTGGTCTGAAGCCACATTCAGAATAACACCTGTAACTTCTCCAAAGGCAGGAAGCATGTGGTGTGGGTGAGCAAAACTCTGGAGACTAGTGCCAGCTGGTAAACCAGAGGTCCCCAATCTAGAAATCAGGATTGTTCAGGAGCTTTCCCAACAGCCTGACATTGCTGTGAGAATTATTTATGGAAAAGGATAACCTTCGGTTTTCACAGCTCTTCTGATTTTAAAACAGTACCTGAGGGATTACAAGCCAAAAACAAGGAGGGCAGTGAAGGAGACGACAGCAGCAGTGATTTACACTGGACAGCATCCACACAGGTACGCCGAGGCTCCTGTGATCCACCCCATAGGCAGGTGTCATCAGCCTCACCCCGTGCGGGCTGAAGCATGATGCTTAAACTTGGCGATCTGGCCTCGGGGTTCCCATGTTACTCAAAGTAAAAGGTACATTTCCAGGAGCTGCTTAGTGTAGGCAAAGAAATACCCTAAGAATTTATGGGAGCAAAGAAATGTATGCTGTTTTGCAATGAGTTCCATTCAAAATTAATTGTTAATAAAAAAAGAAAAGGTTCTTTAAAAAGAATAATCTCTTAACTTTGCATAAAATTACATTATTAAAACAATAAAGTGCATGGTAGGTAGGGTCCCAGGTGGCTAAAGTTTTATTATATCATGTTAATATTATTCAGGCTAGAACTGCAGAGTTTGTATTACTGTTTGCTTCTGACTCCACCACAACTGGGCTGCATCTCCAGCCTCTTCTACATTTTGAGACCAGGCCTTACTAGGCTGCCCAACCTGGCCACGAACCTGTGATCCTTCTGCTTCCCAAGTAGCTGGGATCACAGGTGTCTGCCATCATGCCCAGCTCTGGGTTTTTATTAGCTTACTAAAATGTTTAAGATCTTTCAAAGAGAAGCTGAGAAATAATGCGAAGCAACTGACCTGACATGGTGGCCTTCCCAGAGACAGGGCTCGGGGCGGACACCAGGGATGCAGTGCTGACCACAGCGGGAGCCGCGGCCTTGCAGGTTCCCACGGCGGCCTGGCTCACACACACCTGGGTCTGCCCCACAGTTTTCATCGCAGAGCCGGCAGCGGCTGAGGAGCTGGGCACTGTTCCTTCCGACTGCTGCCCGCAGGGCCAGAGACGAGGCGGTGAACAAGAAAACAGCGTAACCTACTCGGAGCAGTGCCTGCCAAGCAGCACAGTAAATGCAAACTACTAAGTGGCTCCACCTACCCAAGGGACATTATACCATTTGGAAAGGGACAGCTTCTCTACCTGGTGGGTCCTACACTTTAAAGTTACCACATTAAGAAAACTTAAGAAAAATTCACTACTTATCACTATAAAAGGTTATTACAGCACCAAAAAAAGGTAGGGGAACATTCTCAGAATAAAATCATTTTTTCAATGAAATAAAACCAGACGTGAAAATCTCACTACAATATGTTAAAGTCTAACCTTTCATCCGAGAGCCATCTGCATGGCAGCTCCTTAGGGATGGAAGGCGCCAAATAGGAGAGGGTCATTGTGTGGCCAGCACTACAGCAGCCACAGGTGCGTGGTGCCCCCACACACAACTGATGAGGATTCAGAGAGGGCCTTGGAAAAGCTTCAGGTAAGATAAGCAGCACTGCAGAGGACACTTCGAGAGGCAAGACAGAGGAAGTGGGAGAACAGAGCATTGCTGCAGAGGACAGCATACAGAGTTGGGCACAAGAGAACACGCATGCAGAGGAACTGCAACTGGCAGGACCTGAGAGCAGGCGGGGCAGGGGCGGAGCTGGGGTACAGAAGCTGGAGCAGCAAGCGGGCAGACTGAAAGTCTTTGAGTCCCCAGGCAATTCAGAAGGAAAGAGTCCTTTCAAAGCAATTATCTGGGTCTACTGGGCATTATGCAGAAGAATGAAACTTGGTCCCCACCGCACACCATATAGGAAGTCAACCCAAAATGGATCAAAGACCTAACTGTGAGAGAGAAGTAACCACAGGCTAAGAGTCTGTGATCCTTCATTAGGCAACAAGAAGAGGTGATGCCAAAAGTTGGCAATGAAAGAAACATAAGTAGGACTACATCAAAATAGTTAAATATTGTTGTTGTTGTTACCACTATACTACTACTATTAGTGGTAGTACTGAGGACTGAGCCCATGGCCTCTGCTCTAACTCATATCACAGCTCTTTTTTACATGTTTTGCTTTTTTTTTGTGATAGGGTCTTGGTATGTAACCCAGGCTGGCCTTGAATGCAGCAATTCTCCTGCCTCGGCCTACCAAGTGCTGGGAAACAGGCATCGGCCACCATGCTTGCGTCTGTTTTTAAATTTTGAAACAAGGTCTTACTATGTCACCAAGTTGGCCAGCTGGGCTTGAATTTGCAGTCCTTCTGCCTTGGCCTCCCAGAGTGTGAGCCACAAAGCCCAGCAAAATTAAAAACTTTAACTCAAAACACACCATCAAGAAAGTGAAGGGTAATTCAGAGTAGGAGGTAATCTTTGCACATCTGGTAAGAGGCCTGTATCACAAATCCAGGATAAGCCCAGTGGGACATGCCTGTGACCCCAGCTACTTAGAGGCTGAAGCAGGAGTATGAGCTCAAGGTCAGCCTGGACAACTTGGTCTCATAATGAAAATTTAACAAGGTTGGAGGTGCAGCTCAGGGATAACAGGCATATAGGCATGAGGCTCAGGTCCAATACCCTGAAATGCCAAAATTAAAAAAAAAAAAATCTGCCTATCTACCCATCCATTCATCCATCCTATTCCTACAATTCTACAATGAAAGGCCAAGCCAACCAAAATACAGACAAAGCATATAGGTAATTTTTCCAAAAATATATAAATATCACTTAGTAAGTACATGAAAAGAGGCTCAATATCATTACCTATCAGGGAATTTTAAATCAAAATTTAAAATAAAATAATGAAATACATCTCACTCCCCCGAGATGCTGATAATTAAAGCTCAAAAGAACAGAACATGCATGGTGGCACACCCCTATAATCCCAGCACACAGAAGGCTGAGGCGGGAAGGAAGATCACTTGTAAGTCTGAGGCCAGTCTGGGCTACACAGTGAATTCAAGGCCAGCCTGAACTATACAGAGACCCTGTCTCAACAAAACAAAGCAAAACAAAATATTATGTTTATACTAAAACCTGCACACAAATGTTCCTAAGTCAAAAAGTAAAAAACAATGCAAATGTTTATTGATTGATAAATGGATAAACAAAATGCAGTGTTATCCATAAAACTGAATACTGTCCAGCTATAAAGAGTGGAACATGACATGCTGCGAAACTGAGGACCTGGAAATGTTACGCTATACAAAAGGAGCCTGACTCAAAGCCTGCATGGTCTGTGACTATGTTTAATGAGAAGCCTGTAACAGGCGATCAGTGAGGAGAGAAGGGTGAGTGGTGCTCAGGGTTGAGGGGAGCACTGGGGAGTGACTGCTGCCTTATGGGTTTCTTTTGGGACAATAAAAGCTATTCTCAAGTCAGATGGTGGTGAGAGGTGCACAGGCCTGTGACCACAATAAACTCCCTGAAGTGTGTAATATAAGGAGGTAAATTTTAATGGATGTAAATTACATTTCAATTTTAAATGTATTTTTAAGTTTTTATTGATCCATTCATTTAGAGGCAGGCTCTTGCTATGTAGTCCAGACTGGCCTTGAACTCACAACCCTCCACCTCAGTCCCTGGCGTGCTGAGACTATGGAAGCGTGCCAGGCGGGTGCCCACTTCGACTGTTTAGAAGGCGGTGTTGTGGGCACACCGGTGCGCCCGCTGGCAGCTTTCTGATGTTCATCCCACCTGCATGGTCTCTAGGCTCCTCCCGCCACACTGATTCCGCGCCTCACCTGCTGTGCAGGCCCGTTTGCAGAAAGGGCCATGGTGGGGGGAGCAGCGGTTGTAATGACACCTCCTGCCACGCGCACCATCGTGGTGCCAGGCTTTGAGAGTTGTGAGGTGGCCGGCACAGACTTCAGGGTGCTGTCGGATATTTTCATTAGTGACGCCTGCCCCCCGGGAGCTGCCTGCAGAAACAGAACAGGTGCAAGTAGCAGTGGTGTCCAGGTTAAAAGGCTCAACTTATTCCTCACCTACCTTTGAGAACACAGCCAAGAAGTCCTGCTAATCGAGACCCACAGGAGAAGCCTACGTACTTTCTACAAGCCTCAATTTTAGGATCTCTACTCTTCCCTTACTACTAATTCAGAACAAGTAAATGAATGCATTTTCAAGTTACTATTTGTTAAGTCTGTGCACACATCAGTGAGCTGCTAGAACACAGCAAGCTTGGCCGGAGGCCCCCAGGCTTCCTGTGTTGCCGTGTGACCTCTCCTCATTCCTTGCACTCCTACCACCACGCCGCCTCCGAGCTGAGACACAGCCACAGATCACTGTCAGAGGCCAGGCAGACACGGCCACCTGATCCTGGGCTTTCACTCTCCAAAACGCAGAGCAAGACAGACCACTTTCCTTTACAAATTACTCAGGTGTATGTATTTAGTTGCAGCAATAGAAAACAGACTAATAGTGTTGTTTCAATTCAAATTCTTTATGATAGGATCATTGCCCTGGGTGTGGTGGTACACACTTGTAATCCCAGCAATCACCAAGAAGACAAAAACAAAAATGCTGGTGCAGCTGTGGTGAAAAAAGAACACTGCTACATTGCTGATGGGAGTGTAAACTAGTACAACCACTCTGGGATCACCACGGAGATTTCTCAAAGAACTGAAACTAGGAATTCCGTTTGACCCAAACCTTCTAGGTATCTTCCAAAAAGAGCTAGAGACACATCACAGTGATACATGCTTGCCAATGCCCACACCAGCACAACTCACAGTAGCTATATCCTGGGAGCAGTCTCTTTATGCCAACAGGCGGATGGAGAATGGAAATCTAGGCTTTCTGTATAATGGAGTACAACTCAGCTACAAAAGGGTAAATATGAGACATTTGTAAAAAATGAATAAACTTGAAAAATGTGACGCTAAATGACACAAATCAGACATATAAGCTTCAATACCGTATGGTAAAAATGGAAAAGTTTTTTTAAATAAGTAGCAAAGGGTTGAAGGGAGGGAAGGAGATTGGGGAAAAAAGAATCAAGATATATTATGTAGCTAGGTGTGGTGGTACATGCCTATAATCTCAGTACTTGGGAAGCTGAGGCAAGAGGATTTTGGCAAGTTTGAGGACAGCCTGGGCTACATAGGGAGTTCAAAGTTAGCCAGAACTACGTAATGATACCTTATATCAAAAATTAAAAATATATATATATACATATATATATCATGTACAGGTACAAATTCCCTATGATGAATGTGATTTTGTGTGTCTGTGTGTGTGTATGTGTGTGTGTGTGTAGTACCAATGGGAAAAAAACACACAAAATAAAGATCTTTTTTTAAAAAAAAAAAAAAAAATCTTTTGAAGACATCAGAATACATTTCCTTGGGCTGGGGATTTAGCTCAGTGGCCTAAGTACCTGCCTGGCAAGTTGAGGTCATGACTTCAATCCCTGGTATCACCAAAAAACCAAACAAACAAACAAAAAAGAAAATACATTTCCTTAAGTCATTAAAAAAATATCACCTGATATCTTTCATTTGAGTAAGGTGAAATCAAGAGCAAAATAAATGAGTCACAGAACAAAGATGAGCTTTTGTAGATGGCTGGGTCCTGGGAGAATGAGGGGAAGTGGGCGCAGGATAGAGATGTAAGACGTGTCCCTTACACGCACCAAATACCCATGATACATGTAAAAATTGTATGTCATAAACATGAACCAAATGTAGCAAGAATGACAGTGGGGAAAGGATTTAGAGAAGCAGACCAGAGTGGGAGGGGAAGGGAATTTAGAGCCACGCTGTGTTGTGGCCTTGCCTCCTCCCTAAGACGATGTAAACATCATCTGCAAACACGTACTACTATTTTCTAAAACAAAAAAACCAGTATCGACCAGTGTGATTAACAAATTAGAAAAAAAGAAAACACATGATCAGCTCATCAGACACAGAAGGCGTATCTGACAGAAGTCTCATATCCCTCTTCAGAGAAACGCTGATGACATGTAGACGCCCAGGGGATGGTGTCACACTGCAGTGTGTCCTCCTGCATCTTTGTGCTTCAACTGCTAAGTGTGTAGATCTAACAAAGGAATCGTCGTAGAGCCGATTAGGATGTTCTCTCAACCAAAATTCTGTCTTTTTGATGTATACCAAAGAATGCCATAGATACGTGCCCCAAGGGTGGAGAGTCCAGCTCCATGGTACAGCACTTGCCAGGCATGTGCAAAGCCCTGGCTCTGATCCTCAGCACCACAGAACAAATGCAGAAGGGTGCCCCGTGCCTGCCAGAACCTTCACTGCAAAGACACTGTAATTAAACACTACTCAAGGTCTCTTCTATGAAGGCCCATCAGAGAAATTTTAAAAAAGAGTATTAAGAAATCCATTCCTTTTAAGGAAGTACTGTTGTTTTACACAGTGTAATTTTTAAAATAACTGATCATGGTTTTTGTTTTGCTTCTGTTAAACTTACACCTTATTAACTGTATGGGAACCCACTGTGTCTATCTGAATAACCTCCAGCCTTATTTTCTTATTCTGCTTATATTTTCTAAAACCTCAACATTCTTATTTTTCTATGCTATTCTGTGGTTCATTTTCTTATGTAATCTTGATTTCTTCTAAACTTGTGAGTGTTAAGGTGCAAGCTATACATGTGCAGTCGGTGCCACCACCCTGTGTCAAAAGTTTGTGTGGGTGTGTGCAGGTGTGTCAGGAGTGTGCGCAGGTATACTTACCTGTGTAAACAAAGTGGTTTTCTGTCCAGAGATAACTTTCAATGTCTGCTGCCCTTGTGCAGAAGAGGAGCCCACTCCCAGTGTTCCTTGGACCACTGATCCAGCAGCTAGCTGTTTTCCAGACGTCTGGGGTGAGGGCTGGCCAACTAAAAATGTGCCCTAAGACAGGGGCAAACAAACAATTCCAGGAGTTTATTAAATTCAAACAGATTGCTCTGACCTTTAAATCACAAAGTACAAGCTGCAAGCTACAGTAGTCTCCTCTTCATTCTGTAGCTACTCTGTCAAAATCACTGAATCCAACCTAAGTCAAATGCCACGACTTGACACTATCGCTCTGCTTAAGTCCTTCCAAGAACAAAACCCCAGCTGTACACTAACAGTATTTATCATGTCACAGATCTGGGATACAATGAACATAATGGAAACTTTTCTTTGAGGCAGAAACACCTGGGTTTAAACTGAAGCTCCACCATTAACATAGCAGCAATATCATAGATAAATTATTGTGGCCTTCCAGGAATCTGTTTCCTCATCTCTCAAAAAAAAAAAAAAAAAAAATCAACCCCCAAATAATATGTATTTATAATATGGCTAAAATGTCAGTACATCAACTGTAATTAAAGGCAATCACCAGACAGCATGATGATTTAAAAGATGGGGCACAAATCAGCAGACCTGGGGAGTCTGCTTGAGGATGTAGGATGTGTAAGTCAGGTGCTGGGAGATCCCTCCAAGGCCGGTAGTGCTCTGGGTTCCTCCTGCTGCTCCTCCACTGCTGCCACCTCCTCCACCACCTCCACCTGCACCACCAGCACTGGCCGTGGCTGAGCTCGACTGCAGGCCTGCAAGTGCAACAAGTGCATCACACAAAGGGTCAAGCAAAGGGTCACCAGAATCAGCAGATGGGTCCACACACTTTCCTTCCCGCACCATTCCCTCTCCTCCTCAGCAATCTGTCTATCCTGTGAGAAGAGTAAAACTCCCTGGAGTTTGCAAATGAGGCTAGAATCTATTCACAGACTGAGCATGTGCAACCTGGAACCTGAAATCCAACTTTTTGAGCATTATGAGACTTCAGATTTTGGATCAGAGATGGTCAACTTCTAAAGTCTGTGCAAATAAAAAAGCTGCAATCTGCAATACCTCTGCTCCTAAGCATTTTGGAGGGAACATTCAGCTACTGAGTGGTAGCTGATTGCATTTTCGCTCTAGGTACAGTAAAGGGTTTATCTTTGATAAGTCTTTAGACGTGGTTGTGGGAGACTGTGAGTCTGATGCTATTTTCTTTAATCAGAACCTCTCATTTATAATGACTCCAGGATCCTACTCTTTTTTGCTCTTCAAATCCCATCTCAAAGCCTACTTCTGCTCTGATAATGTTGGTGGTGGTACGTGATAATATATTATGAGGTCACATAGATAAGCTACCTGGACTGTAAATACCAAACTTCTCACCCTACCTCACCTCAATTGCCCTGATTATTATTATTGGGGAAATTCCTTTCCCATAGTTTATTTGGAACATAAGCCTATCATAAAATCCTAAATTGCTTTCCTGGTTGAATTTTGGAATGCTTATATTGTCCTTTTGCACTTAACCTTTTGACATTCCACTGTTTTTGGGACGTGGAAAACATACCAGACCAAGAGAGTGGCAATGACTTATCACAGAGCATAAACAATAGTGGCCAGCTTATATTGCATTTGGCAAGGCTGCTTAATTTTTAATGACCCTGGCTGCTATACTGTTCTGTTTCTGATTCAGGGGGAAATAAATCATCTGTTTTACTCTTCCCTTTTATGGACAACCCAAACTGGTGTTCTCTGTGTGCCCAAGCAAAGGCTTACAGGACTGATATCCTTGGGAACTGAAGATGTACACATGCAGGAGAACCTTTACTTCCCCTTCCAGCTCCCAGCCTAGCAAACATAGAAAAGTCCACATAACGGCACACAAAGATTCCATGCCACGTCCTTTAAAATAGAAATAGGCTCCAGCTCCTGGGAGGAGACAGACCTCCCCTCAGGTAATGCTGGACACCCAGCAAAAGGAAAATGCCTGGGCTGCAGGCCAGCACCACAGCTCCTATCCTACACCTCTCCGCTGAGCACGGTCTCAGCTCCGAGCAGGGAGCCCAGGACAATGATGCCACCGCCCATTTCCAGTCACACCCATGTGAACAAATGCTAGCACGAGGGAATATGGAAAACTTGCTGGAAGAGGTAAGGACCACCACCCGAGGAGAGAAGAACACCACAGAGCCCCAGGCCAGTCACAAGGGTAGACTCACTGGCACTGTTGGTCGCTCGCAGGATGGCTCCCTGTGGGATCAGCAGCAGCTTCCCCTTTCCGGAAGGATTCTTGCTATTAGTGGTAAGGTACAGTTTTGTGCCTGGGGGCAAATTTGCCAGGTTGGCTAAATTAGTGGCTGGTAGCTGCAACGTTGCCATTACTAAAGTGGAAAAGGGAGAAACAAGAGGAAAAAGGAAGAAAAACAGTAAGACAAATTACAATTATAGACAATACTCTGAATTAAAATACAGAGTAGCCAGGGATTTAGCTCAGCAGCATAAGCACCTGCCTGGCAAGTGCAAGTTCGCGAATTCAATCCCTGGTACCAAAAACAAACAAACAAAACCCACAGAGTAGTGAATACCTAATTAAAACCACTAACAGGAAATGTTTTCCAGATACTTTAAGGCCTAATACTCAGCTGGGTGTAGTGGCACATGTCTCAGCACTCTGGGAGACTGAGGTAGGAGGATCCCAAATTTGAGCCCAGTCTGGGCAACTAATTTATGAAAAAATTATCTCAAACTAAAAACTAAAAAGGGTTGATGACATAACTTACTATGTAGGCTGTGTTCAATCCCCAGTACTGGAAGGGAGGGAAAAAAGGCAATACCTTTAAATATCTTGCTTTTTTTTTTTTCCCCCCCTGTCTGAGATGGTCTCACTATGCAGTTCAGGCTGGCTTTGTAGTCCACTTTGTAGCCCAGGCGGTCTCGAACTCACAATGATTCTGTCTCAGCCATCCGAGTGCTAGGATTACAGGCATATACTACCATGCCCAGCTAAATATCTTGCTAATTAAAAAAGTATTTATGAACCAGAAGCACCTACCATAAACAAATTTATGCTATTTATAAACAGGCTGATTATAGTCCCGGTTCTGCCTAGAATGGTTCTCTTGTGGTTTACACCTAAACCTCACGGTGAAGATTACTGTGGGCTGAGGGGTTCACGTGTGCTGAGCACACATTCTGTCTACACTGAGTAAGCCTTAACCCTCAGTGTAATTATTGGTACTGTACTCCCAGGATTGTGTTGCTGGGTGTGGGAGCACATACCTATGTAATCCCAGCACCTGGGAGGTTGCAGCAGGAGGGTCGCTGTGGGTTCGTGGCCAGCCTTAATTACAGAGCAAGACCATGCCTCAGAAAACAAAAACAAAAAAGCTGCCAACCTCCTAAGCCCCCAAGACCTTTTATCTCTCATGCACTTGTAACGCCACAACAGGAATGGTACTGCCACCAGCACTGCACTACCCTGAAATCTCTGTTTCATTCTCTTCTGCTTCCCCTATCACTGCAAAAACAGTTTGGTCTTGTTAGGACCTTAAAAATAGACGTCTGATCTCCTCCACATCCCCTCACAGAAGCAATACAGTTCATTAAGCACTAAAATACATTCCATGTATTCAGGTTTCAGTTTCCCAGAGAAACTCTAGTCAGTATCTCAAAAAGCTGCTGGTAAACTGGTCACACCAGGATTCCAAATCTCACATGTAACTCCACAGTACGGATGGGGACAGAAGAACATTACTGTTTAGACCCAAAGGAATATCAAGGAATATGTAATAAACTAACATAATATTATTCAGGAGCAAGCTTCTTACAAACCCTTACATGAACTGCTCCATGAAAAACAACCAACACCTCCACACACTCCCGAGAGCATCTAGCAGAGAACACTGGGAGAGCCCCGAGCCAGAGCAGTCACCTGAGCCTTGGGGTCCGCTCTTCTGGGGACCGGAGGCTGCGACCTGCGCCTTGCTCAGGGTCTGCACTGGCTGTGCCACGATGGTGCCCCCTCCTCCGCTCACGATTGCCTTGGCGACTCCTTGGGTCATCACTTGCTTCGGACCGACTGCTTTGGCCACAGAAGAGCTGGCCTTGGCGACAAGGATCTGGCCGCCACCGATTGCCACCGCCTGCTTCACGGAGGAAGGTAAGGCAGCCCCGACTGGCACCCCGACCACCTGTTGGGAAAGAGAAGAACGGGGCTGCTCTGAGCACTGTGCTCCCGGGATGGAGCAGCCGGAGCATGGAGTGCCTGGTGGGCACGCGGCGGCGTCTAATCCAGTCCTCCAGGAAGGCTGCCCCGGCAGATGGGAAGGACAGTCCTCACACTGTGGGTATAATAATAAAAGCCTAAAGACTGCAGTCATCACTTCAGTGATGTTTTAGAACTTACTTTTATTATAGAGTAATATGAGTTTTGTAACAGAAAACTTGGAAAATAAGAGAAGTCTAAAGAAAATGTCTACATATCCAGAAGTAATCTATCAATGTTTTTAATGTATCTTCTTCCATTTCCTTCTAATACATATTTTAAAACACAAAATTGGAACCATGATGTACCTTTAATTCAGTAATGTATGTTAGCCAGCATCTCTTTTTATCTTACATTGCAAAAGTATTTTTAACCCACCAAATAAAGCATTAGACTAGTATACCACAGTGTATGCATAGGTTTACACAGTGTATGCATAGCATACCACAGTGTATGCATAGTGCTGTGTTTCAGTGAGGGACTCTTTGGGCTGGGTCCTCGTTCCCTGCACATCTGGAGCCAGCCTGTGCTGGAGGGGGCAGGGAGATGAGGGCTCCGGCCGCCCTGGGGAGGTGCAGTCTGCTGACGGGATAAGGGAGGATGAGAGGCTTGCTCTTCCCCCCTTTTTTCTTGTTGCTTTTGCTCTCTTCTGCTGCCTGGAACCGCTGTCCCAGTGCCTGCCACCCTGCCTTGGAGCCAGCTGAGTATGGACTGAAACCTCCACATATTGTGAGCTAAATAAATGAACCTTTCCTTCCTTCATTTTGGGTGTCCAGTATTTTGTCTCAGCAAGGGAAAAGTAACTGAGACAACTACTATTGGCTATTTATGTAATTTTATGCTTCACATTAGGAAAATAGTACAGTAAACACTCCCATGTATGTATGCACTATAAATTCCAATAAGTACTTTGAAGTCCCATATCTTTATAATGTCTCCTATATTATCTCCATCCAAAATGATCATTTCCTCTTCCCATTTCTAGAACTCCAATTGTCATTTATTACATATATATATACCACATGATGCCTCGTCCAACAGGGTCTCGCTGTGTAGTTCAGGCCAGCCTTGAACTCCCACTGATCCTCCTGCCTCAGCCTCCCAAGTGCTGGGTTGGTTTGCTTTTTAATCAGGAATCAAACACAGGACCTCATGCTTGCCAGGCAGGTACTGTGCCACTCAGATACATCCTCCATTCCAACTGATTATTTTTTTTGTCTTTTTCCTTTTTTTTTTTTTTGGTACAGGGGATTGAACTCATGACTGCCTGCTTGCAAGGCAAGCGCTTATGCCACTGAGCTAAATCTCCAGCCCCCATTCTGACCAATTTTTAAGAAAAGTTATGTTACTACATCTCTTCTAAACGAGTGAATGAGTACATATGTCTGCATAAACAGAGTTGCAAGAAAGTGTACGTTATATAAATCTCAGAAGCACAAACACTAAGTCTTCTGTGGCTATGTATTTATGGAATAAAAGCACAAACTAAAATGCTACATATCAAATTCACAACAGCGGTGTTTCTAGGAAGAACAGAACGTGACTTGGGCTTCCCCGAGAGCCTGACAAAAGGCAACACCTGAGTCGGCCACAGGAGGGCAATCTTTACTAACAGACATTACTGCCACATGCACCGCGCACTGCTCCCTTCTGGACAAAGTCTGCATTACATAGGGGAGTACTGCGCACGGCTGACCAAAAAGGAAGAAGAGCTCTTAGGTACAACACTATGACACCACTGTGGTTTTTCCTCTTTAAACAATGCTTTTGGCCCTACAGCTTGGACTCCCATGCCAGTTCCTCTCCTCTTCCTGTTGCAACTCCTCTGGGATGCAGACGGCCTTTGTTCTGCATCCATCACAGCGGTTCACCTGGACACCTGCTGGGATCTGATACATCCATTTCTGCCCTTCTTGGCTGTGTGCACACCTCGGGCAAGTCAGCACTGAGCACCCCAAAGGGGAAGACTCAGCATCTGCGATCTGCCCTCTGCCTATTTAGAACCACAGCCACCTGTGCTCAGTGACCATCACCATGGTGCCTGTGCCCATCTCCACACACACGACACTAGGCACCATCTATGATCACGGTCCCTGCTAGGCCTGTTGGACACAGAATTCTCTCATTCTCCTGCAGGGCGGAAAGCAGACATTATTCCTTTGACCAGATAAAAACAACAGGGTTCAGGGAGAAAGAACCACCTGCTCAGGTCACAGGTCACGAGCACCCAGATGACACAAGTAAGAGGCAAATTCCAAAGCTCACAGCCTCTCACAAGGCCTCACTGCTTTCCTGCCATACAGAACCACTTGTCTCCAGCGGTCTGTGGCCATGTCCAAGAAAGAACCTCTATACATCTTCATTTTAAAAAAAAAAAAAAAAGGGCAGTGGCACAAGCGCCTGCTTGGCAAAGTGTGAGGTTGTGAGTTTGATTCCTGGTACCAAAAAGACAAAACCAAAAACAAACAGAAAAGAGCTGTGTTTCTACTTTACCAAAGCTAATGGAGGACAAATGACTTTTTGCAGCTGCCATTTCAGGCAGCTCCTAGGAACAAACGCACTTGAACAATGCCAAGGCTAGTCTGTGTGTACAGACAGCTCCTGTGTCAAGCCCAAAGCAAGTGGGCTTCTTCCCTCAGCTCCTTGCTTGCAGTTCTCCCACTGGGTTGTTGGGGAACCTTGCTCAGGGCCTCCAGCATGAGCCCACTTGCTCTCCTAGTCTCGTATGACAGCACGCAGGCAGCGATGTGACAAGACAGAACGCCTGCTCAGCACTGCTGGACGAGTGGACTGGCAACACACAAAGTGTAACAAGTGGAGACTAAACCACCCAGAATTTCTGAGCACCAACACCACAGCAAGAAATGACTCAACACCCGGATGAAAGGATGAAGGCTGGCTGAGTAGGCGCACACCTGTCATCCCCACGCTGGAAGCAGGAGGCAGGAGGACAGGTGCCACAAAATCCAAACCGAACCAAACCAAGAAAACCTACAGGTGCCCTAAATCAGGAAAATGACAGATTCTCTGCTGAAGCAAAGTAGATTCTGAGGAACACGAAAGGCAAGTCTGACACAAGTGGAGATGACCATAACTGACTAAAGGACCATGACAAAATCAATGTGTAACCTTGCTTTCAGCTACAGAAGCACCAAAATCACACAATGTGACAGCTCCATGCTTTCTCTTTCCGCCTAAGCACAAAAACCAGCAGGAGAGCTTACAAACAAATGCAGGACACCCCACCGCAAAGGAGATTCCGATTCAGTAAGTTCAAGAGATGCCTTAGGTATCACTACTTTTTGGATCTGCAAGTGATTCTTACCAGATACTACATGAATTTTTATCTCAATCCTTATCTAGGTATCTAAGCAAGTCCAAATTATTTAAAACCTCTTCCTATTTTAGAATACAGTACTCCTCTCAAACAATTCACTCTCCCTGGAAAATCTGGCCTTCAAGTTATTCTTAGTAGCTTCAGAGCATACTTGCCAGAAGACAGGTGTAACTGCTTTACCTCTGATGGTCGGAAGCATGTGGAGTGAGAGACAATGCCTCACTACTTTCCCTACTTCTGGATTAGGAAGCTGGAGTAACCAGACCTGGGTTTAACATCTTGTCACTGGTCAGCCATGCATTTTTTTTTTTTTTTTTTTTTTTTTTTTTGGTACTGGGGATCAAACTCATGACCCCGCACTTGCCAGGCAGGTGCTTATGCCACTGAGCTAGCCCCCCAGCCCAGCCATGCATTTTTGAAGGAGCTGTTTTAGCCTCTCAGGGCCACGGTTTTCCCATTTGTAAAACTCAGGTGAAGACATTCACCTTGCAGAGTGGTGAGATCACAGCTAACAGGGAGATATGAGCCTGCACACACAAGCACTCAACAGATTCTCAATCAATGCAGAAAAACACAGCTCTGGATGCAGCCCTACAGTTCTCTTCACACATGGATTCCCCTGTATATCTCTAAACTCTGAGGAAGATTACTTCTCTGAAGAGGCAGGAATCATCAACCAGAGTCTGGAGAGCAGAGCTGTAAGTACAATGTCTCTGATCACACACACACACAACCGAACAGTATCTTGGGTGTAGACCTGAATCCCATGCAAAATTGTTAGGAAGCCAGTCCCCCACGCTGCTGGTGAGGATGCAGCCGCCCTCTGCCACTGCGACTCTTCCTGGACTGGCTATGTAGGTGCGCTACCCTCGCCAGGGAGGCTACAAGGGCAGGCAAGCTCCCCACCCACTGACCTGCTTTTCTAGCCAGACTGTCGTCCACACCATCTGACAGGGCCGGCAACTCTGCTGTCCCGAACCTTTCCAGCACTTGTCAATTACTTAGACAAACAAGGCTCATTTACGTGCTGCACTCCCAACCCCTATCCCACACAAACCTTGGAGGGCTGAATCTTTGGTGACTGGGCAGTCCCTTCTGCAGTAGTTATGACTTGTTTCTGAGGGGATACAGTTATCATGTGACCGCCTTTCACAGTCACATACTGAGGAAGTGGTGACTGACCAGCAGCTCCTGTTGTGGGCACGTGAGGGGCTTCACCAGGTTCCTGTTTGATGATCACCTTGCAACAAACACAATGACACTGAATAAATATCTCCTGGAGAAAACTACCAGTATCTGCAACTAATTTTGTTTGTGGGAATTAATAAGGAAAGCTTGAGGCCAAGCTTTGGGAGAATGACTCCACAGCAAGGACCAAATACTCCTTAAACAGCCCATGACAGCTACTAAAGGGACCAAAAGTAGGGCCTGGACTTGATCCTGTGTTTCCATCATGGGCTGAGATTGGTGGCAAAACAGACACGGAGAAAAACAGGTCTGTGTTTCTGAGCTCCCCTACACGCTGAAGCGGACAGCACTAACTCAAAGGACTCAGGTCTCAAAACGAGTGTCTGATCTTAAACTGAGACAGACATGGAGGGAGGGGGCTGGCTCAACTCCACCATGCCACAGGAAGGTAACAAGACCACAGACCTGAAGGGCAAGGACCTAAGCCATACTCACCTTTGTGAAAGCTCCCAGTCCTCCAGTTATAGGTTTGGGGCTCTGAACCTTAGGGTGACTCCCAATTGGGCAAAGAGGTGGCATTGATGCAAACAAAGAATCCTCCTGCTGCGTGTACACAAACACATATCATGCAGCCAGGTCAAATGGGTGCTTTCAGACATTCTGATCCCTTGTACTCCATACAAACCCACGGTGTTCTTGAACAATGGAAGTGAAATACAGAACAAAGTAGCCCACCATTCTGAGGGGTGCTGCAATCTCCACACCTGCATTTTAGTGTTGCTTTAGAAACCAAATGCAAAGAAAAGCTGTAACTTAGCAAAAACATGCTTGTGTATATCTTACTATGCAATGAAAACATACCTACCCTACTCCACAACCTCTAGTACCTGGCTGTCCTATGCCTTGCTGTGTCTGACCTTCTGTGCCCTGCCGGACAGCTTACTGTGAAAGGACATCTGTTGTAACCCTGCACACTGACAAAATGAAATGAGCAGGTGCAAGGGTTCACTACACGTTCTTTTTAATTGTGGTCTCAATAACTGTCTCTTAATTCTGAAAGACAAAATGCAAATCTCAGAGGTGATGTGCCACAAATCAGTTTTTGGGTTAAGAACATTTCTTGACTATGTTTGATGAGTTCACCAAAAAGCATCAGAAACTGAGCTGGCAGCCAGGTGAGGCAGCGGGTACCTTCGGTCCCACCTACTTGGCAGGTAGCCGACTTGGGTAACTGAGGAAGATCCTGCCTTGATAAAAAGGGCTGGGGATAGATCAGTGTGAGTCCTGGGCTCCAAGCCCAGTCCCACCAAAAAACCAAAAACCCAGCACAGTTAAAATCTTCAAGAGTATTACTACAATTCAGACACTCACATTACACGGTACACACACACTGTACAAAATTTAGAGGAAAACCGCCACTGGAGTAAGAAAACATTCCAGATCATGACCAAGCATCTGAATAGTAGACACACCGTGGCTGGCACCACTGATGTAAGAGAGGACCTTTGTGTCCTCAGGTAACAGTTCAGGCCTTGAGGGCTTCAGAGTTAAGGTGGCCATACAAGAATAAGCTGAATAACCAACCACACAGTTGGGAGGGGTCTTTGCCAGACAGTGAGCAGATGTTTAGCATGTTCTTATCTGGGGTGGCAAATTTTAAAGGACTGCTCACTCTGAAGAATGAGACACCAAAAACCTTGTGGAGAGATAATAATAAGCATTATTTTTAAGTAACTAAAAGGCACATGTGGGAAAGGAAACACATTTACCCCTTGGAAAAGAAGGAAGAAATATTTTGTCAGAGGAATGTTTTATAGGGAAATGTTTTTAACAAAGCTGTGCCTTTCAAAAAATAAATAAATAAACACGGCCACCTCGTCACCACACTGTTTTCAACCCCCTACTGAGTGACCATCTGACAGAGGTGCTGGCAGGAGAGCAGAGTGAGGTACTGCTCTCCTGAGGCTCTGTGCAGTCCCTACCAACCCACACTCCTGCTGAGTAGAGACTGCACGCACCGCCCTCTGAAACCAGCACCCTGCAACGACGCAGCAAGCATCATTACCTTGACAGCAGACGTTACGAAACTACTTCCGTGAATTTTAGGAACAGGGGAACCTGTTCCTTGGGAGACCTGAGAAGCCGTGGAAAGCTTGTTTGTCGGACTTCCTAATAAACAAGGCAGACATCAAGATTAAGTATAAACAGAGTAAGATTTACAAAATGTGATTTTCAACCCTTTCTACCACCCCCGCCCTTCCCACTCCTTATTTTTCTTTTATGTGGATGTGCAGTACTGGGGATTAAACCCAAGGCTCTGCACTGAATTACTTCCCTAACCCTTTTTAAGATTTTTATTTTGAGACAGGGTCTCAAGCTAAGCTGCCTAGGCTGGGTTCAAACGTGTAACCCTTCTGCCTCGACCTCCTAGAGTGCTGGTATATAGGCATTAGCCAGCTCGCCTAGCTTCTTTTTCATTTTTAAGGACTGAACATTTACAACTTAAACTACTATGGGAAAAATACTTGAGGACTCATCCCTGAACACTGGTCACATGGTTCAAGCTGAGAAAGGCTAAGGAGATAGTAAGGGCAAACAGGACAACACACATTAGGTACTCTACTCCTCACGGCAGAGGAGGTTCAGCACACAGTGGGTCTGGTCACCTTACAGACGGCCAGAACGTGCGCCTTCCTACGAAGCTGGTTCACCAGCAGGCCACACCCTCCCACGTGCTGCCCACGTTACACAGTTTACACCTGACTGCACAGCTTCTAGGTCTGATAAGAATAAGTCACATCACTAACAGTCAGGATAAATCTAGAACTGAAATGGTGTTCATTCACCTGTTCCATTTCCCAAATGTGCCGCCAAAGACTCTAATCATTCTCCAGGGACACAACTGGAATTCAAAAAATAGGTTCAAAGGCTATCAGCAAAGCCCCCAAGCAGTATTTTTATAGGAGTTTCAGAATTGTAACTGTGTGAAGGGCCTCGCTTGTCAAAAATGCAATAGCAGCAGCAATAACTTAGAAAAGCCCAACATATGTGAATGTATGTTAAATTCAATTAAAGCCAAAAACAAAAATAACTCAGATGGGCATGGGAGCACACCTCTCTTATCTCAGCCTTCGGGAGGCTGAGGCATGAAGACTGCCACCGGTTCAAGACCAGTTTGTGCTACATAGTTCAAAGCCAACCTACACTACACAGGGACACCCCGTCTCAAAAAACACAAGAGAAAACACAACAAAGCAGTCTTAAAAATCTAACTTTTACAAAGATTAATTCTCCCCTCAGAGAAATAGCATTGATGTTATTTTTGTACGCTCTTATTTATGGATGGAGATTTCACAATAGGATTTTGTCTTTAATACAAGGTGACAATGTTGAAACTGCACATACATACCTGTACTTGCTGTGGAGGCTCCAACAACCTGCCCGGGCTTATCCACAATAACATAAGGATTGTTTATAACCGAGCTGGCAGTGCCCTGTTTCACATGGACTGGAGTGGAAGTTGGGGTTCTAGGCAATGGTGATGGACTTGGAGTTGATATTGGGGAACCTTTGTCAAGTAAAAAGAAAAGAGAAACAAAATACATAAATTCCACTCATCTAAGATGCTGAAGCCACACGTGGCGACACATGCCTGTAATTCCAGCACTCTGGGAGGCTGAGGCAGGAGGATCATAAGTTCAAATTCAGCCTGGCAAACTTGGTGAGACCTTGCCTTAAAATAAAAAAGGATGGAGATGTGGCTCAGGGAAAAGGCCTTATACTGTGAAATGAGAGGAGAGGAGAGGGGAGGGGAGGGGAAGGAATGGAGGGGAAGAGAGGAGGAAGAGGAGAGGGAGGGGAGGGCAGGGAGGGAAGAGAGGAGGAGGAGAGGAGAAGTAGGGAGGGGAGGGCAGGGCAGAGGAGGAGAGGGGAGGAGGAGGAGGAGGATGAAGAGGGGAGGGGAGGGGAGGGGAGGAAAAGGGAGGGAAGGGGAATAGAGGGGAAGAGAGGAAAGGAGAGGAGAGGAGGGGAGGGTAGAGGAGATGGGGGACAAAGGCAGCCAGCTGGGAAGAAGGAACAGAACGCGCCTGACAGCTTCAGGTGCTGAGAAGCAACAGCAGTGGTACAGGTAAAGTGGAGGGCAGAGCTTCGCTCTGGGCCTAATCTATGCAATGCCAGCAGCAGCGTCACCGTGGGACTCACATGGAGATTCCAAGGTTCACACCCAGGCCTACGAAGTATAAATCTGCATTTTAACCAGATCCCCTCACATGCACATTGAGGTTTAAAAAAGCTGTGCTTTATTTAACGGTATGGAACTGCGGTGTCTTGATATGATGAGCCCCTTCCTGTCAAAGGCAGGCTATTATACTCAAAGACAGTAAAATTAGGGAAAAAATTAGTACATGAACTGCCAGATTTAGAAATCTGGTATGTGCCAGGAAGTCCTGAAGGACACACTGTCAATACTGTACCACAGCCACGATCCAGAAAGACTCATGTTCTCACAGGGCGTCTCACTCTGGACGGCCTTAGTAAGCAAATGTGTCATCTGAGTATTTTTCTGAATTTCAAACTCATCTTTCTTTCTTTTTCTTTCTATGTGTCCATCCACCATTTTAGAGACAGGTTTTGCTATGCAGTTCAGGCTGGCTTTGAATTCCCTTTGTGGCCCAGGCTGGCCTCAAACTCACAGCAATCCTCTGCCTCAACCTTCTAGGTGCTGGGATTACAGGCATGCACCACAATGCCTGGCCTCATTTTCTTTTTAATTTTTAATTTTTGAGACAGGGTTGCACTATGTAGTTCAGGCTGGTCTTGAACTTCCTATGTAGCCCAGGATGGCTTTAAACTTGAGGCAATCCTCCTGCCTCAATCTCATGAGTGCTGGGATTACAGGCATGCAGCACCACACTTGGCTTTAAACTCATTTCCATGTTCACCTATTCTTCCTCTGAAGCACTGAGGTCCAAAACTGTAGCTGGTGGGTGAAATTACCCTCTGCCTTTCACCAAAATTTGACCATGTTTCTGCTCAATTGTTCACTTTCAGTACCCAAAACTCCTGTTTCCTCCTTCATTCAAGCACTGTACCCCCTCCACAGATGTGCTCAACTGCCCCTTCCTTGCCTTTTCTGACATGCGGCCAAAACCTTAGGTGTGCTCCTATTAACATAAATGGGAGGTCATCACGGGGCAAAGGACAGTCCAACTGCAGTGAAAGGAAGCATTAGAAAGACTATAGATCACAGGAATGCTTCACTGTCCAGTGTGAGAGAATAAAAAGACTTCAGTTCCAACCCTCTAAAGCTTAACTCCAAGCCAAAGCCTCTCGATTTGTTCTACTACTAGTCATTCCACATCCCCACACCCATTTCCTATCTTAGTTCCAGCCATGTATCCTAGAAAAAAATTGATTTCTGCTTATTTTAGGAGACAAAAGTCCTATTTTGAGCTTCATTTTTTCACCTCACTCAGAAACTCTACATAGCAAGTCATATTTTTCATTGTAACAGCTTTGCCAATCGATAGCAATTAAGTCTTTTGGTAACAAACAGTGCTAAGAAGAACTCCACTCTCACAACGCTGATCTCCACACATATCTTCCACATACCTGAGACAATCTTGCAGCTCATGGTAATGGGCTGGAAAGATTTTCCAGGTGACTCAGGATTAGGAATCTGACTTTGTGGTACAATTTTGCAGCTTGATGCTATTGGCTGGAAAGCTGAATTGCCATGAGAACAAAAGGTAACTTTCTGGGATGCTGTCACTTTTGTGGGTGTTCTTTCCAACGAAGATGGCAAAGAATAAAATGTAGTGTGTCTCTCAGCTTCAGTGCTGGCTGGGAATCCTGTTTGAAATTTAGTAAGTACATGATAGGTCATCAATTATTTCAAAATAATCAAACCTTACCATATGGCAAAGGATTAAATATATTACGTTATTCACTAAGCAATACGTATTTAAACCAATTACTGATAGTAAAATAATCAATTATCTTTTCATATTTTTGGGTGGAAAGTAAATATCACGTTTAGGATCCTATTCACTTAAACTATTTCTAAGAAATTACAAAACATTAACCATAAACCATGTACAATATGAAAAGAACACAAGTTTATTATGTTCTTCATTTTTTAATACATGAATTGAAAAACTGTTTAGTGGAGAAAAACTCAGAAAGCAGTCACTTAATCTACTGATGTCCTCTCTCATTAAATGCTAATCAAGAGGATGCTACAAAAAGAAAATTATATGCCAAGAGATAAAACACCACTTAGGATCAATTTTACATGTTCTATGCTTATAGATGAGAACATTTAAACACCAGAGTATACACTTAATGAAGAAAATGCCACAGCCAAAATATTCATTGATGCTGAACATTATTTTAAATAAGATTTAGATATTCAATACTCAGTTCTCCTGTTCACAGAAGTAGAAGCTGAGTCACACGATCTTCATCAAAGGGTAAATATCTAGTGTGTTATTTAGCTGGCTGTGGTGGTATATGCCTATAGTCCCTGTTGCTCAAGAAGCTGAGGGGATTTAGCTCAGTGGCATAAGCACCTGCCTTGCAAGCAGGTGGTCACGAGTTCAATCCCTGATACCAATGAAAATAAAAAAGACCAAAAAAAAAAAAAAAAAAAAGCTGAGGAAGATTTCAAGTTCAAGGCCAGCCTGGGCAACTTAGGACTCTTGTCTCAAAAGAAAATAAATAAATAAATAAATAAATAAGGGCTGTGGATGAGCTCAAGGACAGAGCACCCCTCAACTCAACCCTCAGCACTGAAAAACAATAAACAAAAAGCTTGGTTCTGATTTTCGGTGACATTCACAGTTTATAAAATGTCAGCAGAATGCTACAGGAAGGGGAGTTTCGGAGAGGAGCAGACAGTCTTGCAACTGTGCTCAGAGAGCTTCGAGGCAGAGGCAGCAGGCTGCTCATGAGCAGTTTACTCTGCACACCGTGGAGTGGCGGAGGCAGACCACGCCGCGAGCAGAGCCAAAGAGCGTTACCTTTCTCCCCAGCCGCGTCGGGACCCGGCTCGAGGGACTGCTTTATTGGAGAAGAAGCCTTCACGGGGGCTGGAATGGTCAAAGGTAAAGACGGAGGGGCGTCAGAGACGTCTGACTCAGAGGACTGAGGGTAAACGCAGTCTTCTCCGAGAGAGTGCCGATGGAGCTCGACATCCACTACCTACACAATCAGGCAACAATGCGGCGCATGAGTCCAGCATCCTCATCCCGGAAGCTCCCGTCCTGTCCCTGAGCCCGGCACCCGCGGGCCGTGACAGGTGCTTCCTGACCACACCGGAAAGGCATGCTCTGTGGGAAGAACGAAGGGTCAGCCCTAGGGTGCCCGCTCCCCTGCTGCACCAGATACACGCGGTCCAGAGGTCTTTCCAGTTGCTGTTTCCTCTTCCTAGAAGACAGTTCCCCTAAATCTCTGCATGGCTGCCTTTCTCACTAATGGTCTCCGTGAAGTGTCACCACCTTCTCGGGGCCCTTCCGTAATGACCCTAGTTTAAGCAACAATCGTGCTCCCCACGGCTACTATCTTCTTCATAGCGTCACAGCTTCTTACCTGTAACTGAAAATAGGGGCCCAGGCATGCGTCCCAGCATCACCTCCCCCGTATCTGCCTTCAGGTTTGCTGCCTACTCAGAACATCCTCAAATCCATCAAGGATGTGACTTTCTGAGGGGAGCAGCCACAGTGTTCAGCTCTGGGTTTCCCAACACCTGACCAGTGCACAGCATGGGGTAAGCGTTCAGTAAGTATCTTCCCATATGACACAGCCACTTCTTGAGATAGATAAGTTAGCTGGTCAACTCTGATAACTAGTTAGCTAGCTATCCACTGCTTTGTATCATGAATACAAAAGAGAGAGGAAAGGAAGAGTACAAAGTTGGAGGCATCACACTTCTGTTTTCAACACCGACTACAAAGCTATAGAAGTCAGAGAGTGCCTTGATAAATACAGAACCCTGACCCACGGAACAGAATAAAGCATTCAAGGGAACAGCCAAACGACCTCCTTCCTACAAAGGGGCCAAGGCCATCCAATGACCAGAAATACAGTGTTTTCAAGATATTGGTGCCTATAATCCCAGCACTTGGGAGGCTGAGGCAGGAGGATTGCTGCAAGTTCAAGGCTAGCCTAGTCTACTAAGTGGGCTCAAGGCCAGCCTGAACTACACAGAGACCACACTTAAAAAAAATGAGCGAAGAAACTGAACAGATACTTCTTCAGAGGTAATAGCCAATATATTTGTGCAAAGATGCTCAATGTTACTATTGTTAGAGAAATAAAAATCCAAACCACAGTCATTAGAACAGTCATTATAAATGCAAAAACCAAAAAAATAACAAGTATTGACAAAGACAAAAGCTGGACTTCATACTTGTGGAGAGGATACAAACTCATGTCGCTCTCATGGAAAATACCGTGGCAATTCATCAAAAAATTTAAAGTAGCATTACCATACGATATAGCAGCTCCACTTCTGGGTATATACCCATAAGAACTGAAAAGAAGTATCTGAGTTTACAAAGGCTGTAAGGTATAAGCCACCAAGTGTGCATGGCTGGGGATACACAAAATGTGGCATAGACATAAAAAAAGATTATTTAGTCTTAAAAATGAACAGCACTTGAGACTATACTCATAAGTGAAATCCAGACACACGCGTAAACATTGTACTGTTTCACTAGTGAGACAAACTGAAAGAAACGCGTGTGTGTGCGCGTGTGTGTGTATATATATAAAGACGGTTAAGATAGTTATTAAAAAAAGGAACAGGAACTTGAACCACCACTTCTAAGATGACAACATGTCATTTATTAACTAGTGAGTTCTTAGCATTAATTTTTTTTGAAATTTCTACTTTTTTTCTGTTTTGCTTTTTTCCTTTAAATAAAAATAAAATTTTAAAAAGGGAACAAGATAAAACAAGCAAAAACATAACCAAGGAAGTGAATGACATCTACAATGAAAGCTACATCAGACTGAAAAAGGAAATCGAATGTCAAAAAAATGGAAATATATCCCCTGTTCCTGGGTAGGCAGAACCAACATTATCAAAATGACTCTACTTCTAAAACCAATATACAGATTTAATGCCATCCCAATCAAATATCAATGTTATTTCTCACAGAGCTGAGAAAACAATTCTAAAGTTACACAGAGTCAGAAGACACCCAGAATAGCAAAGGTAATCCTGGACAAGAAGAGCACAACAGGTAGCATCACAGTCTAGACCTACAGCACTCAGGAGGCTGAAGCAGGAGGACTGATCACTGTTAGACTGAAGCCAGCTTGGGTTACAGATGAGTTCAAAGTCATTCTGAACTGCAAAGCAAATACCTCATCTCAAAAACCAAACCAAAACAAAACTCCCAAATTTGAAGTCATACTATTAAAACTATAGTGATTAAAACAGCATGGTACTGGCACAAAAATAGGCATGTGGATCATTGGAACAGAGAAGAAGCAGATACAACCCCAGGCATGTACAACTATGTGATTTTGAACAAAGGAGCCAAAAATACACCCTGGGGCTGGGGATTTAGCTCAGTGGCATAGGGCTTGTCTGGCAAGCAAGAGGTCCTAAGTTCCACTCCTGGTACTTAAAAAAAAAAAAAAAAAAGAAAGAAAGAAAAGAAAAGAAAAAAAGAAAAAAGAAAAAAAATATGGGGCTGGGATTTAACTCAGCTGTGTAAGTGCCTGCCTGGCAAGCACAAGGTCGTGAGTTTGATCTCCAGTACCAAAATAAAACAAAAACCCACCCTGGAGGAAAGCTAACTTCTTTAGTAAATAGTACTGGGAAAACTGAATATTCATATGTAGAAGACTGAGTTTAGACCCATATATTTCACCATGTAATAAACTAAAACCAAAGTGGGTCAAAGATCTCCATGTTAAAACAGAAACAATATACTAGAAGATAAAATAGGTGCAACTCCTCAGGTGTGGTGATGCACACCTATAATCCCAGCAATTGGGAGGCTGAGCAGGAGGATCGTTGTGAGTTTGAGACCAGCCTGGACACTAAAGTGAGCTCAAGGCCAGCCTGAACTGTAGTATGAGACCCTGTCTCTAAATAAATACATACATACATACATATAAATAAAACAGGTACAACTCCTGAAGACATAGGGATTGGCAATGACTTTCTAAACAGAATCCCAATGGCATGAGAAATAATAATGAGAATCACTAAATGGGATCATGCCAAATTAAAAATCTGCACAGCAAAGGAAATAACCAACAGAGTGAAGAAACAACCTATGGGAATGGCAACATTTTTTACTAGCTATTCCACAGAGGACTAATATCAAGAATATATAAATAATTCAAAACACTAGGATCACCCCCCCAAAAAAAAAGAACCAATCAAAAACGGGCAATGAAAATGAACAGACATACCACAATGATATATGTGCACCTATGTTTATAGCAGCACAATTTGTAATCGCCAGGTCTTGGAAACAACCCAAGTGTCCATCAACTGAGGAATGGATAAAAAAATTGTGGTATTTCTATACAGTGGAGTATTACTCAGCTATAAAGAAGGATCACATTGAGATATTTATCAATAAATGGGCGCAGCTTGAGACCATACTCATAAGTGAAATAAATCAATCTCGCATGTGTGAATACCGAATAGTTTCCCTAATGTAAGTAATGATTCAAATATACAAAAGTATGTGGTAATCATGATTTCCCATGTGGCCTTGAAGCCTTATAAAGTTTTCACTTATTAATTGGAAAGGCTTTATTCTGAGCTTCTTGATATGGAAATATTTGAAGCTATAGTATATGAAGTTATATTCAAATATTTCAAGGAAAAAGACACTATGGTAACTACTATTAAGTCGGGTTATTTGGCGGTGAAGCACTAGGTTGCTGAAACAGTCATGCTTTGATCTGTATTATTATGTTGTTATGTCCTCTTTTATCTCAATCTCTCCCTTATTCATTAAAAAAATTAGTTTTTTTTATGGTTTTTTTAATTAAGGGAAAAAATTAGCAGGATATATTATAGTAACTTTTTTTGATTTCCTATTAACTTGTTTTGAAATCCTGTAATACTCCCACTATCTTGTTTTGACTGATTAGACTCTGTTCCGTTCTGTATGATAGTATCAAGTTTGAGGGTATAGGCAACTACTTTGAAGGCAGTAAGATTCACTAAGATGCCCATTCTGGTTTGACTATTATCTCCTTTGGAAGTCCTGTAATGTTTACAATGTTTAAGTTTTATTGGTCTTGTTCTCTGTTTTGTTCAACTTTATAATACCTAATGAGATAGACAATTCTTTTTAAGGAAGCAACAGGCATTATGGTAACCATTGTTGATAACCTTGTACTCTGTTTTTACATCATGTGCTATGTCTACCCTTGGTCTTGACTGACAGCTTTGTTTTGCCATATTTGACTTTATTCTCTTCCACAAAAAAAAAGTAATAAGAACTAAGGAGTAATAAAACCCAAAATGTGTAAATTTTGTTGTAAAAAAGAGAGGGGAAAAAAAGTGCTCTAAAGGATACAATTGCAAGTGAATTTAGGGGTGTTAAATAGCTGACCATATTAATGTTTTTGGTTGGATCACTGAATACAACTGTTTGCAGTCTCTCTGTTTGAATGTCCACATTGTATGCTTTGATACTGTGACTTGAGCAACTATCTCTAAGATGATAATGTGTAATCTATTAACTGGTGATTTCTTACTGTTTTTTTTTTTTTTTTTTTTTTTTTTTTTGTAGTTCTGTATTACTTGTACCCTTACACCGCTTTGTTTTGTTTTTTCTCTTTTTCCTTTTAAATAAAATTTTAAAAAATTAAAAAAATTTAAAAAAAGAAAATGAACAGACACTTTTCAGAAGAAGAAATACAAATGGCTAATATGTTTTAAAAATGCTCACCACTGCTAGCCATCAAAGAAATGTAAATTAAAACTCCACTGACATACCATCTTACCCAAGAAAGAATAGCTAGCATCAAAAAAAATCCAGTAACAAGTGTTGGTGAGGATGTGGGGAGAAATGAATTCTATTATATTGTTGGTGGAGATGTAAACTAGTAAAACCACTATGAAAATCAGTGTGGAGATTCCTCAAAAAACTAAAAACAGAAATTCCAGGGCCAGGCGTGGTGCTGCATTCCTGTAATCCTAGCACTTACAAGGCTGAGGCAGGAGGACTGCTGTGAGTTAAAGCCAACCAGGGCTACAAAAGCAAGTTCAAGGCCAGTCTGTACTACATAGTGAGACTCTGTCTCCAAGAAAAAAGAAAGAAATTACATTTAACCCAGATGTCCCCTTTCTAGGTATCTTCCCAAAAGAGTTCATCATATTAGAGATATATGCATACCTATGTTTATAGCAACACAATTTACAGTAATTCTTGGAAACAGCATGTGCATCCATTAACAAATCAATGGGTGAAGAAAATGCGGTACTGACTCACAATACAGCACTTTCATAAAGACACACTTGGGGCCTCTGGAGGCAAAGTGATGCAACTCAAGAACACAATGTGAGCTGGGTGTGGTGGCTCACGCCTGTAATCCCAGCACTCGGGAGGCTGAGGCAGGAGGGGATCATTGCAAGTTCGCGACCAGCCCAGGCTACAAAGTGAGCTCAAGGCCAGCCTGGACTGCACAGCGAGACCCTGCCTCAAAAAGACAAAAAAAAAAAAAAAAAAAAAAAAAGAACATGATGTGAGGCAAGTCAGACACACACCCAAATACCACACGGCTTTCAGGAAACTTATATAACACAAGTAGAGACTAAAACACAAGAGAAATAACAAGCAGGAAGTTCAAACACTTTTCCAAAATGCAAATTTCATTGTTTTAAAAATAAGCTTATATATATATATATATATATATATATATATATATATATATATGCTAATTGGTTTCATTTATACTACTAGCTTATCTTAGTTCACTGATAAAGTTTGTGTTATTATTTGTTTGCTTCTTTTTTGATACACATTTGTTGTTTTTTGGAGACAGGGTCTCCCTATAGTTCAGGGTAGTCTTGAATTCACTTTGTAGTCCAGGCTGGCCTCAAACTCTCAGCGATCCTCCTGACTCAGCCTCCACAGTGCAGGGACCACAGGCATGTGCAAGCACACCTGAGCCTTGCTCCTCTTTTGTAAGAATCGTTTTTAGCTTGTATCTTATACTCAGAGTAACTGTATGAAGATAATGATGGTCAGTGTAATAACTACTGTTATTCTCCATGAAATTGTTTTAGTATTTCCCAAAACAAAAAAGGAAGGACATTCTGACGTGTGCAGTAATACTAAAAGTACAATGAAGTACTCACAAAGACTGTTACATGATTCCATTTATACAAGTTACCCAGAACAGCCAAATTCACAAAGATCCAAGCAGCACACAGGGCTTTGGAACCATGGGGGAGGGAGGAGCAGGGACTAAGAAGGGTGGATTTTCAGTTTTGCAAGACAAAAAGAATTCAAGAAACAGGACTGTAACAGTGGCTCACAGTAACATGAATGCACTTAATGCCACTAAACCATACACTGAAAAATGACTGAGATAATATATTTTATTATGTGTTTAACTGTAACTGAAAAGATCAACTTAACATTCACATACCCCACCACCCTGGCAGACCAAGTCTACTCCGCCAGAAGGAGAAATAAATACCTACCGTCTCTGCGCCAAGCGTCTGCAAGCCAGTGTACGTCCTATCCAGCTGTGGGAAGCAGGCAGAGGATTAGATTTCCGGGTTTAGGATTAAACTCTAGGATACAATCTTATCTAAAACTCCTTTCATCGCAAGTTTTGGTAAGGTAATACGTACTTTCTCATGACATAAATTATCAGTTTAATAAAAATCACTTCAATAAAAACCCTCCATTTTCTGGGGAAAAATTTAGTAAAAACTATAGACATATAGCCATTCTATCTGTATAAATTATACTTCTATAGACCTAGTCTAAGAATAATCTGAAAAAGAAGTTCTATACAGGAAGATATTTACTATAGCATTGTTTACATCACAACCTAAGCAATGTAAATGCCTGGTAAAGAAGAATGCTTAAGACAACCACGGGTCATCATTTTTGATGTATTATGCAATTACACTTGATCCTAGTCCAGAGGTTGAGAAGAGATGTGTTATGTAATCACAAAGATGAATTCACAAAAATTCTGTGAAGATCTGGTCATGGCAGTGCACACCTATAGACCCGAAGCTCAGGAGGCTGAGGTAGAAGGGTCACCCTAGTTCGAGGTTAGCCTGGGCTACTCAGTGATTTCCAGGCTGGCCGTAACTGCATAGTGAGAACCTGTCTCACAAAACTAAAATATACAATTGGATGTGGTAATATTCATGTAAACTTAGTAAGCCATGAAAGAAAATGTAGGTAGTAGAGGCAATGCTAATTACTTCAAACACATTAGTGTCAAAAGTTTCTCTGAGGAAAGAAGTAAGTATAAACAGGGATAATATAAATAAAAGTTTACAATTACACAGAAAAAGGCTGCTATGCTTCACTTCACATCGTACCATTAAAAATGATTGTTTGTCCACATGCCAGGCCTGTCACCTAATGCTTGGGGAGGAGAATCACTATGAGCTCAAGGCCAGCTGGAAGGCAAAACAACCAAAAAAATTAAAAAATTTAGAAGATAGTAAAACTGCACACAAAGACTGACAAGAGCATGATTAAACTGGGTAGAAAGGAAACTCAGAGGGAGAAACTGAGGAAGCCTTGGCAGACTGGTAAGTGTTGAAGTCTTACAAGGCTTGAGAGGCAGGGCTGTCCAGTCCCGAGAGGGCAGCTCAGTCAGTGAGAATTGAGACACAGGGCTGGGAAGCATGAAAAGCAAGTGGGGTGATTAACAGTACTTCCACAGCTCAGATCTGGGTTTGTTTCTTTGTTTATCTGTGTTTGGTTTTTTGAGACAGGGTCTAGCTAGATAGTTCAAGCTGGTCTTGAACTCACTGTGAAGCCCAGGCTGACCTCAAACTAGGGTGCTCCTACTGCCTCAGCCTCCTGAGAGGTGGGATTACAGGTGTGCACCACCACACCTGGCTCGGTTTTCATATTTAAACTCTAGCCAAGAATATGACTGTGAAAAAGATACGGGCAATTCTAGTTCACATCCATGTTCTTATTCTCTAAACACAGACACATTTTAATAGTCCCTCTGTAATCTATGCTGACATATGTTTTACTCTTCTGACCAGATTTGAAGAGGGCCATTGATAAATCACAATGCTTAACCAAACTGCAAAAGGAATTAGAAAACAGAGCACACAAGAAAGTTAAAGGTACCAATTTTGCCTAGAGAATAAATCAGGACATCAGAAGAGGCATGAAACATATCACAACATTTTTTTGAAGTCTGGTATTATTTCAGCATCAAATTGGGACGATGAGATCAAGATTTTTCCAAAGTGGTTTTAGGTAATCATGAAAGAACTTTCTATAGTTTTCGTATTCAGTAGTTTATGGGAAGCACTGTGATGTCTCATGACTTAGGAAAGATTTAGTGACTACCTGTCAGGGACACAGAAGAGGGCATTTTATATATTCCAGGAACTTCAGATTTCTGTAACTAACATGTAGAGTATTTTACATTTAATTATATTTGGCAGTATCAAATGTACACTATTTTATATTACAGAACTTGAAAAGTACAAAGATCACTATGGACAAGTTACACAGGAACCTGAAGAATGGGAAGCTCTTCAGCCAGCCCTCCAGGAGAAGAAGAGAAAGAGCAATTCCCAGGACTGGGGAAGAAGGCCCACAGCATTTTTAGGATGGGACAGACACATGTGGCTGGGTAGGGTGCTGAAACAGGGACCTGCTGCGGGACACTGGCAGGGGACATGCTGAGCTGGACAGGAGGGATCTGAATAGCAGGAGCTCAGCTAAGTCTTCTGAAAGAAGACTGACGTAAGGGTGTGGCTGTGCCAGCCAGGCTGGGCAGGTAGTGGCTACAGAAGTCACTGAAGGGAAAGGAGACGGGGACAGCACACTAGCGACCGTGAGTATGTAAGGAAAATTACTGAATAAAAAATGGTCTTTAACCGAACATTCAGAACAAAGGAGAAAGAATCAAAGAAAAGTAACACAGACATGACAGGGAAATGTTACACCCATAAAAATAAACAACCAGTCTGGCACGGTGGCACACGCCTGTAGTCTCAGAGCTTGGGAGGCTGCGGCAAGAGGACCATCATGAGTTTGAGGCCAGGCTGTGCTACACACAGAGTTCAAGGCCAATCTGGGCTACATGGTGAGACTCTATTTCAAAAAAGCAAAAACCGATAAAGAAAAAAAAAGACTGCATGGCCACAATATAGGAGTTCAAAGTCTCAGGTTCAATATACAACAAAGTAATAGTTATATTTTCTAGAAAAACTGGTAAAGGGTACTTGTCATTTAAAAACACTGGCTCATGATGTAAACAACTCCCCTCTCTGTAGGGATTAGAGGGGGCCACTGCAGCTTAAATTGGTATGTACAGCAATTAAGATAAAAAAGAAAGCAAAACTATTTTAGACCTTGGAGAGTAAAGAATAGTGCTCTGGCCTGCTGAACCAAGGGTCTGCACGCTCTTGCACTGATTTCTGCACTTCTCTCAGGTCATAGGACAATCTAGTCTACAGCAAGCTCTAGAAAAACACATAAACGTCGTTACGCAGCACTTGTCTATTGCTAAAGAAAATTCTCAGCATGTTTCAGGGCTGAAACAGGAACAATTGTGTAACAAAAGTGGTGAAAAAGGAATTCTACCAGTGAACTTGGCTTTATGTAATTCACTTCTAGAAGCCATTAATGGATAACAATGTGATAAATCACTACGCAGTATTCCTGGGAGAAGTTTATATATATAGTTTATATTCTGCTTTTTACTTACTGTCATTGTAGAGGAATTGGTAGTGGCTGGACACTAAATCATATGGATGTATCAATGAGGGATTTTTCACCATACAAATAAAACATATTTGTAGGAACTTTCTAACTGCCAAAACACGTTCATTTCTCCTAATCCTTCAGATAAATAGGCAATGCTTATTATTTCTCATTTTACGAAAAAAGAATATATAAAAGGTTTCAGTTACTCAGTCTTACACAACAGCTTTATGTGGTGATGCGATTTAAAAAATTCAATTATCTGAACATTCAAGTATCACCCTAATTATCTGAACAGTCTGTTCATCTTTTTAAGGAATATACATTCACTCTCAAGCAACTGCCTTCCAACCCTCACGCTCAAAGTGTATGGCTACTGCACCCCGCCACTCCCCTCAGAGGGCCCCCTGCTACCATCTGAAAACATCAGAAGAGGCTTCACCTCCCGGAAGCAATGCTTTGCAACAGTACCTTCAGGTTGTGTATGATGTCTATCCGCTTGTTCTGGCTGTCCTTAAAGTGTACTTGGACTCTGACGGGAAACTCACCCCAGCCTCTTCTGGTCAGGTGAAAAGGAGGCTCTCTAGGGAAAAGCAGATGTTTACAATTCGCCCGTGTCTGTGCTTCATTCCACACACAATATTCTTCAGTGAAAAACCCCTGTCCTAAAACTCACCTGGGTTTCCTTATGTGATGCTACATCAGCATGCTGAATTTTGTGAAAATGCAAAATTATGAAAGAAAACTCCCCTTCAAAACTACATTAACTTCAGTTACTGAATGCTTCTAGCCACATCATCTTCACAGACAAAGGAACCAAGATGACTGGTGAGAGGAAGTCACACTCCAGAGCCAACACTCTTGACTGGCACCCGACAAGCAGAGGTTGTGGGAGGTATGTGCTCCTACCTGAGGTGCCCAGGGTAAAGACAAAATAAATCATGGATATGCTCAAGTGGAAACTGTCTGCCAGAGGGCTTACAACAAATGCCCATGTTCACAATATGACCTTCTCCATGTAGTGGCTATGATTTCAATGGACAGAAGAGAATGTGTGTGAATGGTAAGTGGACTGAAGAATTCTTAGTTATAATGTAACCTGAGAATGGAGAAAAAGGAAATTAATGGAACAAGACTGGCAATATTACTAGTTGTGATGAGTATGTGAAGGATCAATGTACACATTACATTTGTATGTGTGTAAAATTTTCCATAATAAAAAGTCTAGAAATCTAAAGCAAAAAGACATAGGATTTCAGTAAGGGCAGAGTTCACGAACACAACCTGAGAGAAGTTAACAGATCTGAGTTATAAAAAAGTGTAGAACCAGGAGTTACAAGGAAAGTCAGAGACACAAGTATCTTCAGAATGAGAGCAACCTAGCAAGTAAAGAAAGCAACACTGTTACAAGCCAGAGAGGAAAGACAGCAAAGCAAACACTGCATGTTGGCTACCAGCTGAGGTAAGAAGCAGCCATGATGATAGGGCAGACTCAGGTCTCGGGTCACTGTGGACTAGGAACAGTCTGAAAAGCAACTCAACGGCCAAAAAGATAGGGGGCCTAGAGCATGGCAGAACAATGGAAAAGTGGTGAGTTTGGTCACTTACATCCTGGTGAAGGTAAAAGGATGGTCTACTAGGAAATCAACAATGTCGGCCATAATATATTTTATTATCTTTGAAATAGTTGTTCATGACATCAAATGCAATAAAATCAAACATAACAAAGCATATTAAAACCAGACTAATCAAAACAATTAAAACAATACAGGATTTCAAAACATAGTACTAGATCAACAATCGCCACTGCCTTCCCTTTTTAGACATTTCCTTCTCTTTCGCTTTCACAATATTTACTGTGCATTTTGGATCCCACTAACTCTTTTAGTTTTTATACTAAGGAGACAACACGATGTTCACCCATGTGACTCTGAACTGTTTCACCTATAATGAGCATGATCTCAAGTTGTATCCATTTACCTACAAGAGCCTCAAGGCTATCTTCCTTTATATCTGAGCCGCTTTCTATTGTATGAAAGTGCCATGTCTTTCTTATCCACTCTGCAGCTGATGGGAAAGCTACCCCCACCTCTTTCTGGTTCCCTGTCACATACAGCATTATTCTCGCTCCTTGACTTTCAGTCTATGAACCCCCTTTTGAGTTTAATGTGTTTCTTGTATACACAGTGTATTGATGGATCCTGTCTCCTGGTCACTCTGCCTGTTTCTCTTTATTGGTGAACTGAGGCCATCTACATTAATAGTTATGGCCAGCATACCCTGGTGTATCTGTGCTATGCTATTTTCCTGCTGTTGGCTGCCTACTTTCCCCCTCCATTCAACTGTCTGCCCTGCTGGTTTGGTCCCCCTCTCCTGCTGTTCCTGTAACCATGGTTATTTTTATCTCCCTCTAAAAAGTCCTCCAGTATTCTTTGTAGGGTTGGTTTGGTGGTCATGAATTCCTTCAGTTGTTCTTTGTCATGTTTCTCTAATTTCTTTTATAGCCTCATGAAGTTGTCTCCTTACTTCAGTTACCATCATTTCAGAAACTTCAGGTGTGCGACTCCCAATCTCTTCCACATTTACATTTCCTAGACTTGCTCTGCTCGCAACTAGAGGCCTAAGACTGCCTTTTGCTTCTTTATTTTAACATAGCCCTGGATTCTTCCAAGCAGGTAGTGGGGTCCCAGGCACTTCCTGCATTGACTACGATGTCTCTGGTTCTCCTGGCCAGTGCTGGCTATGAGTGTCCAATGGTGACCACTGAGTGTACTGGTGCAAGGCTGGCTGCTGCTTTTCCCTGCCTGGCTATTGGCAGCAGGGAGCCTCCACAATGGCTGGAGCGCACACAGGCTGGGCAGGACTGGCCGCTGTCTCCTGACCTGAGCTGGTTACTGGTAGGGAGCCTCCCCGATGGTAGCTGGAGTACACACGTGGAGGGGCAGGATTTAAACTCAATTATATTCTTTGCATGCTAAATTTATCCATAACCAGTAGAGTAAATTAGGTATGGGCATAATCTATGTATACAGGCTTTCAGTGAACAGACAAGCAGGACTGTGGCCAGGAAGGACACAAACAAATAGTATAAAGCCAGGAAACAGGAACAATGCTTTTTAACAGGAAATTTCTCCATAACCATATTTTTGGAAGCAGAAAGGAATCTACCAACACAGAAACAGTTCCTCACACCAAAAGATGTTATCACATACAAAAAAACTCTGCTTCTCCTGACAGAATTCAGTATTTTTAGATTCCTCACAGAAAACGAAATGTACCAAGAAAGAAAAATCATATGAACACAGACTGAAAAAAAAAAAAGGCTTTAGAAATGCAGAATGGAATACAGCTTCCTTCTCAACTCATTAATTCAAATGGCCAGCCAGTTTTCCCAGAGTACCTATAGTGACCTAAATCCACTCAATTACTGAGATTCCTCATTACATATCTAAATAGCTGTCTTATGATACTTCCTCTAACTCCTGCATGATAGGCTATGACATTCGGAATCACAAAAAATAAATCCATCCTCTAAATGAAGACCTTCGAGGGAGCTAACACTAAGCTTTCTCAGGGTGAATGTCTCTGTTTCTCAGCAGCAGCAACAGTCAATTTTTCCTTGACCCAAACCCTCTTTGAAGCCCTAGGGAGCTGTTAACTTTCCTGATCTTTATAACACAGTGAACTGTAACCCGAGAGGGAATGGAACGGACTTGCCAAGCGAGCACCACAGCCAGTGGTGCAGTGCGACAGGCTGCAGTTGCCCTGTTTTCAACACTGGGCCAGCGCAGGCCCCAGCAACTGTCTCACCATGCAGCCCCTTCCATGCACAACGAGGCCTGCTACTGCTCCCTCAGTCAGGACACAGCATACTTGACACCTACTAAAGCAGCTCAACACTGTTACGATACTAAGTTATTAGTCTTTATTTTCTGGCCTTTAGAAAATTTTAAATTACACATGTGGATCAGAATACATTTTTGTTAAGACAGGGCTGCATTAGAGAGTTCCTACATTTGAGCTAAATGAAAGACACACATATTCCGAAGGGTCTCACACAGTATTACCCAGGGGCTGGGTTCACTCTAACCTCACATGCAAGGCCAAGAGACACTTCCTAAAGGCCCAGGAACCTTGTGATCTTCATCTCTGCAATTCCTGCAGTGAGCCCTGAACTCAGCACACATTTGGTGACTGTCTTATGCCTAAAAGCAAAATTTGCAACCACAGCTTTCAGGAAGTTGGCTAAGGGTGGTCCTGACAACTAAATCAAGCATGTACAGACGCTTTTATGCAGAATCTACCCATGCTTTTCGGCAGATGTGATGTGATGAGACAATTCAAAGTACATGAAAAACATAGTTGTGTTTGATCTGAAAGTAAGATTAACCCCAGGTTTCAAGACGGCTACAACAGCCTCTCCTACTCGAATTCATTTTGATGCTCAACCCAGAAACAGCTTTGGAGTCTTATAAAGAACATAAAGAGCTATTACTAAATCTAGGTCAGATGTTAATAGCTTCATCCTACTTTATAATGGTTATGCCATGTCTGGAGTACTACATTCAATTCTACAAAGACTATTTTAAGAGAAATACAGAAACTGGAAGACTGTACAGCCCAGATGGCAAAGCAGCACAAGTCATGTGAGCAACAACTGAAACACATGTGGACATTTATCTTGGGAGACAGGAAGACTGATGGCTGCTTCCAAATATCTAAGCAGTCATCACATGGAGAAGTGTAACAATAACTCTCTGTGGTGTCACATGCACAGGTAAGCTTACTGCTTAGGAGTAAGAGGAAGTTTGATCTTAGCTCAACTTATTTAAAAACTTCCTGGGCTGGGGATATAGTTCAGCAGCAAAAAAAGCCTGCCTAACCAGCATGAAGTCATGACTTCCATCGCTGGTACCAAAAAAACCCCAAACAAAACGAAACAAAAACTTCCTGACAAACACAGAAAGGATCACTTATAATGAAACGGTCCATTTCATGAAATTAAATAATTTATTCATCATCAAGACCATGAAATAAACATTTGATGCCAGAAACTATGCCTGACCTTGGTGATACTGAGATGAGACAAAGTCCTAAGCATCAAGAAGCTCGAGGTCCCTGACCAGTAAGAATAGGAACAGCGGGGTGTGGCTGCACATGCTTGCAGTCTCAGCTACCCTGGGGGCTGAGGCAGTAGGATTCCAATTAGGAAGTAGTAGGATTTCAATTCAATGCCAGCCTGTCAGCTTGCCGAGACAAAACAAACCAAACAGAACCAAACAGAACTCAATAAAAATGCCTGGGACTGCAGCTCAGTAATAAAGTGTTTGCCAGCACACATGAGATTCTGGGTACCACAGCATCACAAAAAGAAGAAACAAGAAAGTCTAATAAGTAAACTACACATTGTTAAAAACATAGCCAATGATTTCTCCACCTTTAAAGTGAGATTCACACAAGCAAGAGTCTCTTTTAAAATAATATTTCAAAGTCATAACTTTGTCACCAATGCAGGATGACTCACTATGGGAAAGGTATGCTGCGTTAGGCTGTGAAAAACTGTTCAGATATATCACAATGGCC